CATGAATCATAAAACTGTAGAGCTGGAAGGGTAATCTAGTCCAGCTCCCTGCAACTCAGAAATATTTTGCCCAACTTGGGGATCGAACCCATGACTGTGAGATTAAGAGTCTCATGCTGTGCTGACTGAGCTACAGAACAGAGGGTTTCCAGTTCTAGCTCAAGTGGTTCCTCCCCCCCCCCCAAAAAAATTAGCTGATAGTGTACACCACCTTCATCTTTTCGACCAGGACAGAAGTCAAATTGTTGCTTTACTACTAAATTGTAACTGAAGAATAAAAGACCCTGAGTAAAAGGCAAGGTAATAATCACTAACCATGCAAAAGTGTCTGGAGAACCGAAGACGTAACGAACCAAATCTACATATAACTTGGAAAGAAAGGAGGTGGAAAATGCATGTTATGACAAAAGGTTTTATCTATAGGATAATGGAGTCACACATATGAGCAGAATATTAATGAGGACAAAAATAAAATTGATACTTTTCATTTTCTGAAGATGTAAAATGCTTGACTAGTTCATGCTTTTCTGCCAAAGTCCTCCTTTCTGGAATTTGCAAATATGTATAAACTGATTAAATAAATACTGTATACATTAAGATTGTGTATTTTCCATCAAACTGAAATAAGGGAAAAAATGGTTTCAGTTCACTGCTCAACCAAAGGTTAATGAGCTATTCTACATTTCAAGCTGAATACAGTACAGTGGTACCTCGGTTTAAGAACAGCCCTGTTTAAGAACAATTCGGTTTATGAACTCTGCAAAACTGGAAGTAGTGTTCCGGTTAGCAAACTTTGCCTTGGTCTACGAACAGAAGCCGAACGATGGAAGGGCACCGGCGGTGGGAGGCCTCATTAGGGAAAGCGTGCCTCGGTTTAAGAATGGTTTTGGTTTAAGAACGGACTTCCGGAACGGATTAAGTTCGTAAACCGAGGTACCACTGTATATGGATATGAGCTTGTGAAGGTGCTACCAGATATCAAGAAATGGATTTGGTGGTTGGGAGTTCAGATTCCTCTGTGCTGAATTTCACATTATGTTAAAGACATCATAAGAAGCAACTGGTTTATGATAAGACCAATATAAAAATAACAGCGTATATCCAGATTGTGAACAGAACACATGGTAAAGAATTTAAGATATATTGTGTAAATATATGTTCCAAGAGAAAACATTGAATTGAACATATTGACACTCCCAGGGTGTAATATTCTGACAGCCATATCTTTGTATCATTGTAAAGAAGAAAAACATACATATATTTGGTAAGAAGTTTGTATAAAGTTTTTGTTTGACTTCTGCACTAAAATGCTAAAGGCGGTTGTAAAAGGTTCCTTTCTAGGCCCACAATTTTGTTTTTTCAGATGTTAACAAAGAGAAAGAGGTGTCAGGTTTAAGATAATAATTTGAGAAACTGATACAAAAAATACAGTATTTCATCCCACTGGAGTATTGAAAACACATCTTTTTGAAACTTTTAAGCAAAGTTAAACTAAGTACGTTGCTGGTAAATTTGTAAGATAACAAAAGGATTTAAAGCTTTCATAATAAAACTTGGTTTAGAACTAACAGAGCAATACTGTACATCAGATCCTTCAGCTGAGGGATATGGTAGAAACCCCGTCTCACTGACAGAATTTGAGATAACACTGCTGTCATGATAAACAGCATGGCAGAAATCTGTAGAATGCTCTGCTGGTACACTCTACCAAAGATATGCCAGGACAGTTACAACAGGAGAGTAATAGGGAACGAAGCATTACTGGAGATAACAACCAATGCTACATGCTATACTCTCCCAGATCATGACTATGTCCCCATTGGGTAGTTGATGTCAATTGGGACTGGTAGGGCAGGGAGCCCAACAGTAAGTGAAGAAAACCAACAAGAGCCAGACTTGTATGGATAGAGATGATTCTTAAGATTCTGTAGTCCTGGGCCATTTAGGACTTTAGAGGTCAGAATCAGTACTTTGAATTGAGACCATAAACAAACTAGTGGCTAGTGTAGATCACTGAGCATTAGCAGGGCCTTTAAAAAAGAAAAGAAAGACAGTACAGGTATTCACTGGAACCTGCCAGTTGGCACTCTGAATGTCCATCTGCTTGTGTATGTCATCCCACCAGGGTGTGCAAGGCAGTTTAGGTCCCCAAACTAGATTTGAATCAGAACAGCCAGTTTCATCAAAGAAAACCTGGAGATGGTTTGCCAACATGTGCTTGAACATCTTGCCTAAGGAATTTAACACAGGGTTGCATTTTCCTAACGAGTTTCAGCTTTCTATTTCTTACGGAAGCACTTGTAACCATTTTTGCTCTGCTATTTTGCAGCGTCTTTTTTAATGCTTGTGTACCTTGAACAACAATCTGATGCACAGAAATCTACCACATCAAGCTGCTCCTTGGTTGGAGATGTGTCTGCTAAATTTCTGTGTGCAAATTGGATGTTAGCAAAACAGGACTGGGGCCAGTAATTAATGAGTCAGACATTTGATGTCATCTTTATAAATATGATAAAAAACCCCAAGGACTATGAGTCAAGGGAGTGACCTTGAGTTAGCAACTAGCTACTTATAAACATAATATCATTTCCCTCTCCTCTGATTGTATTTAGGACAAACATAGTATTTATTGAATGGAATTTAGAGATTGTTTGCAAATTTGAATTTTAAATCCTAACCAATGAAATAAATACTGTAGCATGTTGAAATGTTAATGCATGGAGCTTTACAGTTTTTATGTTTGTTTATAATCTTGGTGCTTAATATTAGGCTACATTGTTGTTGTGCGAAAAAGTAGGTGGTTGATGATCTAATGGGGTGGATTTTGAATCATGGGACAAACTTACCCAACCAGTTTCCTAAAGAGATGAAGGCTGAGCTTCAAACAAAAACTGGTATCTAGCTTGTGATGGAATTCTTTTCATCCTGCATGTAATGTTGTCCTTATTATGAACTTTGACGCTAATTTGCATTGATTCAGAATTGTCAGAATGTCTCTTCCTTCAGGACTTTGGTTCTGGAAAAACAGGTTCAGTGGGACTATAGTTAAGGAAGGAGAGTGTCAGATTAGCTGGGAAATATTCTGTGTTCATTTTCTTGTTATTTGTGAAACAGCTTTTCAAAAGTGAGAAAGGCATTGACTTTAGCTTCCCTAATTCTGATGACTATAATATATTCATTATAACTGTGATTAATGAACAAGCCCAGGTCATAAACCATGGCTTGATCCTGGCTTGTTTAAACTAACCACCATTCCCCTGAGTTTGGATATAATGGGAAGCTGTGGTTAATTTAAAAGCAGAAGTAAAAGCTTCTGATCTTCTATTTGTGGCTGCACCAGAGCTGGTAAAGGGAAATGTGTGACTCTGAGGCTCATTCAGGTTTACTCAAAGAGGTCTAACTCTAAACTATAGCTTAGAAGTGCATCTGAAAAAATCCTACATGTACAGTACTTGAGCAGTATATTTAGGATATAGCAGCAATGCTTCTCCTTCCAGCTCTGATGTGTTTCTGTCTGACCACATAAGGTAAACTATTCCTACTTATCAGAAAGGAAATTTGGGGTCCTAGAGCAGTGCCTTTCAGTCTTTTTACGCTGAGGAATCTTTTCTATTTTGACTTATTTGTTGAAAAACGTATGGGCATCTGCTGTAAACCTGTAAGCATAGTAGAAGATTCTGAGCTTGTTCTAAAGTAAACAGCCAGATGAATTGAAACTGCATCCTAAAATTGCCAATATAATGATGCTGTTAGCAAAATCTATACTTAATACAGACTACAGATCTACCTCATTTTTTAAATAGACCTCTGTGGTACATAAACTGGAGGCAGGGGCAAAAGAGTAATTTAGAGAGGCAGGCATACACTTATTAGGAATAAGTGCTTCTGAGCCCCCAGGAATGTTCTTACTACTGGGACTGAGCTTAACAGTCATTTCCTATGAGAATCCGTGCCTAGCTTTTATCCAAGCTTTCTTCATTTCAGCTGACTAATTAAGGAGGGAGAAAGGTGTAGATTAGAAGTTTGGCCAGGTGTGAAAGATCGGGGAAGAGAAGTGAATTTGGTGTTGCGCAATCTTCCCTAGTGCCAATCTTCTCTGCATAACACTGTGCTTTGCTTATAACCTGCCAAAAAACAACAACCACACACTGTTGCCCTTTCTCCACACGTAAGAACTTCTCTAGTTCAGTAGGGCTGCAGTCCCGTAAAGTCAGCTGTATTGAACTCCACGCAGCTTGCTTCTGAGATGTGCACAGGATTGCACTGTTGGGTTGCAATCCTACAAGATAGAGGACCCAACAAACTTTAACATCACCTACATGAGATTTAGGGACGCGGGTGGCACTGTGGGTTAAACCACAGAGCCCAGGACCTGCCGATCAGAAGGTTGGTGGTTCGAATCCCTGTGAGGGGGTGAGCTCCTGTTGCTCGGTCCCTGCTCCTGCCAACCTAGCAGTTCAAAAGCACGTCAAAGTGCAAGTAGATAAATAGGTACCACTCCGGCGGGAAGGTAAACGGTGTTTCAACCCGGAAGCTGTATGCCGGCTCCCTTGGCCAATAAAGCGAGATGAGCGCCGCAACCCCAGAGTCGGCCACGACTGGACCTAACGGTCCGGGGTCCCTTTACCTTTTACATGAGATTTAATTCCAGGCGGGGACTTAATTTGCGAACGGGTCACTGAGGTATTTAAATTGGGATAAATACAAATTAAAACTCGTGTGTGTGTGTGTGTGTTTGTGTTTTGTAGGGTGGGGTGGGAGATGCAGTGTAGTAGTATTCTGACACCTCTAAAACCGCCGCGTAGACCTTGCACCATTTAATTCAACGGGTCTCAGCGACCTGTACAGATAGAACCGCGCGCGCGCACACGCGCGCACCCCGGGCGTCATTCCAGCAAGTGACGTGAGTCTTACGTCACACGCCCCAAGGGTAAGTGTGGCCCCACCCACAAAACCACAAAAGCACCAGTTCTTCCGCTTTCCCGGCAGCCTCCGGGCGCCTCCTCGGCACACATCGACCTCACCGGAGATAGTCACGAGATAAGGGTGGGGGAGGGTGTTGTATGTGCGTCGACGCTGGTTGAGGCTCCTGCTCTCGCGAGAGCAGTTTGGGGAGAAGCTCGCGGCGAGTCGGGGCCGTTGGCTCGGCGGTGATTGGCAGGCGGCGCTGGGTGGCTCCCTCCCCTCCCTCGACTCGGCGTTGAAGCGGCCGCCATTGTCGGATCAGCCAGCAGCTGGAGGAGGAGGAAGCAGAGTCGGAGAGCGGCAAGCGGCGGTGAGCAGCTTGTGTCTCGTGTTCCGTATCTCGTCTGGTGGGGTGGGGGGCACATGGGGCGAAGTGGGGGCGGTGCTCCGTGTCGGGGCTGGAGGCGAGGGCCACCGTTTTGAAGCTGGAGGCTCCATCTTGTGTGAGAGTGAGTCGGCAGGAGCCCTTGGCCCAGTTCTCGTTTTCCCTTGTAAGGCTCTGAGGGACTGGCCTGACCCCCCCTTATCCAGTAGCAGTCTTGATGGCTACGTGAGCAGAAAATAAAAATAATTCCTCTCAGGCAGGCGTACCTTTTTTCCTTTTCAAATGCTTCCCAACCATGCAGTCGAGGAGGTGGAACTGGAAATTCTCACTGGCTTTCGCCCCATAAGTGTGCCAAGAGAAAAAAAAAGGAAGGGACTCGTGTTACTGGTTTTCAACCGTAGCACTGTAAACATAACATAACAACAACACACGGAGCACATATTAATTTGCATTGCCTGTTTCAAAAAGTAACAGTAGGGACAGATATGCAACTAGGTTCGTTGATTTAATTAGTCCCCTCCATAGAGATACATGTGTTATGGGGTTGGCAATAACTATGCAGCCTCTAATACCTCCCCCCCCCTTACCCTGTTGTTACGACATGCTGTACTTCTTTCCATTTGTCTTCATCATCAGGTTTATGTCTTGCCCTTCCTCCCAAGGTGTGTACCTGGTGTTATTCCCTATGTTATCCACGTGTCAACTCTGTGACATAGGTAAGGCTGAGAGCAATGGGCATTGGAATTGAGGCCCAGGTCTCCCTAGCCCATTTCCAGTTCTGCATCCAGAGAATCCCTTAGTTTCTCAGCAGCATTTACACGTCTTTGATTATTTATGCCGAATAAATGCTCTAGAACAAGCTTTGACTCATCTAGCCTTTATGGCATTGCCTTTCTCTTCCTCAGCTACGTCCCATGGGGCAGCTTGACACAGATTCTGGGGCCGCTCTGATTCTCTCCCCCCCCCCCCAAAGCTAATGGAAAGATCCTTGTTCTAGTTTCTCCATTTCCCTTTTCTCATGTCCCATTGTGTGACACTTTGCTCCTTACAGACTTGTTTCCTCTTCTGCAAGGGGGTTACAGAGACCATTGGCATAAAATTGTCAGCAGCCTAACAGGGCTGCAATTTTTGCATGCCTCTGCATCACTTGGTGAAGTTGCCCACAGATGAGTACTGTGTCACCATTGAAAAAGTATTGTGTTTAAGGTGGCATAAGCTGATAAACCTTGGGTTGTGGTCTTTACTCAGAAGTGGCTTTTAATACAGTGGTACCTTTGGTTAAGAACTTAATTTGTTCCAGAGGTCTGTTCTTAACCTGAAACTGTTCTTAACCAGAGGTACCACTTTAGCTAATGGGGCCGACCATTGTGCAATTTCTGTTCTCATCCTGTTCTTAACCCGAGGTACTATTTCTGGGTTAGCGGAGTCTGTAACCTGAAACGTCTGTAACCCGAAGTACCACTGTATATGAAAATCTTGATGTTACAGTGATGAACATGAATGTATAATTTGTTCTACATTTACTACAGTTATGTAATGTAGCACTACTCCCTTGTTTAGGACATCCAGCTCACACTTTAAAAGTGGCCCGAGAGAACAGTAAGTTTTGTTTCCTGCAGCCCATCCTGAATTAGTGCTAAAATTTGGAGTAGTGCTATCTTACCGGTAAACAGCTAGTTTAATCTGCAGGGAACTAGATCTGTTTTCAGTAACTGCTTTGACTAAGTTTGCTCAAGTAATGATGTTTATCGTATGTGGGTATGTTAGAATTTGCCATGAGGATGAGAAGAATCCTTACATTGCCCCAAGATGGCTGCAGTGACTTAATGGAAGTGTTGTTATATTTGTTTAGCTAAATTAGTGCCCTAGCTTTATGTTCAGACTCCTGTTGGAAAAACATTGAACATGAAGTAGTTCATGATATTTGCTTCATAATAATTTATACTCTGTGATGTTTTCCCCAAGACGGCCTTCTTTGTCTCAGGATGAGATAATTGCGAAACTGCATTAGAAGGGAGAATGCAGATGTAAAAATTTGCCCCTCAGGAGAAACATTGCTTAATTAGATGTGTTCTGTATGGAACAATGTGTGTTGCAAGTAGGTCTAAATCATCACTGTCAGTGTTGCAAGAGTTTTTTTGGAAGCAATATTGCAGGGAGGAAGTTAGGGAAGTTCTTAGAGCCAGCATCAATAGCAAAGTTTTGTTGGTAAGCTGCAACTTTCTTTGCTGCAACTTCACTTCACCATCTTCAGAATCTGTTTGCCATGTTCTTTTCCTGCCATTGTAAACAGGGAAGGAGGATGGCTTCTTTAGCTGGATATAGTCTTGCTTAGTTAGAGACAGTTTTGTTTCCTTCTTCCTCCAGTTTTTACTTGTCTGGGGCCAAGTTAAACATTATGGCAGCATGAGTGTGGGTGGGGTGGGAAAGAAAAGCAATACAGTAGTCTTCTTCAGAACTCTTTTTACCTAGATATTTTTATCCCAGTTGGGGTTACATTCTGTTTTGGAGACAACTGGGATGAAAATATAAGGACGAAGCAGTTTGGTGAAGCGCAGTGGTGTGTCCACTATGTGTCCACTGTCAGCAAGGGTAATTTTCAGCTGACATTTGATAACTTTTACTATATATTGCACTGAGCACCTCTGTTTTCTCCTAAGAACTTCAGCCAAACCCATTACCTAAAACGATCTCTTTCTTGGATACAGAAAAAAGACAAGTGATAAACAGTTTGTATTGTTTTCAACATTGTGTACTCATGACTTTTACATTGCTACTTCATTAAAACCTACTTTTAGCTTCAGGCACCATTCAAAAGACTTTTTTGTACAGTTATTCAGTCAAATTTATAAGCTGTTCCTTGAACTATTTGAATGACATTAGCAAAGTATCGGTACTTAATCAAACAAATGTGTGATTGGATCGATCTGGTAGATTTGAACTCTCAAATGCCTCCTTTTAAGGCCTCTCATCAAAAGTGCCTTCGAAAACTTTAGCAGCTGATGGGTAATGTGAGAGATAAGATAATGGTTAAAGAAGAGGCAGTGATAAAAATACAGCAACAGACTTAATCAGGGAGAGAAAGAAATAGTGGAGTCTCTTAGGGAACTATGTTGGGAATCAGGGCTGCTTAGCTGATTTCTAACAGTAATTGGTCAAACTTCATTGAAGGTAGATACCAGTGAGCCATGCAGAGATGCAGTGCATTTCAAAGTACAGTGGTACCTCGGGTTAAGAACTTAATTCGTTCTGGAGGTCCATTCTTAACCTGAAACTGTTCTTAACCTGAAGCACCACTTTAGCTAATGGGGCCTTCTGCTGCTGCCGCTGCACGGAATTTCTGTTCTCACCCTGAAGCAAAGTTCTTAACCCGAGGTACTGTTTATCGGTTAGCAGTGTCTGTAACCTGAAGCATCTGTAATCCGAGGTACCACTGTACAGATGAAGGGAAAAGGAGATTCACTGCTGTGACTGCCCTGCTGGTGATGGGGAAAAGGGGTAATTCTAGGAGCATATAGTGACACTTTAGATCCATTGAATCCAAATCCTCTTGTACTCCAGAACTGGGAGAAAGCTATGTCAATTTTAGAGAATGTGTAATTCCCCTCTCCATTGGAACCAGTGGGTAGGGGTGGTACCTCTTTCAAGGATCCTCCCCCTTCATAAGATTGCTCTACCCATAAACTTGGAAAAAGTAATGCAGTCCCAAAACTACATGACTATTAACTTCAGTCAAATGGGTAGATGATACAGTAAATATTCTTTAAGTGACTCAGTTCTGAAGTGTACAGGATATTGTTGGCAGGACATGAGCAAAACTTCCAAAGACATAGTAACTTTTAAATGGCAGCAATAAAATAGCAGTTCAGCAGAGGAAAAATATTTAAATGTAGTCATTGCAGAAATAAACATAAGAAAAAATACAGTTCCTTAGAGTAAAATACAATATGCAGAAAATAATCATAAACGTATAGACTGAACTCCAGTTTTGAGCACACTGCGTCTTTTTGAATTTCTGCCCATCTAGTCCTCATCTAGTCTGGATGGGCGCATGGAAGCAGTCTTGGGATAACTGAGTACCTGATCTGGCTTGAGTCCTAAACAAAACATTATTCACAATACTATAATAATAAATTTTTTTATTTATATCCCGCCCTCCCCAGCCGAAGCCGGGCTCAGGGCGGCTAACAACAATAAACCAGTACAAAAGTACAACACAAACAACACTCTAAAATCATTCATTATAAAATTAATTAAATTCAGGCTACAGGCCACCGTTGGGCCAGAGCTCCGCGAAGATTGCCGAGGGAGGGAGTCAGGCTGTGCCCTGGCCAAGATGTCAAGTCCCGCAGGGCCCTAGTCTCTTGTGACAAGAGTGTTCCACCAGATCGGAGCCACAGCCGAAAAAGCCCTGGCTCTAGTTGAGGCCAGCCTAACTTCTCTGTGGCCTGGGACCTTCAAGATGTTTTTATTTGAAGACCGTAAGTTTCTCTGTGGGGCATACCAGGAGAGGCGGTCCCGTAGGTACGAGGGTCCTAGGCCATATAGGGCTTTAAAGGTTAAAACCAGCACCTTAAACCTGATCCTGTACTCCACCGGGAGCCAGTGCAGCTGGTATAGCACCGGGTGAATGTGATCTCGCAGCGAAGACCCCGTAAGGAGTCTCGCTGCAGCATTCTGCACCTGCTGGAGTTTCTGGGTCAGTCTCAAGGGCAGCCCCACGTAGAGCGAGTTACAATAATCCAGTCTGGAGGTGACCGTTGCGTGGATCACAGTGGCTAGGTCAGGGCGAGAGAGGTAAGGAGCCAACTGCTTAGCTTGGCGGAGATGGAAAAATTCCGCCTTTGTTAGAGCTGCAATCTGCGCCTCCATGGAAAGGGAGGTGTCGAAGATTACACCCAAACTCTTAACGGACGGTGCTGGCACTAATTGCGCCCCCGCAAGAGATGGGAGTTGCTCCCCCAATCCCATATCGTCCCGTCCCAGCCACAGGACCCCTGTCTTCGAAGGATTTAGCTTCAACCGGCTCCCACGTAACCATCCAGCCACAGCTTCCAAACATCTGGTCAGTGTGTCTGGGGCTGAGTCAGGATGGCCATCCATCAACAGATAGAGTTGGGTGTCATTGGCTTACTGATGGCAACCCAGCCCAAAACTCCGGACAAGCTGGGCGAGGGGGCACATAAAGATGTTGAAAAGCATCGGGGAGAGTATCGCACCCTGAGGTACTCCACACACCAAGGAGTGGCGTGATGACAATTCCCCCCCAAGCGCCACCCTCTGTCCCCGACCAGAGAGAAATGAGCGCAGCCATTGAAGGACTGTGCCCTGGATCCCCACGTCGGCAAGGCAGTGGTCCAGAAGTTCTTGATCGACCATGTCGAAAGCTTGCTGACAGATCTAAAAGAATCAGCAGCCCTGACCCGCCTCGATCCAGCTGTCTACGAAGATCATCTGTTAGGGCAACCAGAGCCATTTCGGTCCCATGACCAGCGCGGAAGCCGGACTGGAATGGATCCAGATCCAAAATATTATCGTGTGAATACAGCATGAGGCTTCATTACCTCAGACAAACATGCATGTTATGCCTTAAACTTTAGAGTGGAAGGTTATATGTGTATTCTTAACATAACCAAAAAATAAGAATGAGGAAGGTACTGAGGCCAGAAAAAGGAAGGAACTGGTTAGATGCAACTGAATGTGCTCAAACCAGAAGGTACTGCTTGATGAAACTTACACTTTTTGCGTCTGCACACAAAACCATCAGTTGTGACTTCTCAGAAGTTGAGGGAAGAGTAATAGGAAGGGAGGAAGGGGCAGTCATCTTTTTTAAAAAATACAAAAGGGAACCTAGGCAGATCATCACCATTTTTTGTCAAATGTTGCCTGTTGTAAATATGTTGAATGAGCAAAAAGAATTTACGTTTGCAGTATAGCACACACTTGGCTTCTGATTGACTTTGGTATGTACAAATGTTAGCATACTGTGTGTCTATGGCCTGAGCAGGTGCTGTGTTGGCGTACTAATGTTCCATGTATAGTGGCCATGGGTTGCATTTAAGCAAGACACTAAGCATGTGCAATGATACCCAGGAAGTTCTTACAGTCTGAATGTACAGTAATAACTGTACGTGACTTAGAAAATCACAAAAAGCTCATTCCCCCAAAGCCAGGTGAACTTGTCTGTGCACATTTGTGAGTTGATGGAGTGCTGAAACAGCTCTGTGTGCTTGTTTTTTCTTGTTTTTTATTATGAAGTAAGCTACATTTCCACTAGGTTACACACAGGGTATTTACTTTCAGGGCTGTATATCATTTATTACCAAGGTTATATGAGCTGCTTCTAGATAACCAGGTTAATAACTTTATTAGAAGGTAGCAGGTGCTCAGTGTTGACCTTCCTGAAACTTTATTATGATACCTCAACATGTATGACTTTTCTACTCTTGCATATCATACATTTCAGAAATGATAACCAGGTTAATAACTTTATTAGAAGGTAGCAGGTGCTCAGTGTTGACCTTCCTGAAACTTTATTATGATACCTCAACATGTATGACTTTTCAACTCTTGCATATCATACATTTCAAAAATGCCAGCTTCTTTAGGTTTACTTCTAATAAGTGCTTCCTTGTAGTTTTTAGTTGTGACTTGTCAAGCTTTGACTAGGTATGTATTTGTTACTCCAGTTCTATGAATAATGTCATCTGAGGGGAATGGCTGTCATTTTTCTGATCAGCAGGTAAAACTGTATAGTAAACTGGAACCTCTTTGCCCCAAACTGAAACCACTGTTGTGACATTAATTGGATAGCCACTTGTGCAATTTGGGGTGTTGTTCTTAAAGCCCCCAAACTTCTACTTGTGTTGTGTCTCTTCAAAAAAGTTCAGCAAGTGTTATAGCATTGTCCAGACTTTGATTTTGTTGCTGTTTAGCGACTGTAAGAAGACATTATCCATTACAGTAGACCAAATGATTAAGAGGCTGCAGTTTATTTCCAAGTTTCTGAAATGTATATATTTGCTTTGTACTTAGATTTAACCTTAATTTGTTGATACTCAGGTTAGTGTATAAACATTTGTGCAAAGCTTAATGTTACAAGCCATATGAATGCTAAATTTATAACTTGTATTGTTGTATTACTACAAATAATATGCTCCATTATCTAATTGGAAATATAAATATTTTTTTCATATTGCATAGAATATGGAATCAAAGCCACCAAGAATTCCAAGGAGGGTATCCACTCAGCCATCCAGTTCTCAAAGTGCTAGGACAGGAGCAGGAAATGGAGGAACCAGTTTAACTGACTCATATCTTACAAGAGAATCTTCACTTAGATTGGAACCTGGATGCCAAGTAAGTAGTATTTGATGGTGATACATGCTTCATTCAGCTTCCGCTTCTGAGTTTCTGCTCAGGAACAAATGAGCGGACTTAAGTTGCATGAAAAGGGGATACCTTGCTAGGAAAAGAACTTTAATTAATCTGTTTAACATGTTAAGATATGACCATGATAAGATGTCCAAAAACATCTTCTGAAGCCTTGATAGATTTATTTAATAGCAGAAATTCTGTCACTTGGCAGTTTGTGAATGACACAGATCTCTTCATACTGATTAAACCTTAGGTGTATGTAGTAGTCTTTTATACAGATATTAATGGTAACTTTTATATATTAGAACAGTGTTTCTCAAATGTGGGCTCCCTAGCTACTGTTGGACTACAAATCCTATCATCCCATACCACTGGCCCTGCTTAGCTAGGGATGATGGGAGTTGTAGTCCAACAACAGCTGGAAACCCAACTAAAAGTGCGTTCTCAAATGCACAAATCCTTTGTCTTGGACAAAGGAGCCTGAGTGACAAAAAGTGTAAAAGAAGAAAAGAAAAAGGGAAATGAAGTTTACAGCTATTAAGCCTATAAAAAGTATGCTTATTGGTTTTGGGTATTACGCATATCTCAAGGAAATAAATAAAAAAGTGTTGTTAGCTTGATTGTCACATCAGAGTTCTGAAATTAAGGTTTTGTGGAAACAAGCACAAATCCTGCACACCTTTTTTAGAACGGTAAATTTGGTTAAATTAGTCTAATCTCCCCGAGTATTATAACTGCAGTGGAAGGACAGGCTATGCATTTTCTAAATATATATTTTTTAAATCTGAACAAAGCATAAGGGCTACATTCTACTCTTTAGTGGCTACTTTATAGGGATAAGCTTAATTTTTATATAGCATTAACTGTGGTAGGCATGCAAACCATATATATCTTCTCCCTCACAGGATGGGTGCATTAATGTGGGGTAAGGTAGGTTGGGCTATAATCCCAAGGGGTATTAGGGCAGAGATAAAACTTCTTTGCCAACTCAAAAACTGAGATGACCTGTGCTTTGTGGCAGACTTAGCCTAGCCCCATGATAATGATGTACAAATAACACCTTTTATTATTTTCCATATTAGTACATGCCATTTAGCCTTAAACAATATAATGCTATCCCTGTCCCTGTTATTGGGTGGTCCATTGAGAGACCACATGACCATCTCTGAGTGCAAAGCTCACTGAGTTCATTCTGTGACCCGCACTTTCCAGTTCAACATATAAACATTCTTTCTGCCACTTATATTCCTTCCCCACCTGATGGACGGACTTCCTACAGGGCAAATGCAGCACTAGTAGTGCATGCTAGGTATTTGGTGATAAGTTCTTAGTAAAGAAGATTGGCTTGTTTCCATAACTTCACAGTACAAGCAAGCAACTGCTGTACTGCTTCTTTCCCCCTCAATTTCCAACATACTGTCCATATTGTCAATATACTGTCCATAATTAGAATATATATATGTGGCCTTGGAATTTCTCTTCCAAGTTTACTTTTTTGTATTCTGTATGTGTAGAACGCTAGACTACATAGTGCAGTATTGCTATTTTAAAGCATTTTCCTAAAACAGGGTTTGGCTTCAACTGAAAAGTGGTATTGGGAAATAGTTTATTTTGTAGGTGCTTTTAGCTATCTTTTGTTGAAGAATTAGCAGAATTAAGCCTCTAAATATAGAAATGCTTGTGGCTATTTTAAGCTTTAGCATTTCTCTGTTAAGAGTAATTTACAAAACAAGGACTTGGGCAGGGATTATAGCTCTTTCTCAGTTTGTTTCCAGTAGATTATATAAGCAGAAATTCTCCTGTGGGAATGTTCTTAAGACTGTCTTACAGGTATGACTACTTGTAAAAAAATGAGTTGCATTCCTGCAACACTTTAGAAACTTAGTTGATGCTTCCTGTAAGTAGGAGATTTAACTACAATCCTTCAGTTGAAAGGATGCTTTATTGAATTCAGTGTTATTTGACTTTAAGTAAACATGGGTAGGAAGGGGCTCATAGTCATATTTTCTTAGCCCCAAATAGAACATTTAAAATGCTTTAAGGCCATTTTCTCAAAGCATTTTAAACTGCTTATGTAAAATAAAAAATAATCAGAGAAATCAGCCAATAGAAAACATATGCAGTCCTCACAGAGGGTGGGCAAAAAAACACAATTTCCTCACTGTGGTAGGCAGAGCATTCCAGAGCTACAAAGGTAATATCTAGGTAGCTGTGTGCCTTGAGTCACATTCAAACAGTACAAGCCTGTGGTTCGTACTGGTATATGCACCGATATTGAAAGAAATGGCCATTTGGGCATATTGGTCCCAGACACTAAAGTCAAAAGCAGCATTTTGAATTTGGTCTGATAGTATATAGGCAGTTACTACTGCTGCTGCAACAGCACAGGGTTTAAATAAGTGTTCCTTGTAAAACCTGTCAAAAAATGGTTCTGGTTATTGTAGCAGATGAAGTTTTGAAGTCATTTTCATGGACAGCCTATTTAAAGTTCATTGCAGAAGTAAAGCCTAGAAATTATAAAAGCCTGTATCAGGGTAGCAAGTTCGGCTGCATGTCTTGTAATATTCTACAAGACATTCTACAAGTAATATTCTATTGGAATTTTTTGAGAGAGTGATCCATGAACGATAGTGATTGTTAGGCCTTCAATGAAACACCTAATGGGTGTTTGGATAATTTCAATGGGATAATTGAAAATGAATATTCAGAGTATCAGAAATGTCAAAATGTGGCCCAAATGAAATGTAAGATGAACAAACTTTGCCTGGCTTAAACCATCTTCCACTTAAGGGCTTCTGGAAAGGCAAACGTGAGGAAGGAAGTGAATAAATGCTGTCATTCTAGATAGCTCTTCCTCACAAGGGAATTTTCCTGGACTGTTCCTTACCCAACGTACTGTAACACATTTCAAATATTGTGTTGGGAATGTTGACCTTATATGTACAGGTACCATGTTCCTGGTGTGGCATATAAATTTTATTTATTTATGTTACTATTTATTCTTTTATCCCACCCATCCTTCTGAAGGAGCTTGCTATACAAATACAATCAACACAGAACAATAATAAAACCAGTGTAAAATAAATATTTTTAAAAATGCAGTACAGCAGGATGCCATTGACTGTACTGTAACACTCTGCTCCAAATTAGGTCTTGGTTGCCAGTATATCAGTGTTAAGCACACCAGCACTGCTGTACTCCCAGCCACAGGTCCCTGGCAGGCTAATCTTGTAGTTAATTGCAATTCCATTTATTTGTGATGATAGATATGCTTTGCATATTTTCTTTTATCCTGCCTGGTGCAATGTTCAAACCAGCCTCAGGCAGTAGTCACCATGGTGATACACTGTTAGCAAGATATTCATTCCTCTTAGTCTAACAGAATCTAGTAGAGTAACAGTACTTAACTGTCAGGTAAGTAAGTACGCCGAACTGACACCCAACATTTGCAGCTTTTAAATTACAGATGGGTAGCCGTGTTGGTCTGCCATAGTCAAAACAAAAAAAATTCCTTCCAGTAGCACCTTAAAGACCAACTAAGTTAGTTCTTGGTATGAGCTTTCGTGTGCATGCACACTTCTTCAGATACACCCATTGGTCAGATACACAGTTGGTCTTTAAGGTGCTACTGGAAGGAATTTTTTTAGCTTTTAAATTGATAGCTTGAGTTCATTTTTAAAGATTTCCATTCGTGGACTAAAGTACAAATCCTACTGGGACACATTCATTTGTGTGGTATATCACAAATCTATAAAAGTAATCGTCCTTCCTCCAAAAAAGTACAGGAGTTGCTTCACAATATCCAAAGTGTAATACTCTGGATACAAACATAGCTTTTATGTACTTATTAAAATCATAAGGATGGTAGCCATAGATGGAACTCAACTTGATGTCTTGAGCAGAAATGTGACCATATTACTTTGTAGGATTCTAGTCGGTTGCATAGTTCCAGTAGAGACTGGGCAATTGGAGAAAGAGAAGCATATGAAAGCCCGTGGAAGCTTCCAGCTTCATCTCCAACTCGCTACTCAGGAACACTTGATCGTCCATGGTCTGGAAGATTGTTGGGAAGCAGAAACAGACTGGTAAGAGCTGTTTGTAGCCTAAATATTTATTTTAAATGTTTTCCAAGTTTACAGTCACATTAATCTAATTTATTGTAAGTAAGTTTCAAAGAAACATGCAAATATTATCAGTTGTCTAGATTTGTGTTAGACTGCAGTTGGATTGCAGAAATGTAGCTTTGTCTTAGGAAACTGAGATGCCTAGAATTACATTAGAAAAATCCAAGCATCTGTAAGTATCTGTGCTTAGCCATTATGGACTTTGTACAATCCTGTTTTGCGACCATTCCCCACAAATTATTTAGTTTTTGCCTAACAACTCTTTCCCTGTAATATTTTGCCCATACCCATTGGGTACGGAAGCTCCGCTTGTGTTCTCATCTGAAGAAGCAGTTAGATTGGCAGACATGAGAGAAGGCATTCTTGAGGTGGCCTCCAAATATGGAGATTAAGTACAGCATTTTATATGTTATTTCCTGCAGTGGAAAGGTGATTTGTTTTCAAAAAAAAACAACAACCCACCAACAACACTTTTTACATTGTAACAAACAGTGCAAACTTTACTTTTTCAGTATCTGCATTCAGTCTAGAAGTTCCTAGCTTTTGCTCTGTGAGTTACATTTCTGTGTAAGTGCTAGAGAACATGTTGTAAGCAGAAAGCAGGGAATGGGGTGGAAGAGATGAAGGGGATGGAGACATGTGTCTGCAGCCGCCTTGAGTCCTTGTCAGGGAAAAAGGTGGGATATAACAACAACAATTCTAACATAGAGAAATGTAATAAAAAATAAGCACACAAGTATAAATTCACCAGCAGCAGCAGCAACAACAACAATTCTAACATAGAGAAATGTAATAAAAAATAAGCACACAAGTATAAATTCACCAGCATATTTATATATGATATAAATAGTGCTAAATTTATTTTAAAGAGTTGGCATTATTTCCCACACTAAGACCCCAAATTAACTATTAATTTAGATTTAGATGTATATCCTGCTTTAACCATCACAAAGTGGCTTCCAAAAGATAAAATATGAAACCACATAGCTATTACAACAAAATAGAATACATGGAAAAATGCTTAACCACCAGCACAGTGGCATCCTAAAAGCTCTGCACAGCTTTGACAAAACAATGCTACTGCTGAAAACCTTTGTTGCTAGTAGATGAAAACCTTTCCCTTGGTGATGGTACCTTATAATTCTTCAGATTATTTTAAAATGGGAAGTGGATGAAGGTGGTAACCTGGGGAAAGGCACTCCTACTATATTCAGGGTCTAGGTTGCAGTCATTGAGGGTGCAGTCCTGTACACCAAGGGTGGGGATCATATGGCCCTTCTGATCTTGCACTATTACCGTATTTTTCGCACCATAGGACGCACTTTTTCCCCTCCAACAATGAAGGGGAAATGTGTGTGCGTCCTATGGTGCGAATGCAGGCTTTCGCTGAAGCCTGGAGAGTGAGAGGGGTCGGTGCGCACCGACCCCTCACGCTCTCCAGGCTTCGCGGACCTCTCCGCAAGCAGCGGGAGCGCTCCCGCTGCTTGCGGAGACTTGCCTGCATGCCAAGCCTGCGCGCGCTGAGCTCAGCGCGCCCAGGCTTCGCGGACCTCTCCGTAAGCAGCGGGAGCGCTCCCACGGCTTGCAGAGAGCTGCCTGTTTGGGGGCTGGGGTCGGGGGAAGCTCGGGCTTCCCCCGCCCCAGCCCCGCGCCTGCGGGGGAAATAATTTTTCCCCCTTTATTTCCCCCCCAAAAAACTGGGTGCACCCTATGGTCCGGTGCGCCCCATGGTGCGAAAAATACGGTAACTTCCATCATTCCTAACCATTGGGGTTGAAGAAAGCTGGAGTCTAACAACATTTGAATTTCCACAGGTTTTTCACCCCCTGCTGCTGTACATACTTGCCAGGAGAAGCCTCACTGAACTCTGTGAGACTTTTACATGAGTAGACATGCTTAGGATAGTACTATTAAAACTTGAAAATTTGACGCAGATTCAGCCTAGAATCAAACCAGCAGCTAATGCAGATAAAAAGAGCAGGTGTTAACAAATGTCACATCTGGTTCCAACCAGGAGCTGCACTATGGCTTTCTGTGTCTGATGACATTTTAAGGGGCAGCCACATGAATGCATAAATTAAAATCCGAGAAGATTTCAGAGCATGTAAGACATTAGCTTCTGAATGTGAAAATGAATGATAGGTTAAAAACAGTTTTAAGAGAAACTGTGCTAATTGAACTGTTTTCTTTAAAACCTGTTGAACTGTGCTAAAGGGATTGTGTATATCCTTGAGAATGAATCTAACCATGTTTTCTAAATAGTAAGAAAAACCCTTTTAACTAGTATTACTTAACAGTGAATACAGTCATACCTCGGGTTGAATGCGCTTCGGGTTGAGCGTGTTCGAGTTGCGCTCGACATGCGCAGACGCTCAAAATGACATCATGCGCAGAAGCGGCGAAAAGCGACGCGTGTGTGCGCAGACGTTCCACCGCTACTTACGTTTACTTCTAGATGCGAACGGGGCTCCGGAACGGATCCCGTTCGTATCTAGAGGTACCACTGTAGAAATATCAAATCCTGTGTTTCTGGTTGTTGGACTTGGAGCCCTTTGCACCATCTCTGATTCTGAAGCTTGCTCCCAAGTCTTTAAAAAGAGGGAGGGAAGATCACCAATAGATATTAGACTTATTTTTAATACTTTAAAGGGTAAGCCTGCTCTTTTTCAATCTCATTCATACAAGCCCTTTTCATTATATAACCCAAGCATTTTCACTTTGATTTGATTTAATATTCTGCTAGCTTATTTTTTTAAGGCCCAGTATTTTGCAGAAAAGTAGTAACCTTTCAAAACATTGTTTGTAGTCTACATCTTCATCTTCACCTCTTACATCTTCTTGGTTTGGCGAATCTGAAAGAACTCAGGGATCATATTCTTCAAGACTGCATAGCCAGCAACAGGATACTGATTCTAAGAGACCTAAACTTTCTTATACATCTACCTCTAGTGTGAGAAATAATGGTTTAAACACAGTTTCAGGTAAGTGATGTGCTAAAAGGTATAAAATGATGTGTATTTATTTTGTTTTATACTGAAGCTAGCTTCTTGCTATCCATGCTCTTACACAAGCACAGTTGTCTTGTGGAAACTTAAAAATTAACAAATGTTATGGCTTTTTGTGGGGTTGAGTCTATTTCATCAGATGCATATAGCATCAGATATCATTATTATGCTCCTAAAATATCTATTTGGGGCACTGAAATACATATAAAGCATTCCACAACCAGAGTTTCTAGTATAGAGTGGCTTTGACTGATCGACAAGTAATGGCAATATTGCCATTACAATAACAATAACTATATTGTTGTGCATAATTTTCAGAAGAGAGAAGTGTGTTCCAATCAGGCCTAAAAACGCAGCAGTAAATATTGTGTGTTTAAGACTTTTATCAAGGAAGCAAGAATACATATGTTTTTCACTTTTTGATTTTAGATTCCCCATGGAGATACAGCGATGTACCCAGATCTTCATCCATGGTACTTGGATCATTAGGAACTGAACTTGCAAGAGAAAGGAGAGAGCTGGAAAGGACAGAACCATCTATTAGCAGTCTTGTGGACTGTAGTCACAGAAATGGTGACTTTTCATCTTCATCATGTATGTATTGTTTCATTCTATTTATGAGGTTCAGTCTATTACCTGTTTTTGCTTAGATGAAGACACTGTTCTTGGCTCACATGGCAGGATAGAAATTTCAGGGGGTTTAGAATGTTGCTAATTGTGAACGGCAAAGTTTTACTTAAAGAATCCTTACGGGTTGAATGTATTGGGCCAGTTTTTTTTAAAAAAACTTAACTTCTAGTCCCGTAACTAGTTTAAGCTAATAAAATAGCATTATTGAACAGTACTAAGGATATGGCTTCCTAATTGTGCACTGTCTCCAGGGATGCATTTGTGGGAGGAAGGTACGCTCATCCTAGGTTTGGGGGCACATTTGGAATTTTGAGAAAGTGCTGAGGGTGCCAGTCCTAAAATGGCTGCTGCTAAGGGTGTGGCCTATTTAACACAAAATACCTGTCACATCCAAAAAAGTAGAATAAGAAAAGAGATGGGGGGTGGGAATGGTTCAAATTTGGTCAAAACAATTTCAAAAACTTAGAAATGTTAATTCTTGTTGCTTCTCTTGTCTTCTGCTGGTGTGTCGCTATAGAGAAAATAAAATATAACTGAACCCAGGAGTAATTTTGAATTCCTACAGCCAGCCATACATGTGTATAGTCACAAATAAAAAGACGTAGTTAATGCTGGCTGGCTGGCTGGCTGGCTGGCTGGCTGGCTGTTGTTGTTGTTGTTGTTGTTGTTGTTGTTGTTGTTGTTGTTGTTGTTGTTGTTGTTGTTGTTGTAATATTATCTTTATGGAATAGAAAAGAATAGAAATACACAGAAAATAAATAAACTTACCAGAGTAGTAGGGCCAGTTGCTACTGCACACTGTCTAATTTCTCAAATGTTGGTTGTGAGAATAAAATGGGGAGGGGGAAGGCTGAACCAAGTATGCTGTCGTGGATTTCTTGGAAGAAGGGCATGCTAAAAATGCAATATATCAATATAATCAATCATGTTCTAAGCAAGACCAAGGGTTGTAGCTCTAGCATACTTACATGCCAATAAGCCCCACTGAATTCAGTGGACTTATTTCTGAGCAAAGATGCATATAATTGGGGCCTAGTTAAAAATGCACTTCTTGGGCTCCAGTTAATAATAATTATATTTGGTTAGTCTTATCTGCACAGCAGTATTTTACAGTTGACTTTTTGTGATTATTATTGTAGATCTTCAGGAAAGATCTTCTGCTTCGTATGCACAGGGAGCAAGACCAAAAGAGAACTCACTGAGCTCTTTGAGGCTGAACACATCCATGAACCGCCAGTTGCCTTCTGAACATCAGTCATCATTACTCTCTCGAGAGCATAGCTGGAATTCAAGATCTAACTATGTCCCAAGAGAAGTAGAATCTTCTGAAAGGAATATGCAACCAGAGTTTACCCTTGGTGCCATGAGAAGTGGAAGCGGTTCCTCAAACAGTTCCGAAAGAGTTATGCCATCCCAAAGGTCACTGAGTGAGCCTCCTGCAGATACTGAAGGAAGGCGTACAACAAGACAACTGTTGTCTCGTTTAGCTTCTAGTATGTCATCAACATTTTTCTCAAGAAGGTCTAGCCAGGACTCATTGACTTCAAGACCATTAGGTTCTGAAGATTCAACTGTTCCAAGAGCTCATTCTTCTACCCAAGCTAGTGCTACTAACACAGCTACAACTTCTGAAGGCACAGAAGGGCAGACTCCTGATGTTTCTCAGGGATTTAGCTTTCTTAGAAGACGATGGGGCCTGTCGGGTGTTTCATCAAATCCTAGTTCTGATTCGGAAGCTGAAAGTTACAGACCCGATTCTGAAAGTAGAAATTCAGGTTCTTGGCTATCATCTTCCCTGAGGAACAGGTGCACACCTTTGTTTTCCAGAAGACGAAGAGAAGGAAGAGATGAAACTGCAAGAACCTCTACCTCTGAAACACCAGCTAGATCACTGCATCTTTTCAGAAGAAGAGAACCTGGTGGGGAGGTATCTCTTGAAGCACAAAGTGAATCCCTCAGGCCTGCTGCCAGGCCACCAACACCTGCAGTACCTAATGGTGTTACATCTGTTGCCTCTGGGCCAGATTCAGCGCATGGTAGAAGAAATTCAGGAATATCAGGAATGTTTCCTGGTTCTCTCTTCCGGTTTGCAGTGCCCCCAACCCTGGGGAGTAATTTATCTGACAATGTTATGATAACTGTCGATATTATTCCTTCAAGCTGGAATCAGCCTGATGGACAAGATAATGACAAGTCAAAAATACTATCCTCAAGAGACCCTGAAAGGCTTCAAAAAATTAAAGAGAGGTAAAAGCACTATTTCTGTAGCTTTTTAAATGGAGTTTTAAATCAATTATAAAACTGATACCATGTACCAAGAGATCTTCAACTTTTCTTTTCTTTTTTTGAAAATGTTGGTTTTGATCCTAAATTGCTCCTCTGTTTTAATTGAGGGGTGGGGTGGGGTTTTCTGCCAACTTGCCTTCATCTGCAGCCCTTCACACCATTCTTAATGCTCCCCAGCCCCCAGGAGCAGAATTAGGGGATGTGCATAGGGCTGTAGATGGAAGAGAGGGCAGCAAGTCTCATTTGGTGAATATCACCTCTTTTGTTCATGCAAGGAATGTTAGGATCCAAGGCAATGTTCCTGGAGATGGTATACGCCCCCTAGTTAATGGTCTCTCTTCAGTGCCATTAATAACTTGGGTTGGGGAAAACTTCGTGATTGTCTTGCATGTGAATGTGATTCAGATTAATGTGTTGACATGTGAAAAGTGTATTCCAAGTTTTTTCTGCATAATAACTGTTTCCTCTTACTTAGCCTCCTTTCCGAGGACTCTGAAGAGGAGGAGGGAGACTTATGTAGAATTTGTCAGATGTCGTCTACTTCTGCTACTAACCTCTTAATAGAGCCATGTAAATGCACTGGAAGTCTGCGCTATGTTCACCAGGAGTGTATGAAAAAGTGGCTACAATCCAAGATTAACTCAGGTAAGGCAGCTCCTTTTTAGGACAAGATTTAGCTCCTGAGTTGCTCTTCCATGGACTTAGCTCCTGAGTTGCTCTTCCATGGACTGAAGGCTTGATGCAAAGGGGGATTCAAATACCTACTTATGTTCCTGTTTCTGTTTCTGTGTGTATATATGACGATAGAGAGACATACCACACTCTTTATGCTAGGGCATTGCCAACCTTTTTGGATAAAAGGGCATATTTCAAATTTTGAGAGTTGTGGGTACCAGTAACAAAATGGCCTCCATGGGGGTGGGGCATAACACAAGATGGCTGCCATTGGGACATGGCTTAGCATAATATTAGTTAATAGTCATATTGAAGCTTTTCACATAGTTGTATTTTCAGACTATAAAATGCTTAACCTGTTTAATTTGTTACTGCTATACAACTTTTAAAGGCACAAGAACCCTGCCCCCCCTTGCTGACCTATCCAAAGTCTAGGCTGCCATCCTGTACCCACTTACCTGGAAGTAAGCCCCATTAAAGAAAAATGCTTGCTTCTGAGTAGATGATTTATACAATTGTCCTGCATTGAACTATACAATGAATTCTTCATGAATGCCTATTCCTTAGTTCCTCCACAGCAGGAGACATGCCTAAATCTCTTTGAAGAGTTTTCACATTTGTCTTTAGCGGGGAGAGGAATTTTGCAGAAAATAATTTATAGGGTTAAATTATTTAATCTCAGATTAACCCCTCACAGGAAAGATGGATCCTGGTTGCTAGAGGAAAAAGAAAGGGCAATTTATGGCGATTCAAAGGACTAGAAATTAAGACAGAAGCGGGGAAATTGCATTAAAGGGGAGGGGAAGATTTGCAATTATTTAGGATCTGAAGGATTTCTATTCATTTACCAATCACAACTCTGACTTCATTCATTGGCTAAAACCACTGACAGGTAGGAGCAGTCAGGCTGAATCATTTCACAGAAATTGGCTTGGAAGAGTGCCTGTGCACTGTTTTGTAACATTTTCCTGGAAGGGCTAGAAATGCACTTTTTAAAAAAGAGAAAGCTCAAAGAGTCTGGGGCTCTTTGACCAGTGAAGGACTTTGCTAGCACTGCGTTAGCAACCTGCCCCCTGCCCCTTATATGAATCTATACATAAATTTATACGCTTCAATGAAGGAGAAATACAATGATGCTAGTAAGTGAATTGCAAAACATAAGTAATGCAGCTGAAACTTATGGCTGTTTGATCACTGGCACCAGTGTATTCTGCCTTGCATGTTTATTTTGTATTAATGGCTCAGTTATATAAACAAAGATAAACCTATCTTTCTGTTTGTTAGTGTGCTTTCATATGCCCAGTTGACTCAAGAATGCCTTCACTCTGAAACAAAAAGTGTAACTCCCTTGTTCCCTCAGGTTCTTCACTGGTAGCAGTAACTACTTGTGAGCTGTGCAAAGAGAAGCTGCATCTCAATCTTGACAATTTTGATATCCATGAGCTTCATAGAGCACATGCAAATGAACAAGTTAGTATATTTTGGCTAATTTGGTAAGTGTCAGTTTTGTGCTGTGATTCGGGACACTTTTTTTTCCCCTAGAAGAAAATATCAGTTCAGGTCAAATTTGATACTGAATTTTTAATTTTCCTAAATAAATCATAAACTACATTTGATATCTACAATGCCCATTTAGAATAACATTCTGACATATGTGTGTATATCTTGGGCTTTGTGTCTGTGTGTTTCTGTTCTGATTTTTTAATTTTGGGGGGCGGTAACTCAGTGAGCATCTGCCTTGCATGCAGGCAGTTCTGACTTCAATCCCCAGCAACTCTAGGTAGGAATGGAAGAGACCCCTGCCTGAAACCCTGGGAGTGTTGTTGACAGGCCCTTGTAGAAAGTGCTGAGCTAGATGGATCCTGTGGTCTGATACAGTATGAGGCAGCATCCTATGTTCCTAAGACACAATGCAAAACAAAATAAATGGGAAGCCAGAATGAACATAATTGATAAAGTGACCTCACTTGCTGAGTGGTTCAAGCTAAAAGTTGGGATTATGGAATAGCAGAAACAAACTGTCTTCTGACAGTGACAGTGCAATTTTGTCTCAAAAGATGTCTATAGGATGAACTCTTAATAATACATCTGTGGAAGCGTCCTCCTTCCTCTACACTGACCTTCCCTCATGGAGTCTGAAGGGAGAGTGTAGTTCCCCTGAATGCTGTCACAATTCTCCCTGCTCAGTGAGAGATTGTGTAGCTTTCTAATAACGGGGAGGATTTTCAGTCTGAAACAAAAAGTGTTACGTACTTGCAGTTCCATTTCCCATGCACTATGCGGAAGGTCAGGGGAGGAGGTGATAGGACCAGGCACCATTAATGAATATCTGAGTAGGCTTTAGACGCACTTGGAGGGCAGTGCTAGGTTTGCATTGATAAGTAAGGAGACATCAATGGGGCATTAGTCATAAGCAGTGTGTGTGCTGATGCTAAATATATGTCCCTTCCACAATTTTACAAAATAAGCTTAGCAAGAGGTGCTAGGAGAATTTTTAAAGACAAGGGGTAGATCTGAGAACTTTGGGGGGGGGTGTTGAAAGGCATACATGTGCAAACCTACCTGCCAACAAATGAAATTACTAGTGTCTTTGACAGAATCCTCCCTGTTAAACAGGTATAATATACTTGTGCATCTTTCTAAACAATATGCGGATGAAACCTTTTTGTGTCTCATATTCATTACTATATAAACACCAAGTTGTATTAAGCTTCAATATAAGTTTTATAAATGTATAATGTATTTTCCTTCTGTTTTTTAATACTTTATGCTTATTTGAATCATTACATTTAATTTAGATTATAGTTTGAGTTTTGGATATTTATCAAGGGCACCCTTTGTTTCGCAGAAAGGAGCCCAAAAGACTTCCCATTGTTTAGTGTGGCTCTCAGTTTTCAATTTTCTCAAGATGTCTACTTAAATATACAACCAGTCATTTTAGTGAGGTGTTGATTTACTTGGAAGAACAGTCTTTACAAAGCAGTTTCTTTAAAAGTGCAATCATGTTAAGATTAGAATCTTTGATGGATATTAAGCAATAATGCTCCTGCATGTGCTGGGATAATATAATCAGTGTAAAACAGCACTCATTGTGCATTTCAGACAACTTAAATGTTTGACTTGATGATACCCTCTCTCTCCAGGCAGACTATGAATTTATCAGTTCTGGGCTTTACCTTGTAGTATTGTTGCACTTGTGTGAACAGCGCTTTTCAGATATGCTGGGAACTACAAGTGAGGCCAACACACGTGTCCGGGTAAGTAAGTGGTGCAAACAGCTTCTGTGGCCGAAGCAGATTGTGACACCTGTTAAAGCATGTTTTGATATTTTCTCGAATTTCGTACTGGTCAGAATCAAAAGCCACACTCCCAGCTGGGGCTTTCTGCTCATTCCTGCTGCAGTCTCTTATGCCCCAAAGCTGCTCACTAAGGTCTGAAGACCCTCTGGAGATGTTATATAGGAAATGCAGCCATGTACACATGTTCTATTGGCACAAGTCCTTCCTGCTTGCATATGGGGTTCTAGTTATTTCCTAAAGTACTGCTTAACAAACAAAGCCACACACATTGGGGAGATTAAATAGGCATTGGGTGCTATCTGAATGTAATTTTAAAGTTGATTAAGAGTACATTAAGGCAGCATTTCCCAGCTTTGGATCCTCAACTGGACTCCGTTCTTCTCCAGCCAGCAATACCACTTGTTCGGGATGATGAAAGTTGTAGTCCAGCAACATCTGGGGATCCAAGGGTGAGAAAAGGCATATAGCAGGAGTGGGCTACATTTCCTTTGGCGCAATGTCTCTGAGTTTGTGTGTCACATGCTGAGAGTAGGTGGGGCCAGAGCTGATGGGTGGAGCCACAAACTAATCTGGAATAAAGGCTTTCCTGCATCCAATCTAATACAGGTCTACTTGAAGTAAGACCCACTGGGTTTTATATGGTTACTTTGAAATTGGTATATAGAGGGTTGTTTTTTTTCAGTGCAACAAACACACACAACTACTGGTCATGCAAGTAATAACTTCCTTGCTTTACTATGCTAGACATACATTTATGGAAAAGATGTTCTTGAACATCTGGGAATAAAAATACTACCAGCACTCACCAATTTATTTTTACCAAATAAAACACTACTCAAAATTATTCTGAAATTGCATCGAAAGAGAAAATAGGAGGAACTGATGGCTGGAAGAATGGGGGCAGCTTCAGGGGCATTGGGGGCCATATAAAATGAGGCTGAGAGCTGCATGCAGTCCCTAGATTGCAGGTAGGCCACCTGTACTGGTACATTACTGGTAAAGGAAAGTGGAGGATAAGCATAACCTCCATGAACATGCATTAATTTTTCTATTCTAAAAAGTCTCATATGCCTATTTGGGCTCATGAGCATCATTGTAGTTGCCCTTTTTTCCAAACTACGAAGCTCCATGCAGCCTCTGCTTGTAGATAAATTGACCCACTGCCTTTTCTATCCACTTTCCAGTCCTTGATACCTTTTTTGAGCAGACTTCGTTATATTTTTTCTTGATTGACCAATAAAAATCCCTAGAACTGTGCCTGTTTGGGAAAGGATTTTATTTTACCCTCTAGCAAAGTCCCTTGGATGGCTGGTGCCTTCAGGATTGACTAAATATGCAGGAGTTGATGACAACTATCTATGCAAGTTTTTCTCAACACCCACTCCTTCCTGAACAAGGAGTTTCATCTAATGATAGATTTCATCCTGTTACAATTATAGTGCTCAAGCAAGATTTTCTTACACTCTTGCTTGCTCAAAGGGTGTCCTTGACAAATATGCAAAAAACCCCAAATCCAGTCATTCTAAATAATTGTTCTAGTTTTAGATCTGAAGATCTGCATGTATTTCCATGAACTAAAGACGGTGCTCATCTTGTCTATATAGTAAACTAGACTGAAACTTGTAAGTAGGTTCACAGTCAACATATGTCCGTTTCTAAGGCCTAGCTCATACAGTACTCTTCTACATGCAGTTAATAACTTCTGCATTAAGAAACTTAACATGTGAATTGTTGGGTCAGTTTCAGCCATGCACATTCCCACATTTTTGTGGAGAAACTTACATGTGTGAATTTCTGGCTCACAGATACAGATGGTGTTTCCTAGGCCTTTTAAAGCTTCTGCGATTATCAATATAAGTTAACAGTGTCTGATCTCCCTTCACCCCCTTGGCCCAGCTCACGTGTTTTTCTATAGGTGTGCATTCATGGGGATAATTGGGACTCTTCATTAGCAAGATAGACAAAAAAAGTATTATACACAACACATAGTCATTCTGTGGAATCTGCTTCCACAACAGGTAGGGATGGCCAACAACTTGGGCGGACAAGGCTGTGTTCTACCTCCACTATTGGAGGCTGCATGCCTCCTACTACCAGTTGCTGGAAATCCCATGGGTATCTGGTTGGCTACTGTGAGAACAGAGTGCTGAACTACATCAGCTAGTGGCCTGATGTAGCAGACTGTTCTTATTGGGAAAACTTAAGTTCTTCAATGGCATATATATGCTTTGGGGTTTATGAATTGTTTTACAGGCCTGCGGTGATTTACAACTTTTAAAACTACCTTATTTCTGTATTATTTCTAGTTTATTAATCTTGCAAGGACTCTTCAGGCACACATGGATGATATTGAAAGTAGGTGGCTTCTGCTTGTTTTGGTTTGATTTAAAAGTAAAAGATGAAGTTTATTCTTGTTTTGTATCTTGAGATGTATAATGCTGAGTACTTGGCTGATGTGCAATTTTCACGCAGCTGTGACTGGTATACCTAATAAAACTGAAAGGGAAAAGAGTCCATTAAAAGCACTCATTCTTGACTGGATTGTTCCTTTTAGCAAGACCATTCTGAATGAAGATAAACCTCTCACCGTCTCAATCTGACTTTCAGATGGACGTTAGGAATTTGTCTAGATGACTGTCTCCTAAGAAGAATGTCTGCCTCTGAATAATGTAATCAGGTTCTCAGGAGTGTGTACTTCTATAATGAAATCTTAAGTAACTTGTAGAGAGGTGTCCTTTAGAGGTAATTACGTTTTTGGGAAGGCCTGCTGCTTTGTAGGTGATGACTAACTTGGTCATGTCTAGTATAAACCACCTGACTTTCTGCTTGCATTTTGGACAGAATATGCATTAGCCAATTATAGCACCAGTAGAATAGCTGTAACTTACATTGCATGTTCCTAGTAATCAGTCTCTAGTATGTATCTATGCTGAAGTGTTAGTGAGGAGGGCCTGAGATCTATAGTTGCTTTGCCATACAGTCTGTGGTGAACCCGTTAGTGGATCAGCAAGAGGAAAAAGAGGTGAGCATTTACAGTTGTGAGCATTTACAGTTGTTAAACTTGAAGTTATATGTAGTTTATATGTTGAAGTTATATGTAGTTATATGTAGTTTCTTGTTCCCTGTAAACCCTACAGCTGTACATTCCCATGCCCCCTTTTCTCTTCCCAATGAGTAGGGAGGGGTGGCTAACACCCCAGAGGACAGGATCACACCCCAGAGGACAGGATCACACTTCAAAACGACCTTGACAGATTAGAGAACTGGGCCAAAACAAACAAGATGAATTTTAACAGGGAGAAATGTAAAGTATTGCACTTGGGCAAAAAAAATGAGAGGCACAAATACAAGATGGGTGACACCTGGCTTGAGAGCAGTACATGTGAAAAGGATCTAGGAGTCTTGGTTGACCACAAACTTGACATGAGCCAACAGTGTGACGCGGCAGCTAAAAAAGCCAATGCAATTCTGGGCCTCATCAATAGGAGTATAGCATCTAGATCAAGGGAAGTAATAGTGCCACTGTATTCTGCTCTGGTCAGACCTCACCTGGAGTACTGTGTCCAGTTCTGGGCACCACAGTTCAAGAAGGACACTGACAAACTGGAACGTGTCCAGAGGAGGGCAACCAAAATGGTCAAAGGCCTGGAAATGATGCCTTATGAGGAACGGCTAAGGGAGCTGGGCATGTTTAGCCTGGAGAAGAGGAGGTTAAGGGGTGATATGATAGCCATGTTCAAATATATAAAAGGATGTCACATAGAGGAGGGAGAAAGGCTGTTTTCTGCTGCTCCAGAGAAGCGGACACGGAGCAATGGATCCAAACTACAAGAAAGAAGATTCCACCTAAACATTAGGAAGAACTTCCTGACAGTAAGAGCTGTTCGACAGTGGAATTTGCTGCCAAGGAGTGTGGTGGAGTCTCCTTCTTTGGAGGTCTTTAAGCAGAGGCTTGACAACCATATGTCAGGAGTGCTCTGATGGTGTTTCCTGCTTGGCAGGGGGTTGGACTCGATGGCCCTTGTGGTCTCTTCCAACTCTATGATTCTATGATTCTATGAGTAGGAATCTCAATAGTCTTTGATACCAACTGAAGTTGAATTAGTCCAAGCTGTGTGCTTCTTTTGGTTCTGCTTGAGCTGATGAAACCGATTACAGCAGAAGCCAGGAATTTGTGAGCTGGCTCGTAGAGCAGAATGTCTTCTTCAGTGTTTGTGCAGAAGCGCTTGTATTTGTAGAGAGGAGAAATATAGTATTGCCAGGAACCAGCTGCCTTTATTTTTCTCTTCCTTGAAGCTCTCTCATATGTTCTTATTTCAGCCGTGCTGCTCTTATGGAGCAACACTATCTACCCTCCTTTAATCAGTTTCCAATAGTTGCAAATCATTTTGCTGCCCTCTTTAAATACCATTTTCTAGTTTGCTGCTCCTACAACTATAGCTGTTTGGTATAATTTATTCTACTTAATGGATTTTTTTGCTTCCTTTTCAATGAATTTTGGGAATGTGTAGGCCACTGACACACTTTGGGTGGGAGCAACTGGTTTGGTAGCTATTTAGAAAATGTATTATACTTTAAACACAAGTGATTCAGTCAGACTCTTCCCATATGAACTGCCCTGGACCCTGCAATCGTAATCAGAGGCCCTTCTGCTGCGTGTGCCACCTCCACGAGAGGTCTGGAGGGTGAAACACGAGAACAGGCCTTTTCTGCAGTGGCTCCACACTTGTGGAATGCTCTCCCCAGGGAAGCTCACCTGGCTCCTTCGTTACATATCTGTAGGCACCAGGTAAAAACATTCTTCTTCTCCCAGGCCTTTGGCTAATTAAACAATCTATGGCCTTTTAAACTGGGGGGGGGGTATTGTTTTTGTGTGTTACTATGGTATGTATTTTTGTGGTTTTTTATATTTTAAACTACCCTGTAATCTTTGAAGGACAGTATAGAAATTTAATGAAGAATAATAATTGTTTAGCAACTTTTCCTTTCTGAGGGACGTGGAGTTAACCTTTGCTTCTGCTAAAAGTGTTTCAAAATGTCATTTATTGTTAATATAGTGCCTTCCATGTACATGTATTTGTACATCAAATGAAAGCAAAATCACACAGTGCATCGTACAAATAGTTATATCCAGCATAAGCATACTTTGAATAAATCCACAGTAATAATTGAATTAAATTAGGGTGTATTGATCTTAGTGGGTCTGCTCTGAGTATGACTTAGTTGGATAGAACTCATAGACTTCCTAGAAAACTTTGGACTGAAATGGTTAAAATAGAAACTAGGCTGTTGTGGTGATTGGGAATTTCCTCTTAAATGTTGTTTAAAGGATACAATTAATGGGTACAAAAAAGTACGATGGTCTTATTTTAACAATTAAAAAAATAGGTTACCTTAGGACATTTCAGAAATACCTGACTTCTCTGATCATTTTCAATTTTTCATCAATAAAATGGAAAGCTTTACCCTCACCCACACATTGGGTTTAAAACACATTTGCTTCCATTTACTTCATGGTGCTCATTAAATATTTATTTCATTTTAGCATAAGCATGTGTAGGTGTTTTTCCATTTTCAGTTCAAGAGAAAAGATTTGTGTGTGTGTTGTGAAGCGTGACTGTGGTTTTCAATTTAGGAAGCATTCTATTTGGAAACACTTAATTAAAATTACATATATGCTATGTTAAACATGTTCGTGTTCAAATTAAAAATTGCTTCCTGTACCTTAGAGTTGTAGAAAGATTTTGATTGGGTTGTGTACCTTCAGCAGCTTCTGATGATGATGATTCTGAAGATGGTGAACTCGACAGAACACTTGATGCTGCATAAATGTGAATGGAAGGACCGGGTGGATACTCAACTGGCACAAGTACCATCAGTATGCATATGTTTTGTAAAACACACTGAATGCTATTAGATTTCTGACGCATTGCTGAATTCAAAAATTTGCTGTTGCACATTGGTATCGAGAGACCTGCAAGTGTGTTGTTTCTCCTTTGAGATTATGACATGTATGCCTTCTTCTAAAATAACAGATTTTTACATGTAAGGCAAATGATCTCCTTTTGTATAAACTTCTTACAAGTAATCAGTTAAACTTCTGGAAAATGTTTCTCAACTTTTGCTCTTCTACTGGCTCTAAGTGGTAACATTAAAGTGTGTTTTGCAAGTCATGGGGAGGAGATAGTTCTGTGTTAGCTTTCCATTTTAAAACACCTTTGGGAAGTCTCTTTAATTTTGCTTCCAGTGTTAACCAAGGTTGAGTGAGGGAATGAATGGGTTCTGTGAAGTTAGTGTTAAAGTTTTTCTTGAGGAATGTTTAACTCAAAGCAATAAATTTGCAAGGGGCTACTAATAAGCATTAATTATGGCTTTTATAAGTATTGATTTTGAAACTGCTGATTATATTTGATAATATTGTGTAGAAGTTCCGGTAAGGAATTGCAGCTGTAAACACTTGCATTTCAGCATTCCTGGAAGGAATAAAACTTATGGTTTAGAATCTTAACCAAGCTATTTATCTTAATGAACCTTTTTTAGAACCCACATTCACTGCTGAAGCACTGGTTATCAATGTGTTTTCTAGTGTTGTCACTTGTTTGTTAAATAAAAATTACAATGCATACGAATTGCCTGCCTTCTTAAAATACAGTAGATAATAGTGTACAACTTGTCTTCTAAATTGCAGTCTGCATTTAAGTTCTTTAAAATTCTGGGGAGAATTCAGCCTTGTGTTCTTCTGATTGTTGATAGTTCTGTCTACACAGGTCTTTCAGCTTGTCAAGACAGAACATCTTCCGCGCCTTCAGGGGAAAAGGATTGGGAGTAGTGACATTGTAGGATGCTGCTCATTTTGTCACACACCATGGCCACTGGTGTGAATGAAATTTAGCACAATATGCAGGCCAAAAAGCCACAGTTCCATAATGCAGCAGGTATTGCAGTATGAAAGGAACATTTGGAAGACAGGATTGAAGTGCCAGAATTAAAATCAAGAAAACTAATGTATTCCCCATATCTGAATACAGACCTAAGATCACCTTCTGAAACCTTTCAGCAAGGAAGGAGAGGCTGCTATTTCTAATCCTTTGCAGATGTTCTATAATGATAGTATAGTTGAAGTTTTGAAAGCTATTGAATGATCTAAGAACTGTAACCATAATCTCCCCCCCCCCAACCTTGGCAATTGCTGTAGCCGTTCTGACTCCAGGTAGAATATCTGTTTTAGCATAGAGAGCAGTTGGCAGCGAAGAGAAATCTAGATGGCCCTACTGTGAACACAGAAGGTTAGTAAACCCACTTTGAAAAACTTAAGTCACCAGGATAAAACTTGAAATGATTTTACACTGATGTTGATGAGCTATATAAAACTCCTCTTATGACATGTTCAGAATTAAATTCATTTTTAAGTAATATGTATTTAGTGCCACCTTTCTAACCAAAATTGCATTGCTTTTTCTGGTGACTGTCATGCAGTTATTTGAAGACTTACTAGTGTTAGATCAGTTAGGATGTGATGTCTGTGGTAAAGTATTCAAATGATTGATAGCTTAAGTGCACTTAAACCCACAGAGATGTGCAATCTGTTTAAGTGCTAGTTCAGTTGAGCTACTATTTGCAATTTAACATATGGTAAACTTCCTGCATAGTATTGTCCCCTGCTCAATCATTTCAGGAATTGATGGTGCTTACTCTCTCAAACACACATCTTTCAGTACTTTGTTATTGTTTTACTATAAACTGCTTTATTGAACTACTTAATGTATATAATGCTAGGAAGGCCTAATCACCTTTAGTGCTCCCCCCCCCCCGTTTGATTGCTGTGGACCCCAGCAGCTATTTGAAGTTTTTGCAAACTGGTTTTTGCAGATTAGGAATATTTCATGAGCCATATACTTCTGAATGATAATGGGTTCAGTTGTCCTGCAGTATGTTATTCCTCTCCCTCCATTTCCTTTTTTTAAGTTACATTTACTAGCCACAGATGATCCCATATGCCTCTATTCAAATGAATGAGAAATGGTGTCTCAGACTCCTAAGCCACTTTGGGTTATCCTCACCAACATCTCAAAATAGGGTCGAGAGGAATAACAGCATTTTGCCTGTATAATTTTGTTTATATGGGTAGAATGCATTGTTTGATTTTGCAAAAGAAAGCATGACCATATTTCTCTAGGTACCATCTCTCCAAAAATAACCGTTACAGAATGCAGTGGAGCAAGTTGGACCCCATAGATTTCCCCTTCTAGGGATTAATGCTTCTCCATGGTGGTTTTACTTCAGCACCTGAATTAAGATGCTTATAGTGCTCAAACCTGCAATACTGATTTATTTACTATAAGCACCATATTCCTCCTAGGCATCTTTGTTTTGTTTTTCCAGGGCTTCCTGATAGCACAGTGAAGTTTTTCTAATTAATGTCAGGTTTTGTTTAACACTTTAAGAAAAACAACAACAACCCCAATAACACTTTTTGGAATATGGCACCAAGAAAATACATGTTTATTTCATACTGGAGTAATTTAAAATCAATTTTTTGTTTGGGTTTATTCCTTTGGGACCAATGGCAAATTGATAGTGTTAAAACAAATGGTGTAAGAGGGCTCTGCCTTCCATCTGTCATTCTCAAAAAGAATTCATATAACAAGGTATTTTTATTTATTTATATCAGAATTATACACATAAAAATATAGAGACATGTACACATGCATGGTTTTCCCCACCACTGTGTTAATATAGTTTTATCACATAGCTATAGTATGCAACATTTCAGCTTGGAAGACCAATTTTAAAAAAAAACATTTGGCATGGCCTCATGATTAAAGGTATGAAGGATGGAGTTACTACATGCTCCAAGAAACATTTGTGGAGGCTTTGTGAAATAACATCTTAGACTTGACAACAGGACCACCCCTAGTGTTATGGTGAAACTTATAATAACGAAACCTACCTTTTTTGCAGATGGTTCCACTCTACAACTGGAATTCTGATTTCAGAAACAATTGAAAAAGTGTATAATTGTAGTTTGTCATTTGTTTCTCGATGCCATTTGTTAATGTAAATAAGGGCTTCAGGTGTGGGCTTTTAAAAGTTCTTCAGGCACATCATAATCTGCAAAGTTTAGCACAATAGCTTAAGGTGAGAGTGATAGAGGTGAATCTTTGGATGTAGGAGACCACTTACTTCTGGACGAACAGCAGGTTTCTATGTACAGCTGCCCTTTCCTCCAATATATTACCTAGCCAAAGCTAAACACTGTGAAGGCCGACAGTTGCAGTTGCAGATATTAAGCAATTGTGGAAGTGCTTAACTTTGGCTGGACTGTATCTGCTGCTGTTTCTCCTCTAGCCAGCCTTAACCTCTCCCGAAACCAAACTGGTAGTTCAATTTGTGCCAAGGCCTTTTTGCATAGTGAAAAACACAATAGAATGAAAGTTCAGTTTGTGAAAATGGTACAACAGTTGCATGGATGGAAATTTACTTCCTGTGCGTAAGAGCAATTTAATTTACCATTGACGGTCGTTCATCTTCATGTGGAATAATGTCAGACTGTCTTTTCCTTGAGGTATATTTCTTGGGAGCCACTATTGTTCTTTCTGTAATTATGTTATAAATAAATACCATTTAGGCAGTATATTCATTTTCTTCTTCTACAAGAACCACTTCATCACTGCTTGGCACTTGAGTGGTGGAACTGTATGCTGTACATCCTGTTCCAGAAGAAACCCTCCTTTGATATAGGTACCAGAGAAATGCTGCAGACACTGCCACAATTACTGTTGAAGTTATGACTAAGGTAGTTGTCCAAGCGGTTTCATCTGAAACAATACAGGGATTCCGTCAATGGGATGTAGTCAAATTATGTACATTCTTTCTACACTACAGCTAATGTTTATCTGCTATCACACTTGGCACACTAATAGTAGTGATTGCCTCTTTGCTTGGATCTAATTACCAGTTTGCTTAGAAAATAGTTCCTTTTCTACAAGTTACCATGGAACACAAAGGTAGCTCGGTGGACAACATTCTCACATTTTTCATTATACACAACATCAGATAGTATATGAATGTTAATTTATCATAGCATACCTACGAGACAAACTTCGTAACCTCTTTACTTTCATGTTATCTTGTTCTATATGGCACTTTATTCCCAAAGCTGCTGGTGTTCTACAAAGTAGTATCCACTAGTGACAAGCATGTCTATACACAATCTCCTTTTCTAAAAAAGCTTATGTGACACCAAATCAGGGTAAAACTACTGGGTAACAACACAGAACTCTGGGTGTCTCTGCTACTTGCTTGTAACCAAATTAAATGGGACTAAAATACTGATGATATAATAATAACAAATAAGAACCATGACATTAACTTTAACCACTTGAATATGTACACAGATCACAGGGTAAATGTGAATGCTGCAGTTTCCTTATTCAATTACAAAGTGCAATAGTTCTGAATAACCAAGCGAAAATGCTCTCTTTTCAAAGCTCAACTACTGAATTATTATTATTTTTTTTGGGGGGGGGAGGAACCAAAAGATAACTCACCCGGTAAATACTTCTTTTCATAAGGAACTGCAAGCATACATGCAAAAGAAAATGAAAGGCGTTAATATGTGTTTATCTTAAAAGCAGCAATTTGCTTTCACTGTAATAACTGACAGTCCTAACATCCTGAATCTTGAACACAGCATTCTGTGCTCTTCAGGCCCCAATCCCAGTAACCTTTCCTATTCACTTGCATTGAAGAATGTTGTGCACTGTATGCATATGAGAAGTTCATTTCTGAAACACCTGATCTTCATGTTCATGTGGAAGGGACAGAAAATGAGCATAATCCTTTATTGTGCAGAAATGACTGCTCCAGTTAATTAAGACTTCTGCGATGTTAAGAAATGAAGTCTTGTCCTTCGGTTCCAATGTGATAAAAGCAGGAAGCAGGAACCAAACCAACACCATTGCATTTCCAAGAATCTTTCATAACTAGTCAAAAGCAATGCTAGTACTGGTATGCTTTTTATAGGGGTATTCACAAAAACAGTTTCCCAAAAGTTAACCCTCCTTGAGTAATCTTGCAAAATTTTGTGTAGCTGATCTCTTAAGACTAAGGGGAAGATGTTTAGAAGATGCTCTTAAAGTAAACTTCTTACCCGTAGCAGTGCTAATTGCTCCCAAGACAATTCCCTGCAAACCTCTGAACTCTGAAATCTAGCACTAAGAAGAAACCATTTATAGTATAACAAATAGTGTGGGTATTACATACTGGAGGTTTCACAAAGGACTTCAGTCAGTGGGAGGTGCTCACAGGCTGCTTTTTTCCATTGGCCTGATGATGTCTGCATAACAGCACAGGTGTTTATTAGCTCCTCATTGCTTTCCTCCTCTATCCAGTTTGTAAAATTCACTTTGGATTGATCGTACCATTTGAAAACGTTCTCTGCAACAAAATGAAATGGCAAAACCATGGATACTACTGTAGTAGTTGTTCACAAGGGATGATATTTAAATATGCTTTAAATCCCAGCATTCAAGTTTTAAAGTCCTATAACATTAAGGCTGGTTTGTGTGTGTGTAGGAATAAGTCTCTGCCTTGTGTGCACCTCCTGTGTGGGTGGGAGTTTAATTTCACTTTCCAGAAGCAAAGATCCTGGTTTAAAACAAGCTCGAGTCCGTTTCTAAAGTTAGCTTCAAAAGCAGGAGTTATGAAGATAACTTTTATAATTAACCAGAGTTTGTTTTATGCCATGATCTTAGTTTCATGGGTAACAAACAAGCCAGGCCTTCTGGAAAGTGAATTGAAAATCTGCTACAGTCCTTGTCCTGCAGGAGGAGGGGGAAGAGCAAGCCTCACATCGACTTTGTACTGCTAAAGGTAATACGTGGTTGACTTGGAACATCAGAACATAGTAACAACATCTTGCAATAAAACAAACACAAGCACAAACCCTCCACCACCACAAAGTGTCCTCTGCCACCTCAAAGGGAAGCTCTATTGAGACCACTGGAACTTACTTAGGATTGTTCTTTAGCTGCTTGATTAGGGGTCAGCAAGCTAAGGCCCATGGGCTGGAAGCAGCCCACGGAGGTTGTTTGACCGGCCCATGAGCTGCCCCCGAACTGAGCCGCCTGCGTGCTGCGCTAAACCGGTGCAGCGCAGCACAGGGACTCACTTCTGCAGTGGCAGAAATTGTGTCTGTGCAGACGCTGGAAATCACAGGCACGTGTGTATGCTCACGCACGTACACCAATCCGGCCCAGGCAAGATAAACCTTGCCGACCCCTGTGCTTGATTATACCATCAAAATTAAACCAAGGTCAGACTCTATGTTTCTTTTGAGATTTCTGTTCACTTACCATCTGTATCAAAAAACATGCCCAATGATATGTATTCCGGACCATGCCAGTGGGTGCAGAATGTACTCCGAATAAAGCTATTCTCCTCTTTGGTATTTATGCTTATAATGTCGGCTCCAGATGCTGCATTTGAAGGGGTGGGTGGGAAACAAACAAACACCAAAAATCAAATCCCAGCGCTTTGTCAGATCTTCGTCTAAAATAGACTGAACAGAAATAGTGCTCATGTGTGACCTTTTCTTATGCTCAAGTACTATTAGATTTTGCGTATCTCTCTCCCCGCCCCAGTTCATGAAAGACAAACAGGCCCAACCACCCAGCCCAACAACCCTAGTTAATTGTGTCTGTGTCCCCAAATATGCCAGTGTGTCTGCTGCGACATACAGGAGCATGTGTGGCACACAATCCCAAATGGAAAGCATTCCCAGAATGTAAAAAAAAAAAAAGCTTTAAAAAGACTGGGCTAACAATGAAATAGCAAACTACTCCCCTCCTTTCCCCCGGATATGGTCAAGAGCACAATTAAAAGCCTGTTGAAGTAAATTTGCGGGAATCTGGACCTGGTAGATTACTAGAAACTCCGGAATGGGCAAATTAAATCAGAGCAGCCACTGAAGCATCAAACAGGATGAAATACTGATAACACTGTACTGCAAGAAAAGCTGCTGCTCTGATCAGAATAACATTCTATCTCCGATGGCCGACTAACTATGGGCCTCTAGAGGTTGCTGCATTATAACCCCAAGCATCCCTGACTACTGGTTATACTGCTGGGCCACAGGTTTCCCATCCCTGCCTTATTTTATTTATTATTGAATTTGTGTGCCGCCCTATACCTTCAGATCTCAGGGTGGTTCACAGAATAAAATCAAAATATAAAACCACAAAATACATAATCAAAATTAAAACCAACAGCCCAATAACCCTTCACACAGCTGTTGGGAGGATAAATTTGTGAAATGCTTTGAACACTCCCAATAGCATCTGAAGGGCCTTAGGCTAGTCTCCCTTGATCTATAATTACCCTTATTGTCACAGCTATAATAATTACAAAAAATAATGTACCCAAAACAACGCAGCCCTCAAGCATAGCCACAGCCTACGTATCTCATTAGTGACTCAAAAAGGGACTGGAGAGGGATTAGTTGTATTACCATTTCCCTTGCAGACTTCCCTGGTATCATCGAGAGTTTCCAACGTTCCTTCAAGCATAGCATAGCAGCTCCTTCCAAAAGAGAGCCAAGCGGCAGAGGGACATGCAACTAGGGAAGACAATGGTCACAATTAGTTTCCTGTATATTTGTGTCCTGCCTTTTGATAAAAAAATTCACAAGGCACCTGATAAATATACTTAAAACTGTAACAAAATTGTTTAGACAAACTCGGTCATCAAAAGAAGCTTCAGAGCAGGAAAACGATCCATGGCAGTAAAAAGACAAGACACCAGAAGATCCCAGAGGCCCTCTCAGAAAATACCACCTTTGCAAAACACCTGATAGTTAACCAGGAAGGGACAAGGGGAATCTCCCCAGAGAGGGAGTTCAAGGGTTTGGGTGCTAGTGTGGAATAGGCTGGATCTCTAGTGACCACCCACCATTCAGATGATGAGAGCACATGGAACAGGAGTTCCAAGGAAGATCTTAATGTGCACCATGATTCATAATTGGAGAAGGCTTGTTGGGGACAACTCAAGCAGTTTAGAAAACTACTGAGTGCAACAATGCAGGAAGGATGACACCTGGGCTATAGATGGCAGAAAACTCATCTTAGAGACCCCAAGGTGGTTGTCATCAATGGAAGCTAAGGCCCCAAAAAGACTCAATATGGAGGCCAAATGGCCGAAGTATTGGGAAATAGTAGAAAAAGTTGGAGATACTTGGAGATTGCAGAGTTTTGAGAAATTACAGGATAAAGTGCGAGATTGGTTACATTACGCTCAGATTAGGGAGGTTTTCAATTTGGATAAAAAAAGGTTTCCAGGTGGAAAAATCGAAACTAGAAACAGAACTGTTAGAACCTAAGACTAAGGTACTTTCAAAAATGTACAACTTGCTGTTAAAATGGAACACTCAGGATGAAACGGTTAAATCTGCAATGATAAAATGGGCGCAAGACATTGGTTATAATATTATGTTTGCTGACTGGGAAAAGTTATGGACCACTGGTGTGAAGTTTACGGCATGTAATGCCTTGAAAGAAAATATTATGAAAATGATATACAGGTGGTACATGACCCCAGTCAAGCTTGCAAAAATATACCATTTGTCAGACAATAAGTGTTGGAAGTGTAAAGAAACCGAGGGAACATTCTTTCACCTTTGGTGGACGTGCCCAAGGGTTAAGGCCTTCTGGGAAACGATTTATAACGAGCTGAAAAAGGTATTTAAGTATACCTTTCCTAAGAAACCAGAGGCTTTCCTTTTGGGCATAGTTGGCCAGAGGGTGTTAAAGAAAGACCAAACTTTCTTTTTATATGCAACAACAGCAGCAAGAATACTTATTGCAAAATATTGGAAGACCCAGGATTTGCCCACGCTGGAAGAATGGCAGACGCAACTGATAGACTACATGGAACTGGCAGAAATGACTGGCAGAATTCGAGTCTTGGGAGAAGAGACAGTGGAAGAGGACTGGAAAAAGTTTAAGGACTATTTGCAAAAACAGTATAAGCTGTATGAATGCTAAGAAGATGCAGGATAGGTAACAACATGGCACCAAAAACCGAACTGGAAGAAATATGAGAATAAGTGATATTTAAGAAAAAAGAAGTAATTCGGAGTAATATTATGTCTAAATTAGGTTTTAAGTATTAGATAAAAATATGTAAAGATGGAGACATAATATTTGAAAACTATATAATAAGAATTGAAACAAGGTGACAAATTGCTGCTTATAAATTTATAATTGGGAACGCAGGAAAGGGAGATGTGAGGAAGTCCAAAAGGTTATGAAAATATGATTTACAGATAGTTGATTTTGTTGTACTTTTTCTATTCTATGTTTGTCTTTCTGTTTTGTATGTTTATCTTTGTTTGTTGTATGTTTAAAACTTTCAATAAATATTTCTCTCTAAAAAAAAGAAAATCATTATTACATGTTTTACATGGCTGTATATTTGTATATCTATGGGACGCGGGTGGTGCTGTGGGTAAAAGCCTCAGTGCCTAGGGCTTGCCGATCGAAAGGTTGGCGGTTCGATTCCCCGCGGTGGGGTGCGCTCCCGCTGCTCGGTCCCAGCGCCTGCCAACCTAGCAGTTCGAAAGCAGCCCCGGGTGCAAGTAGATAAATAGGGACCGCTTACTGGCAGGAAGGTAAACGGCGTTTCCGTGTGCTGCGCTGGCTCGCCAGATGCAGCTTTGTCACGCTGGCCACGTGTCCCAGAAGTGTCTTCGGACAGCGCTGGCCCCCGGCCTCTTAAGTGAGATGGGCGCACAACCCTAGAGTCTGTCAAGACTGGCCCGTACGGGCAGGGGTACCTTTACCTTTATATTTGTATATATTTTAAAATTTTATATATGGATGCTTTGTGATGGCGTATATTTGTAATGCCTAAAAAGGTTTGGCGCAGAAGAAGATTTACAGAAACTGTTGCCTTGCAAAAAACATTAGTGGGTTTGTACTGCAGAGGCACTTTCAGCTCTGTTTAAGATGAAAAATTGCTTGTCCGTGTTCAAAACCACAAAGAACAGTTTAAAAGGAACTACGTAAGTACATTTTGTGTTTGTGTGTTTTTCCTTCTCTTCCAAGGGCACAAATAAAATTTGCTTTTGGAACATTTTGCAAGGGGAAAGAAGTACAAAAGGGGGGGGAGGATCCTAAAATCAGTTCAGCTCTGCAAGAGAACAATTAGTGTCAATTAGTCTTGATCTGAACAACTTTTTCTATACAACAGACTAGCATCGAATAGACCCATAACTATATGCATTGTTCACCTTATTTCTGTTTTATAGATGGCAAAACAAGTAAGAATGCAACAGATCCAATGTAACATTTCTTACTATCGTTCCTAACTACTGGCAGCCTGCACATCTCATATATGTGGGTTACCACTGGCTTGCTGAAACCCAAACACCGTGTGTGGAAGAAGTCTTCCACAACTTTATGGATATAAGCTGTCGTCGCTGTGTCACCCTAGGCTGGATTTTCCAATGATTTCCATAGGTTGAGAAGAGTACAAAACCCATGGTTGAATCAAGTTTCCATTAATCTCCACTAAAAACCTCTGTCTATAACTTTTATATGTGGGTGATATACAACTAAGTCATATTTAGACTAGGCTCATAGAAATCAACAGACTTAAACCTATTGATTATAATGGGCCTACCTGTATGGAGAAATTGGATAAAATGGCCAAAAAAAGGAGTTAATACTGTAAGCACTACAGAGCTCGCTCTCTCCATCAAAATAATTGAAGACAGAAGCAGCAGTTTAAAATCTTTGTGTTTTGCCTACAATCAAGAAAACAGACAGCCATCTAGCAGAAGTTATAACAGATATTCATTTAAAGTGTAGGCTAACACCAAAGCCCTGTTTTCAACTATAAAACATTGTTTATTTATAGTTACAGAAATACTCACTGACCAAAGAATCTACTTCATCCCTTCCAGGGGGGAAAAACAAATATGGGTACCATATGTCTAGGGCAACAAACAGATGGCATACTTTATATACTTTCATTTTGAAAAGAAAGAACTGGAAATACCACAACGATTTTAAAAACAACATGTCCAGTTACATGTGGCAAGATGCAGCCAAACCGCCAACACTCCTTTGATTTCATGTAACCATGTTAAAATGTTAAAAATGCAGTATGTATTCTGGAAATACAACTTTGTAGTTTTTGTCCTGGGCTTGTTTTTTCTTAAACGTTCCTTGCCACGACAAGAAATGCTTCCTTTATGTCAGCGCTCATCCTGCTTCCTTAAAGACTGCGGAGGCTGGCTTTCTGCAATGTGCTAAAATATAGTGATAAACTCTCCTTTCCATTGGATGCGTAGTAAGGTGTGAAGTTAGGTGGGCTGAGACTGGGTTATTTGGTCCCTGTACAAGACCCTAGGAGGATGGATGGAGTAACACACATGAGATAAGGGAAACTACCCAAGGGTCAGAAAAACAATAGCTGTTGTTTGAACGTTTTGATGGTACAAAAGTCTCTGGTTCATAATGTTTCAGAGAAACACAGGAAGACTACTGGCAGCAGCTCTCCAAGGCTTTAGACAAGACTCTTGACCAGCTGCTTCTCAAGATGCCAAGACCTGAATCTGGGACTTTTCAGCTCTTCCCTATACATTTAAGCTCAATTTCATAAAGGTCTTCCAAGCAGAGAAAGTCCAGAACGTGCATGGAATATGTAAGCCTGCTGCTTCTCCTGCAAAACTTGAGGGAGTCAGCATAATGCAAGAGATCTACGATCTCCAGCCCTATGCTCCAGCTGTTTTTTGTTGATCCCTAAAGGATGCCGAAAAAGACAAAACAAATGAAAGGTATACATTACAGTGCTGGGGAGTGAGAAATCCATTCTTTAAGTTTGAAAAAATTAACTATTATTTCAAATAGCTGTCCACATATAATAGTACGCACTTGTATTCGACACACTTCTTTTTTTTTCAAATTAGAGTGACTCTCCACTGCTTAGCAAGGCTACATATATATTAGATGGGTGCAGCTGCCGGTGGATGCATTGTTCTCCTTTTAGCCATGGTCTTCTCACTTCAAAAAGCTAAACAAACAAAAAAAATGCCCTAATTCAGGGATGAGGATCTTGCACAATCAGCTAGCTTTCCCCCCCCCTTTTACTGGAACATTTATTTATTTTTGCTGGAATAGAGTGGTGCAGAGCCAGGAACAAAGTGTTGTCTTCTCAGAAGGTGGAGTCAATTACCCTTTGCAGTATTTGAGCAACAGACTTCAGAGTTTAATCCCAACCATGTGTACTCAGAAGCAAGTCCTATCAAATCGCTTCCTGGGTAAGTAAGGCTAGCAGCCTTAGCTGACCAATCTGCATCCCAGTTGCTACAAGCCAAGGAGTCTTAACACCTCACTTCAGAAAATAACAGTTGAAAACACTGACAGATCTACTGCATCTCATCCTGTGGCCTACTTCAATGAATTCTCCCTTGTTGCTAAGCATTTCAACAATTAAGCTCTGATCCTGAAAAGAGTCACAGTATATCTACGCATATAGATGGCCTCACAACGTAACCAGGATCACACACACCCTTGCACCTACATATACAAATTATTTTAGCAGTGGATATAGGAATTAACGTGTATATGATTCATGAAATAGATCTCAATAACCAAAATAGGGAGAAAAAGGAAAAAGAAACTGTTTCTTTTAAGGCCATGAGACTGGAGGTTTTGTTTACTTTGACTCATGTTTTCTCAACATCTGTGCACTAGCCAAATGGACTTCAAACAAACAACTACCCAGAGTAATGCAAGTCTGTTTAATCTCCTTATGGAGAAAACAGGAAATTAATTTGCCCATTGTCCGATTTGTTTCCTGTGATGATGAAGCCTTAAAAGCTTGTGGGTCACATGATATATCTTGGTATGTATTATCTCATCCTAGCAAAACCTCTTCCCTCTTCCACCCCCACCCCCCCCATTCAGCTCTGGACAGATGAACCAAATACAATCCCTCCCTCATCCTGACCAACGAACAATACAGAGTTGTTGGGGGATCTGTCCTAAAGAGAACAGATCTCTAAAATAGGTTTTGTAACAGTTTTCTGAATTAAAATGTATTATATTAAATTACAGGTTCTCCAGTTCATGCTCATACTAAAATGTAAAGCAAAACTTAAAACTAGAACACACTTACAAATATATTTTAATACATTTGATGGCTGGACATCCTCCCCTCTTTTTACTGGGGGCTAAATAGGTACCGCTCAGGCGGGAAGGTAAACGGCGTTTCCCTGCGCTGCTCTGGTTCACCAGAAGCGGCTTAGTCATGCTGGCCACATGACCCAGAAGCTGTATGCCGGCTCCCTCGGCCAATAAAGCGAGATGAACGCCGCAACCCCAGAGTCGGTCACAACTGGACCTAATGGTCAGGTGTGCCTTTACCTTTATACCCCACAAAGGCAGAAACCATTGCCTAGACCAGGGGCTGGCAACCTAAGGCCCATGGGCCACAAGCAGCCCATGGGGGTCATCTAACCAGCCCATAGACTCCTGTATGTCAGCTCCTGTATGCCGTGTTAAACCGGCGTGGAGCAGAGCGGGGACTGCCTTCCGTGACGCTGGCCGTCTTCCCATTGGCTGCAGGAAGCTCCTGCAGCCAATGGGAAGCTGCGCACGCCTCTGTGCCAGAAGGAGCGCTGGAAACAGCGTTTGTGCATGTGTGCGCACTCCGGCCCACCATGGCGTCTGCGGGACCGTAAGCTGGCCCAAGCCACAAAACTTTGCCGACCCCTGGCCTAAACTGTAGGACCTTTGGTCCAGTTTACATCCTTCAGGGTCCAGTAGAAATCATGCTGCCAAGGGCAGAAATTGCGTAGTGTATGTGAGATTTTGATCCAACAACTTCATCTCTTGTATTATAACTTGATATTTTATATGCTATACATACTTTATACGTTGTTGTTTTTTTAACGAGAGAGAAACACTAGTTCCCAAGCCTTCAGGGAAGTAATGGTTCTCCATTGGGAAATCCTGTTATACCTAAATAAAATATGAGCCAAATTCTGGCCCGCAGCTCCTGGTAAGTGAGATGAGTTAGGAGCCCAGGTTTGGAAGACATGCTAAGTCCAACCTAGACATAGCTCAGTGCAGTGCAGGTGCAAAAAAAAAAGGGGGGGCAGAGAGGAGTTCCTCTCTAGGAGCTTTCAATTTTGCACAATCACAAACCATAGTTTAAGCCAGTAAGCTGCCAGGCCACTTGTCCCTCTAGCTCAGTATTATACCATAGGTATAATCCCATGGGTCAGGAACCACACCAGGTGAGCTGCAGCAAAGCAGCTGCTACTATGTTGGACTCCAGCTGAGACTGCTCAAAAGGAGACCTTTTCTGCATTTTTCTGATGGTTTTGATTTAGTAGAAAGCATAGGCCTAGCCAGGATTTTTGATAGGGGGCCCCCAAAAGTTGTTGAGCTTTTTTTAAAAAATTTTTTTTAGGATGCCCCCCCAAAGAGGACATGGGGGGCAGGGTTCTGTTTGGGAGGCAGGCTTTTGTTTTTTTGAGGGGGGAGAACTTCAGTTTGGTAAGTGTTTCTATTGCTGGCCTCCCTTGGCTTTGCCCATGGTAGGAAGGCTAACTAAGATAACCCTAAGCAAATTGCTCTGTAAATTGCCATTTGTAATGTGCATTACCAGCATGAAGTAAAAACCAAATCTGAAAATGGGTCACATGCTGCCCTGCCTCAGATTCAGGCGACAACCCTACAAATGTTCACTTGTGAGAGCAAAGCCGCATTTGAATGCACAATTGGGAATAAGCATTTTATTTATTCAAATTCCTCTAACTAAACAGCGTTTGTTTTCCTTATTTATTTGTAGCCCCGATGAGCTTCTGGGCACCATACTGGTCTCCCAATAACTCCCCCCCCCCCCACCGAAGCTAAATGATATGGAAAAAGTGCTTCAGGGAAACCTAAGAAGGTCTATGGGCGAGTTCCGAATCTGAAGCCAGATTTCCCCACCAAGTCCTTGCCGCTTTACCCACTGCGCCACACTCTCCCAGCGAGGTCGCGCTGCGAGCCCTGCGCGTGAGGGACATCCACGTTTCTCGCCACGAGCTTGCGCGGGGAGAGCTTCCCTGGGCGACGGCGCTACAGGCAGGAGAGGAGGGCGCGCGGGAGAGCCGGGGAAGCGCAACCCGGAGGCCGCGAAGAGGAGCAACCCCCTCGCCCCGCTGCCAGCCCCGCATTCACTTGGCGCGCCCGGCCGGGACTAGCGGGAAGAAAAGAGGGGGGAGGAGCCCGCTCCCTTACCGTCTGCTGCTGCTCCTTGGAAAGGCAGCGCGGCGGCCAGGAGGAGGCCGCTCAGGAGGCAGGAGCGCGCGCTCGAGGGGGCGCCCATGGCGCAGCGAAGCAAGCTCCGTCCGAGCCCGGCCCACTCGGGGCTCGACGACGACGACGCCACCCACTCCCTGCCGCTCGCGGGGTAGCCGGGGGTGCGGTGGGCGTGGGCGAGCTCTGGCTCGTGCTCCGGCTTCGGAAGCGAGAGGGAGGAGAGCAGCAGGTCCAGCAAACTTCTGCAAGGGGAACTGGGTGGCGGGACTTCTCTCTCCCCCTCCTCAGTTGGCGGAAGGGGCTGGTCACGAAGAAAAGCTACAAAGCACTCCAATGCACAGCTGAATTTATCCAATGTTGCCTCTGGGGGCTTGTGATCCCGACAGAGCTTTTGCGTCTTTAAGTGTAGGCAGAAATTCAACTGGCACAGCTTTCCGTCATCAAAGGGACGCTCCTGTCGAATGCCTCGCGTCCCACCCAGCTGGGAAAAGGCGGTCGGAAGCAATTGGAACCTCCCTGCTTAAGTTTCCGTGTGTAAAGTTAAAACGGCACTTAATGGAAATACTTAAACTACTTGGCTCTTTTCCTCTCGAGGAATCTTTTAGCTATTGGTGCTTCTGTCAGATGCAAAATCTCCTTTTTGTACGCTGTGCTAATTATTTCAGCATAACTTCTTTTTTCCCGTGCTTGCAATCAGTACTAATCCACTACTGACTGATCAATTGAATTTTGCACAGGGATGCAAAATATAGGAACATTAAATGTCACAGTACTGGTTATAATGAGGTCTTGTTTGTGTGTGATAATATTGGTAATGCCAATCACCTTTCTACGCAAGACCTAATAACAATTGCAAGTTAGGTTAGTTATCTGTTCTTTTTAACCTAAAATTTAAATTACCTTAAAAGTATTTTCCCTGGATGGTAGAGACTTGGCTTGAGTTAGTGTTTGGAAAAGTGGGAACTACAAAATGCTTCTTCAGTTACGTTATATGCAAACTGACCAGTAGAGGGTATCAGTGTTGTTTCCTTAGCACACCAGCAATATGGGAATGCTATGCATTTTTAATAACAATATACAGAAAACTATCAAAGTTTGCATTATCATTAATTTCAGTGATAGTAACTATACCTTTGAAATTTATGGAACTTGTTTAATATTGACAGGATTAGGATTTCCCATTGGCCCTGTTCCAGTTCTAATAAATGTTTCAACAACACGTTTTTCTTACTGGTTCTGCATCTAACCCAGTGTCAAATTTCATTTTGTGCAAGACTCTCTGTAAAGCTGCAAAGACCTCACCACCGTCACCTGTTGAAATTTGGCATGGTGGTACTTTTTAACAGCTGCAATCCCTTAGGAACCTTAGAGCAGAACTATGCGATGGCAGCACACCCAGGTCTTAAAATGTGGGTTCCTGCCAAACACCCTGTATAGCAAAGTATGGAATGAGTTCAAGTGGGAAAGTCCTTGTGAGTGGTGCAGAACCCTTCAATTCCCTCCCTCCAGTCAGTTTTTTTCCTCAGCTGCTGTTCGAGATAAGGAAAAAGTTCAGCTGGATGAAAAAAATATTAAATGGTGTGTGTGTGCATGAGAGAATGAGAGAGAAAGGACAGAATAAATAAAATAGGAAGCTGCCTTACACTGATTCAGGCCACTAGTTCAGCTTTTACACTGCCTGGCAGCAGTTCTCCAGGGTTTCAGACAGGAGACTTTTCTAGCCCTATCTTGGAGATGGCAGGAATTAGCAAAGCGGACGCTCTACTTATGTGCTGCCGCCAGTATCAAGTGTCATTGTGCCCTTTTGAGGAAGCTGCAGTGAACACAGTTATTTACAAGTAAACATGCTTATGGTTAGGTTGACAACATGGAAGTTACCGTTTTGCAGCGACGTGGTCTGTTTCGTTTACAATAAAAGTGGGGGGGAAACAACAGATCTCCAAAATTTTAACCTCAGCTTCTACAGTGTTGCCCTTGACACCTCAAAGAGCAAGTTAACTTTTCAGGGTATGAGTTCTTTGCACAGCAATTTTAAAAACCAGCTATGGAGAAACAGAATAGGAAATTCAAAAATTCAGATTGATTATTATTTTCAGATAAAATCTTAAACTCAATGCCTTGCCGACTCCTATGTTGTTGTTATTAGAATTTGTACACCACCCTTCATCCACAGATCTCATCCTACCCACATTTATCAGGAACTCCCATTGGTTTTCAGTTTTTAAAGTGTGTGTTACATTGTAGCCTAACTGCATATCAGAGAGGCAACATGTCTCTGATCTGTTGTGTTTTTTGCAATTAGTTTGAATATGCAACTAAAATTGGATGAAGTGCAATGTACTGTAATGTGGTATGTACATTGCACATGTTGTTCCTTCAAGGGCATAATCCAGATGCAAAAAAAGAAAAGAAAAAAGTCCAGGAAGCAAAGCAGGTCTAGATCCAGTTTAATGCCTAGATGGTAGGCTATCAGGAGACCCCCTAAGTTCTGTAAGAAAGCCAGGATATAAATGAAACTAGTGTTTTTTTTAACAGTCTCCCAGTGGCAAATATTCCCCTTTGGGGCAAAGTGCTCATGAGGAATGGCAATGGTCAAGCTTCAGATGTGCTTAGAGAAAACAATATTATCTGGACCCATTTAAGTCTGGCTTCAACTAAAACTGCCTTGGTTGCCCTGGTAAATGACATTGGCCTGGAGAGCAGTAGTGTAATCTTGCTTGTCCTTGATCTCTCATGACTTTTGGTACCATTGACCACAGTATCCTGGAGGACAGCTTTAATACTCACAAACTTCTAACTTGCATATCATTCACAGACAGGGTATCATCCTCCTGTTGTTTTCTATGTCTGCAAAGGAATCAATTTCCTCAACATAGTAAGCTAAACATAGAATCTCTCTCTCTCTCTTGAGCTCCCCATTGCATGCGCTGATGACATGCTGGAAGGCTAGCATCATGAACCAGGGGAGGCAGTGTGCAGGATGGTCTAGTGCAGGGGTCTGCAACCTTTAAGACAAAAAGAGCCACTTGGACCCGTTTCCGATGGAAAAAAAACTGGGAGCCGCAAAACCATTGCGACATTTAAAACAAATATATCTCCGGAACCGCGATCTGAAAGTGGGCGGGAAGGTGACGTTGGGACGGTGTGTGACTAACGCACGCACCGCCCCCATTCGACGTCACAGCCAGTACAGCGCCCGCCACAGTGGGGAGTGTCGGGGCGCACAATGCGCCTCCTCCCCTCGCTAGTACAGTGGTGCCTCGCAAGACGAAATTAATTCGTTCCGCAAGTTTTTTCTTCTTGCGAGTTTTTCGTCTTGCGAAGCACGGTTTCCCATAGGAATGCATTGAAAATCAATCAATGCGTTCCTATGGAAACCGACTTCAGACCAGGTCCGGGGACAGTCTGTCCCCCGACCTCTTCTGAAGGCTTGGGGGGGGGGGACAAGGGCTTTTCTTCCCACCCCCAGCATTTTAAAAAACCCCGGGACAGCGGAGACTTCTCCGCTGTCCCGGAGCGATCTTAAAATGCTGGCGGGCGGCAGCAAAGCCTCCGCTGCCGCCCGCCAGCATTTTAAAAAACCCCGGGACAGCGGAGGACTTCTCTGCTGTCCGGGGCGATCTTAAAATGCTGGCGGGCGGCAGCGAAGCCTCCGCTGCCGCCCGCATTTTAAAAAACCCCGGGACAGCGGAGGACTTCTCCGCTGTCCCGGGGCGATTTAAAAGCCCACGGGAAGGCAGGCAGGGGGGAGCAAAGACTTTTGCCCCCCGCCGGCCTTCAGAAGAGGTCCTGGACCTCTTCTGTTTTTTTTTTTTTAATAATATTTTAAGTTTTCTTTCAAATATTCAGAAATTTACAGAATAAAAAGTAGAAAGTAAAAGTAAAAAAAAGAAGGTATACATAAATTCCAACTTTCCAAAGTACTTTAACAGTTCCAATCGGACTTCCCCACATCTTCCAAATTCTGTGTTCTTTGCAATTGTAACATCAGCAATTTGTTACCTTATTTCATGTCTTACTGTATCTTTCAAATACTATGTTTCCAAATTTAAAATACTGTATCTCAGTTATTTGTACCCTGTAAATAAACATAGTATGGTTACTTCATATTGTCTACCTCATCTTTCTTATAACTTAATTTCAAATTCACCTATTCAAGTTGCTGAAGCAAACGTTTCCTAATCGTACACATTCTTAACATTCATACAACTTATAATGTTTTTGCAAATAGTCCTTAAATTTTTTCCAGTCCTCCTCCATTATTTCTTCTCCCAAATCACGGATTCTGCCAGTCATTTCAGCCAGTTCCATGTAGTCCATCAACTGCGTCTGCCATTCTTCCAGCGTGGGTAAATCTGGTGTCTTCCAGTGCTTTGCAATGAGGATTCTTGCAATGAGGATTCTTGGACCTCTTCTGAAGGCCGGCGGGGGTGAAAGTCTTTGCTCCCCCCCACCTGCCTTCAAAAGCCGTCTGGCATAGCGGAGAAACGAAGGCTGGCGGCGGGAGGAGGTCTCTCCGCCCCGCCGCCAGCCTTCGGAGGAGGTCCGAGGACAGTGGGGAAGACGTGCTGCGCTTCCCCGCTGTCCTGGAGATTTCCCTATGGGCTTTTGTCTTGCGAAGGAAGCCCATAGGGAAATTCGTTTTGCGAAGCGCCTCCAAAACGGAAAACCCTTTCGTCTAGTGGGTTTTCCGTCTTGCGAGGCGTTCGTCTTGCGGGGCACCACTGTATCCGCCCCGGAGCCGCGGCAGTGGTGTAAAAGAGCCACATGCGGCTCCGGAGCCACGGGTTGCTGACCCCTGGTCTAGCGGATGACTGAAGATACGAGAACGACACAGCTTTAGACCAAGTCAGACGATTGTGGTCCATTTAGCTCAGTGTTGACTACAGTATAAGCTGGTAGCGGCTCTTTGGAGTTTCAGGCAGCAGACATTCCTAGCCCTACCTGGAAGAGTTCAAAGCAGGTGCTCTACCCCTGAGTGAAAGCATTTCCCATAGCACCATTAGCTCTGATTGCATCATAGAACTGGAAGGGACTATGAGGGTCACCTAGTCCAACCTCCTTGTGGTCCCTTCCAATTCTACAGTTCTATGAAGCAGTTTATTTATTAAGCAGAAGAGGAGGGAGCAAGTCCTGGGCTCTGTCCAGGTTTCTCATCTCACTTGGCAATTATTATTAAGTACAGTCGTACCTTGGGTTTTTGAACAGCTTAGTCCTCAAACATTTTGGCTCCCAAATGCTGCAAACCTGGAAGTGACTCTTCCAGTCTGCGAACTATTTTTGGAAGCTGAATGTCTGACAGGGCTTCCGATTGGCTGCAGGAACTTACTGCAGCCAATCAGAAGCCGCACTTTGGTTTCCAAACGTTTTGGAAGTCGAATGGATTCCGTTCGACTTCCAAGGTACGACTGTATGGGAGAAGTGGAAGACTAAAAGGCACACAACTTCCTTGCAAGTCAAGTAATTGTTGTGACTGTATTCACCTGCTAATGCCATTTTCCCTTCTTGGGAAAAAAAGGACCGAAGACACCTCAGAACAAGATTACTTTTTAAAGCTTTATTAACTTTGATGTTTGTGGGTGGTTTTTTTTTAAATACTGAAGAGTACAAAAACATTTTTAATCAGGTGAAAAGCACTGAAATCAGCTTAAATTATCTCACAAGTACAAATCTAATCACCATAGAAGCTTTCTACTAAATCTACTACAGTATTTCTAAGGCCATGACCCACAGGAAGGTTTTGTTGCGAACTCTCAATACAGATATATTAAGGCATTTGCATTCATTCACATCATGACATTTCCCACAATATCGCAGAATAGATATTCCAGGAAAAAAAACCCAGCACACACAATTAAAAACATAATTTAAAAAATTTCTATCAGAATATTATACAAATAAACACTTTGTAGAAACACTGGAATCTTTTGTGCATATTTATCTACATCTTGCATCACTGAATAGCCCTGATAATATATTTAAAATAAACTTTCCATTTTTAGATTCACATCAATAAAGAAGCCCACAAGTGCAAATAGTCATAAATTCAGTAATGCTGAGCACACTTATTTAGTGGAAATTGCCCCAAACCCTGGTTACTACTGCACATGCAAAAGAGTACTTAATGGAGTATGCCTTCGCTGGGAGATACATACGTCTCAATCTTTGCAATATAAAATATTTTAACATATGGTCATCTGTTGTCTTTTCAGTTTCAGTTCCCTGGTGTGTGGTATGTATGCTGAATATAGCCCCCTGTTCTTTTCTCTGCCACCTAGCAGGTGACTGGCGCTGTCAAAGATAACCACACCAGTCATCTGTTTGGCACAAGTACCTGTGTGTCAGGGCGTACATTAGAAACAGGTTGTGATGCAAATTTTATTAAATAGTGAACAAGCTTCTTCACCATTACTAATTTAGGACTTGGTTATGGGCATTTTATTTATCTAAATATTCTAAATCATGCTTCCAAAAATAAAAATAAAAAATACAAAGTGCATTTTTTATCCTGTGTGTGTGTGTGTGCGCGCAAAAACGTTTTGTGTGCAACAAATGTCCAATTGTTTGCCCGTTTGTTGTACAACAGCAGCAGTTGTGTTATCACAATTTCCAGATATTAAAAGAGGAGCATTTTGTATCTTGGGAGATCACAGTCTACCCAAGCTAGCACATTCATTGCTATTGGGACTGCTGTATTGTTGAGGGCACGTGTTGGAAGATTGTCTGAGACACTGTGTGTCCAGTTAAATATCTCCTCTCTAAAACGCTTAATGTTTTTTTTAAAAAGGTGTGCAGAGCCACATATGTGGCCCTCCTTATACATCACACTATCACCCTCCCTTATTATGTACTGATAAGATTATTATACTGCTGTCACTGAAAAGACACTTGTGGGCAGAAATGCATGAGTAGCACAGTTTAAATGATCCTGCAGAAATACCCCAGCTGAAGAGATCTATAGCAGGAAGAGACTAGTAGCAGTCCACAAGAGCTAAGTGTGAAGTTGGACAAAGGCCTACTCTTATACACACACACACACACACCCCCATAGGTGATGTTACACAATCTTGAAAAAAGGGACTCACATGCACGTACACACGCTTCCAAAGGAAAGCTAATAGGGTGGCTTTCCTTTTGCTAATTAGAGTAAGATTGAGTAGCTACATGCTCCTATCTCTATGCATAGTATGCAGAACAATGGATGTTGGGCCAAGGAAAAACAGCCCAGAGCCCTAGGCATCCAATGATTTTCTGCTCTCGTACATGAAGATTTTCTTCATGTATCTGTTAAGGCACCTCTTTTCTATTTGCATATGGAGTGCTTTTGTCTCGTTTATTAAATGGGAATCCTCTACCTATTTGGGATTCTTGGGGGGCTTTTTTGGCCAAAAACCCCCCTAGCATAAAAATAAATTGAGTAGTAAGCCAATTATTTTTTAGTATTACCTTTGACAGCATTCCTTAAGTCAGTAGTATTATCAGAACGATTAGTTAAATATTTCCATGGTACATTTTTATTAAATTAATGGAGTTATACTAATAGAAGCTGTCCCTTTATTTTGGCTAAGAGACAAATATTATGCTACATATTAAATGATATGTGTCTTATACTTACCCCTCTTCTTCTAAAGCTCAGTTAGGGGTTGGCCGCTGTGTTGAGGCCACTTTGATTTGCTCTATGTGACAACTGTCACCACATGGTGAGCCGGTTGTGTGCAGAAGCTTATCACATGAAGCCAGGTGTTCCTACCATGTCATAACATAGAACCAAGAAAAAAACTCTTTGGCGTGTCTTTTAGATGCTAATCAATGGGTTGCATTTGACGAAGACCAACTTAGAGGACACCCACAGAAATTAACGGACCTAAGTAGGGCTAACAATACATACAGCTCAATGTGTTTTCTGTATTAGTACAGAACAAAATGAGTACCCCTTTAGAAGTAGCAAAATATGGCAGAGGTAATAAAGACAAATGTCAAACATTATCAATAGGAACCACAATCTTTCTCCAGGTTCCACTCTTTATAGGCTAGTTAGTACATACTAGGGGTCTGAATCTTTCATTTAGCCCTTGGTTTCCATTTGGCCTCTTACATTTGTATGTGTGGGGACGGTATGGCTTATTAAAGTTAAAAATGTTTTCAAAATGCAGGCTGACAAATTGTTGTTATTCTTTTAAGTGTTGTAACTAAAAAGCTAACTAAAGAACTGAACCAAAGATGGGAGGGATCTTTGGAACTTTTATTGAAAAAGGTCACCATTTCAAGTTTGTATTAAAAACATTTCAAGTTTCTTTCTTTCTTTCTTTCTTTAAAACAACCCTTCTGTACCCCAATAGGTTTTAAGTACAGTGGTACCTCGGGTTAAGTACTTAATTCGCTCCGGAGGTCTGTTCTTAACCTGAAACTGTTCTTAACCTGAAGCACCACTTTAGCTAATGGGGCCTCCTGCTGCCGCCTCGCCACCTGAGCCCGATTTCTGTTTTCATCCTGAAGCAAAGTTCTTAACCTGAAGCACTATTTCTGGGTTAGCAGAGTCTGTAACCTGAAGCGTATGTAACCTGAGGTACCACTGTAAAAGAGTATGGTTGATACAAGTTATTACATTATGTATTTTGTGTCCAGTGAGTCGATTCCAAAAGATTCTCTAGGCATCAATCATACTTCATATAGGAGAGCATGTCCAAAAATCAAAGCATGTCCAAAAATCAGTTTCAGGGTTGTATCTCAATGCATGTGCAAATCTTAAAGACCATGGAAAGTGCAAAGTCTGATTGGAGTTTAAATCAGTTGGTGAAACACAGTTGACTTTCCCTCCTCCTTTCAAATGTGGGGGGAAAGGTTGCTGTCACACCCTGAACAAAAAATAGGTACTGAACCCAGAGGTCAGCATTTACCTGCTACTGAATACATTTGGTATAGGTTTGCCAAACCAAAACCTATAAAATTATGCCTAAACAGCCCAATCCAGCACGAACTGTTCCTCAGTCACCATCTCTGGAAAACATAGTGTCCGTTTCATCTTCGTACAACCCCCGTTCATAGCGTACCGAAGAGAATCCGCCCCAATTCAGTCGTTTCTTCTTATACAGGAAGCATATCAATCCAGCAACAAGTGCGACAATAATTAGAATAGCAACAGCTATTGCCCCTCCTACATGATTAGAGACTGTAAGAAAAAAACAACCCAACGTCATCCATCCGTAACTATTAATTCAGAAGCAACTTGACTGAAAATCATATATATATATATTATACAGGAGTTGCGCGAGGCTACTTCATGCCAGCAAGAAGATCAAACCGATCCATTCTTAAGGAAATCAGCCCTGAGTGCTCACTGGTAGGACAGATCCTGAAGCTGAGGCTCCAATACTTTGGCCACCTCATGAGAAGAGAAGGCTCCCTGGAAAAGACTCTGATGTTGGGAAAGATTGAGGCCACAAGGAGAAGGGGACGACAGAGGACCAGATGGTTGGACAGTGTTCTTGAAGCTACCAGCATGAGTTTGACCAAACTGCGGGAGGCAGTAGAAGACAGAAGTGCCTGGCGTGCTTTGGTCCATGGGGTCACGAAGAGTTGGACACGACTAAATGACTAAACAACAACTTCATGCCAGCTAGCATGCAAAACATTTCCCTGCCCTTGCTCTTCTCATTTTCAGCAAGAAAAGCCCTTTATTGATTTGACGTGCTCTTTGCATTGAGCAAATATGGGCATTCTTTATTACCTCTGTCCATGTTCGCAGAAGCACAGGGAGCCCCTACACATCTGCAGGAAAGGAAGGTTTTTGTAGGGAGATCTCTGTATTTATTATGTGTAGTATTACCTATAGTATTATTATTAGTGTCATGATGATGATGATCTGCATCTTACTGATATAGCAACATCCTGATGAGAGATTGGACCCCCCTGTTGACACAATCACAAGCCAGTTTAAAAAGCCTACATTATTTTAAAATCAAAATCATACATACCTTGAGGAGCTTTGCAAACAACTCTGCTTTGGAGATTTCTGCAGTCAGTTTTGGACCATGTACCATTTGTTGAAAACACAACGCTACATTTACCATTGGCTTTTTCTTTTCCCTTTTCCCAGTTGACATATTTAATTTCTGAGCCATCAAGCCACTTCATGGATTCAGCTGTATATTAGGGGGGAAAACCCCCACAAAAAGTTATTCCTTAACAGCAAAAATGTGCTGCAATTATTACAGTGTGTACAAGCAGCAATTTAATTATATAATGTTCAGAGCCAGAAAAGTCTACTAAGCACCAATAGTCTATTCAGCTTCTAAAAGCTTTAGTGCTGGCAGAAGGATGCAGAGAACTGAGAAGCAGGGAAGCCTAGGAAAGAAGGTCTATGGTAGGTTTAGAGGAATAGATAGAAAACCATTAGGCCAGAGGAAAAACCCGTAAAATGAACAATCTCTCTATGCCTGCGAGCTGCAGAACTAGGCATGGATGAAATGATTTGAAATAACCAGGTACATACATCCTTGGCTAATGCCCTCTAGCCTGGCTAATTCTCTTTCTCTGTGCTTTTATTTACAGGATGGAAAATAAGCCAAGTTGCAATGCATGTTCTTTATTTGATTTCTATTCATTAAGATTTTAATAATGCACTTGTAGTGCACAGTAAATTTCAGGAGCATAATCCAAATAAAACTTCAGTTTCGCTAAAATCAATGGAAATACGAAATGCAGCTAACTCTCCTTGAAGGACTAACAGATGCCTGACTTCACCTGCCTTGCTTATTATGCTTTGTACAGTACAGTGGTACCTCGGGTTACAGGCACTTCAGGTTACAGACGCTTCAGTTTACAGACTCCGCTAACCCAGAAATAGTACCTCGGATTAAAAACTTTGCTTCAGAATGAGAACAGAAATCGCGCGGCAGCAGCAGGAGGCCCCATTAGCTAAAGTGGTACCTCAGGTTAAGAACAGTTTCAGGTCAAGAACAGACCTCCAGAACGAATTAAGTTCTTAACCTGAGGTACCACTGTATTAGGTTGCAATCCTAATCCCACTCCCTAGGAGCAAGTCTCACTGAATTCAATGGAGCTTACTTCTGAACAGGCACGGTTAGGATTCCAGCCTTAACAGTTATAAGTCACAATGGCTTCATAGTTATTCACTGCTTACCATTTTCTTGCATTCCAAGCCATACTCTTCCAGTGATGAAATAATGTTCTCGTAAGTGTGTGCTCACAAACTTATTTTCTTCCTCATTTTCTATAGTCAAAAGTGTTGCAGAAGGATCTAAGAAGATAATGTTAGTGGTCAAAAGTGAAAATAACTTCTTGAAAGTTCTCTTTATTAACATTTAGTGAAATAATTTATGGCAACATTTAAAGTAATAACAAAAAAAAAATCAACTCTCTATCCAAAATATTCTTAATTATATTATTGTCTCTTTTTTTAGACATAACATGATGCATAATTTGGACATACCAAGCTTCTTGCAGACTTCTTTAGCCTCTTTCCAATTGTATATAGAGAAATTGTAAAATGCCAAATCAAATGCATAGCAATGCTGTTTATACTGTATCCACTGTGAAGCACTACCAGTAGTTTGGGGGCAGTATGTGGGATTTTCTGCTTGCTTGGACTGTACTTCTGTGAAAATATAAACATCATCATCATCATCATCATCATCCCAACATCTTGGGGCACTCCTATCATCCATTCAGGTGGTTCAATGGAGCCTCGATAAGCCATTGCCACATAAACACAAACTGACTGTTGGCACACACGCATATATATCTGCTGCTGTGTTGAAGCAATTTAATTTACTGTAAAGGTACAGGACTATGATCCATCGGAGGGCATCCCAGGGAATACAGACCTTTGCCTCTGATGCCTGAGATGTAATTCCAGTTTCTGGGAGAATGCTGTTGCACTCAGATCCAGCTTCGATGTTTCCCATAGGCATCTGGTTGGCCACTGTGAGCATGGGATGGTGGACCAGATGAGCCACTGGCCTAATTCAGCACGACTATTCTTATATTCTTAAGGTTTTGGTGGCCAACAATCCTCAGCATGGTACTTAGAAGGTCTCAAAACCAGTAGCAGTTGCTTTTAAGGACATGCTTTTAAGTATAGGGCCAGGGGTTGGGGTGGGATCTGCCCTCATCGTTCTCTTTGGTCTTAGCACCACACTGGACACATGAATGCAGACTTACTGTTTGAAGGGTAGTAGCAAATAGCACCATCAGCGCCACGCGAGCAATCCAAGCGGTTCCAAAATCCTTTCGTGTCCAGTAAGAAACAATTTCCAGGAGAATGTGAATGCTCATATTCCCAGGGCTTGTAATCAAATGTGCTTCCATCAGACCACTCAAAATCAGAATCGCTTTCCTAGAAAGAGAGCAATTCGATTCCAGTTGAACAAGTGCAGATGTCACTTTTTGTTTTAGCAAACACTGGGAAAAACAGGCATCACGGCTAATTATTGGACCACAGCACCACCCACATCCCTACAATGTGTTTAATGTATGAGGCAAGTTAATATATTGTTAACAGAAACGAAAAGCTGGCTCAAAACCTTTAAAGATAACAGCATGGGGATATGGTTGCAAAAGCACATGAAACAGTTCAAACTCACGTTATGATTGGATAAACCAATCCAAAGTGGATATCCATCTCTTTTTACAATATTTTCCAGAAACACTTGCTGTGATTCACTGTGTACGCTGGCTAAATCACTGCCATTTCGCTTGCATTCTCTCCATGCATCATACCAACTGAGCTGTTTTTGAAGGATCCAGTATGTATTATTTCCATGGGGCAGTTTCTCGGGCAGTGGTGGTTTGTATTCTTTGGGTCCTATTTCAATATTACAACAAGGACAGAAGTTTAGTTTTTTTTAGTTTTAGGCATATGTAAAAGAAATTAATAATAATACCATAGGCATTTGGAAATTCAATCCAAATTGCAGACATTGCTTACCCATTTCTATTTTACAGACAAGGATGCTGTGTAGGCTAAATTGCAGAGGTAACCAGTTGCCACTGTAATTGTACATATCCCAGACACCATCAAGACCAATACCAGCAACAAAATTATTATTCTTTACATAAGGTCTCCCCAGTCTCCAGTTATTGTATGAGAGGTATGTGTTGTCGTCCCACTTCAGATTACCATCTGCAGAAAATAAACAAAAGAAGTTTCCATAATGAGTGCTACAGATTTTATTTAAAAGAGAGGAGTGTGCTGAAATTATCCCACAATGGCTAACGTTAACATTACTGAAAGGTCAGTAATAACCAACACTTGGCTTAGAAATAAAAGGAGGTACCTTTTGCATATGGTCAGGGGTCCCTTTACCTTTACCTTTTGCATATGCTATTTGGATGTGGCCTGGTTTGTTGACGGTATCAACAATTTTTTTAAAAAAATGTTTTCCCACTTTAGAATTGTTTCATATAATCAAAATTAAATCCAGAAAAACTATATTAATACACCCACACACCCCAATGCATCTAAATACTCACATAAGCATTCATAACAAACAGGAGTCATCCCTTTAAATGGTGCACTGTGAATGCACCAATTGTTGGGATATAGTAGTTCATATTCCTATAACACATTTGCTGGCAGAGATATCCAGTATGGAAAACTTTTTTTTATTAAAGAAAAATGTTCTTGCTGGAATTGGGCAACAGTAGTAATGCTAATATCCGGATTTTCTCTCTGCAGATGGTGAAATACACAATTCTACACTTTTATCACTATACCTAACCTGAGGTATCTAGTTTCTGTTACTATTCCATGTTAACTCTTACATGTTTTATGTTAGCATTGTACTAGTTTTATTAGAACTGTTAACTATGCCAAGAGGGAAAAATAAAATAAATCAGTATTTTAAAATCTACCTTCAGCTGAAAAAAATATATTTGGGGGGGAATTTTCTTAAAGGTATTTCCTCAGAAAATCTGCTCTTTAGTGTTGAATCAAAGCAAATGTCAATCCACGGAAAATCCAGTTGACGTTTGCTCCGATTCAGCGCTAAAGATCAGATTTTCCTGGGGGAAAGCAGTGGCGACAAGTGGAAGTCTAGAAGAGCCCAATGTTTGTTCCCTCTAAATTATTCCTTCTTATCAGGGGAATCTTTGAAGATACTGTGAAACATGGTAAAATAAAATCTATAAAACAGGTGAATATCACTTTGCCCCAACAGCTACAGTATTCCCACTGCATTAATTCGTTAGAAACATTTTTTGTTTACATGAAAGCAGCACAGAAACTCCCTTCTGCAGAACCAGAGTTGCAAGTGAAATGAGTGGGCTGAAGTTGTGCAATGAAGGGCCTGAGGGAGGAAACTACCTGTAGGGTTGCTATATTTTGAAGAGCGAAAAAGAGGACACACTTGCTGGCTGGCACTTGGGGTGTTGGAGCGGGCACATTCTACAATGTCCTTTCAAAATGTACAAAAACAAGGGCCTGGTCCTTTCCTGCACCATGCAAAACTCACACAGTATGTATATGTTTTGCACTTGGTTTTCTAGTACTGCATATACAACGTAAAAAGTAGCCCATACAGAAATGTTACCCCTGAAAAAGAGGACCTGTCCTGGAAAATGAGGACGTATGGCAACCCTAACTGCTGTATTTCAGCAATAATCAAATAACGCTCAAAAGCAGACGCACCAGGAACATTAGGCATTTAGTATTTCTTATCAGATTAAAAATTACAGGCATGATTAATGACTTCTGAGCCCCCAAATCTGCATCCAGCATGCATCTTCTTTAGGTTGTCATTAAATACTACAATAAAAATAAGCTTGAATAAGGAACAAATTATCCAAAGTGCTCTTGAGTAAGCTTAAAGACTCTCACTCATCAACCTGCATTTGACAATTTGAACTCTAATCAAATATAATTTTTTTGTTTTGTTTTTTAAATCCTCATCAATGGCTGTAGACAATGTTATAAGCTTTGGTCTCTTTGTGTGCTTAAAAAAGGCATTCATCCTAGTAAGAGGGGCTTTACAGAACTTACAACTTACCATCAGCGTCATAAATCAGACCCAACCACAGCCAGCGAGCAAGGCCACTGAAAGAATGGAGCTGCTCAACAACAAAACTATTTTCATCTTCATCCCTGATAGTCAAGAGGGAGGCATTCGTATCTGTTGAAGCAATTTTTAAAAGTCAAATCACTTTGGCAGGATTTGACAGGATTTTGACAGTTTATGAAATGAATTCAAGGAAGGGGCTCACCAAGGTTTAGCTGTTTACCTTAATTTTTAAACCAAAACAAAAAAATAATAATCTTGAATGATTAGTGACAGAGGTCAGCTGCTCTTTCTTAGGTTTGGATGTACAGAGGTCATGGTACATAAATTTTGGAAAGCATAGAGAGGGGTGAGGAACCTTTGGCCTACTAGGTGCTGTTGGGCTCAAGGGAGACAAGCCTGGTGGCTATAGTAGAGCAGCAGCAATAGCCTCTCTGCAGTAGGGTTGTCACTGCTTCCTGGGAAGGGTGAAGTGGTGGTGAAGCAGGGTTGCGTGGATGCATAGCAGAACCAACTCAGTGCTCTCTTCAGTACACCCAGAAAGTAGTCAATGTCTCACTCTTCCTGGTAAGCAGCAATGACCCTGTTTGCAGGAGGTTGTTGCTATGGCTCCACCCCACTGATGAACTGCTCCTGGTTGGACCACAGCTCCCATCATCTCCATCCATAGGCCATGGCTGGTTGGGTCTAATAGGAATTGTAGTCCAACATCTGGAGGACACCACAATGGCTATCTCTCGTGAAGGCTCTGCAGAGTGTGAAATGGGAACTCCATATTGGGCATCATTAGGAAATGGACTGTAATACTCTTTCCTATAAATGAGAGATTTTCTAGTGATCTGGTTGACACATTACACACACACACATATCACAGAGCAGAACACTATCCATATACAGTGAAGGTAAAGCATTTGGAGCTTTTCAGTAAAGGGGGGAAAAGATGAGTGAGGGGAAATATGACAGAGGTTTATAAAATTATACATGATGTGCAGTGGAGATAATTTTTCTTCCTCTCCCATACTTTTAGGATCATCCAATGAAACTAAACTGGTAGTACAGGGCAAACTAAGAGAAAGCAAATCTTCACACAATTAACATATGGTATTGACAGCCATAAGATGTAGTATAACGGCTGCTTGATTATATGGCTTTAAAACAGCATTAGACAAATTAATGTAAGATGGCAGTAGCAGCTGAGAGATACTTATCTATAGTAGGTAAACAAAACATCTAAGCTCAGAAGGTGGTATAGCTTTCAATACCAATTGCTAATGGCAACAGCAGGGAATGTTCATGGTCCAGCAGAACTCAAAATGCTTTTTTTTTTAACTATACAAAACTGCATTCACTTTTTAAATGCTTTTTTTGTAAGAAGCCTACACACTGGAATCTTTTTTTCCCTGGATGCCATTCTAGCAGGTCAAGAGAAGCTTCTTTTAAAAGGCATCATTTCTCTTAAACTTAATCTAGATACGAAAGAGGTCCAACACAGTTCACATTAACACATTGTAAATCTAGATAGCCAACAGATGTTTTTATTGCAATGTTTTTCTAAGTCTGTGGTGAGCAGAGTGCAAGCAAGGCCAGAGAGAACCACATATATAATACAAGTCTCCAGTGACATACAATCCTTGCCTTGGAGTAAGCCCAATGAACTCAATGAGGCTTCTTTCTGAGCAAATATACAGGATTGCATTGTAAAATCTGCACAGCTATGTAGATAATTCTGTGCCTGTTCACAGATATGATCCCTGCTTATTTCCTTTGACTAATAAAGTACAGTGGTACCTCGGGTTACATACGCTTCAGGTTACAGACTCCATTAACCCAGAGATAGTACCTCGGGTTAAGAACTTTGCTTCAGGATGAGAACAGAAATCGTGCTCCGGCGGCACAGCAGCAGCAGGAGGCCCCATTAGCTAAAGTGGTGCTTCAGGTTAAGAACAGTTTCAGGTTAAGAACAGACCTCCAGAACGAATTAAGTACTTAACCCGAGGTACCACTGTACAACTATGTGAAGAAACAGTGGTAACATGGAAGCAACTGCAGCGTTCCCAAGACTGCAGTTCTAAGGGGGTGAGGGGAGAAGAGGCTGTTTTAGTGGAAATTATTACTCATGTACTCTTATGGAGGAAACAAGCAGAGTCCTCTCAGATCTGAAAAAAAATGATTCAAAAGTTATGAACACAGAAATACAAGACAAACTTTAAACAGAAACTTCTTACTCATCATCCTGCATAAATGGTGGGCCTCATCTGACTTCAATCCTTTCCATCTGTCTTTTGCTATCATGAATGAGTAACAACTGTTTCGAAATGGCATCCATGGTGTATTCTTAATCTTGTGTGGACATTTAATAAAGTCAAATACCTCAGGTTTTTCAGTTTCAACTAAAAAAGAAAGAAAAAGAAGGTACATTTTTAAAAGGCACTTCATATTTACTCAAATCAAAATTAGTTGGCCTAGAAAGCAACTTGAAGGAGGTAAGGAAAATATAGACAATCCATTTACTAGATCAGTACTGATGGTGTGGAGAACATGGAGCAAAACTCTGGCCCCTGACCATTCACCACTGGTCCCGTTCTTGGATCACGACAGCTTTCAGACGCAAATATAAATAGCAACAGTTCAAGGATTGGGGGAACATAGGCATTTACACAACCCGTGACCTGCTTCCCAGAGGGAATTTCCAAAGAGGACCTGCAAGGTAAATTAAAAGGCACTCATACTACCTGGTTTCAGGTTGCTCGGTCTCTATCTCTCTATGTATCTGAAAGCATTCTCAAAGCAGTAGCATATATTTTACGTAAAAGCAGGTGACAGCAAAGGTTGCAGGGTTTTTAGCTGGGGCAATCAAAATAAGATCCACTATTTGACTATTGATTCAAAACCCTAAAATGTATTTTATATAATTGACTTTTTATTTCTATTCTTTGAATATAGTATTGTTGTTTTATTGCTGACACAAATAAAAGATTTATTCATTCAAACCTACTTGCTGGAAGGTAGCAAATTGCTCCTGGCTTTTGCGTATAGCAGTCAGATGTTTTCCAAAGTCCATCTCTGTCCAAATATACGCATTCATCAAGTAAATCTTCGTCTTCTTTGGACCAGTGACTAAAGCTAATGTGCTTTCTGTCAGCCCAGTGATAATGAATTCCATCCTGGTGGCATAACCATAAAGAAAAAAGGCTTGCATTATGAAGATCAAGGACAAGTAAAAGCAATTACTTGATGGTAAAACATCTGCCTAAAGCCCTGGAGTGCCACTGCCCGTCAGTGTGAACAGTACAGTGTCAGATGGGCCAATGGTCTGACTCAATATAACATAGCTTCTCGTGTTCAATATGATTCAATGGGTACTGCTAATCTTCAATACAAGAACTCCAAGTTCAAATCCTAAATGCATTTCATGTACCAGTTTTGTGTAAGGTTTGCTTAAAGCAGAACAAAGCAATACTAGAATCTGAGTATATTTGTTGACCCACCCAGGGAGATATATCCGCTTTTAATTTGTGTGTGTTGTTACTTTTGCAGGTTAACTCTAGTGATTCTAGAGTTGGGCATGCTTTGCCAACCCTCTCCCCACCACAATGATTTCAGTGGGACTGAACGGACTTTACTTTCTAATTAATGTGCTGTGCTCATTCTATATAACACAGCTATTTATTTGCATGGACAGGTGGAGTCCCCAGATCCCGAGCGGTCCCCCCCGTCATGTGGAATAACGACTCAAGACAACGTGCTATGGGATTAAATTGGCCACAACTTTATTAAATTTCAAATGTGGGTAGACCTTGGCTCAGGCATTGGGTGTTCTCCCTCCCCAGTCCCCAGCCGGGGACCTAGGGAGCTTCAGGGTTATCCAGTGTGTGGGGGGGGATGGGCCGGCTCTGGAGAACATATGTTCAAGCAGAGATAGCCGCCCCTGTTATGCCGCCGCCGCAGGGGAGAGCAATGAAGACCTTTCGGCGTACGGTCAAAGCCTCCCTTCAGAAACCCCTTTAACGGGGAACCCTGGTATCGCCGCCGCAAAGAGGAAGATGGACTAAAGGATTCCGCCCAAGGCCTGATACCGCCAAAGTTGTGACGTTTTGCTACGGGAAAGGTGAAACCTGCCAATGCAGGGAAATTCCTTTTCGGCCCTTTAACAGCGACCTTAACGTAGCAGCGCCCGCATACCTGTGAAGATAAGTTAACCTGCAAAACCTATGAAAAAAAGTTAACCTGCAAAAGAAGACATTAACTGAGGGTTGGTAGGGTGGGAGAAGCTCTGGAGCCAAGTGAGGATTCCCAGGTAAGATCCTCCCTCTATTGTGTGGGCAGGTAATCCCTCCCCTACCTGGCCTGGTCTCCTTGGCAACACTTCACCCAGGTGGGATTGGACAACTGACTGAGGTAGGCAGAGACCTCCAGGTATCCCACCTGAGGGAAGGCAAAGCCAAGCCTATGCTGATGGGGCCACTCCAGATCTAGGGCTGCGCGCGTCTACGCAAAGGGCGCCCCCCGTTTTAAGCGGGGAGCGGTCATTGTATATTAGGCTTTTTAAACATATATTCTTTTTTAAACATATATAAACTTTTAAAAACATATATTCACAAGACAGGTTGCTGCCACAGACAAAAGCGGCAGCAAAGGTCTGTCATTTTACCCCATCGTTTAATATAGCTCAGTAGGTTTTCCCCAAACCCTCTTATTCGAATGACATATTTTGAATTGGTTCAGAAACAAGCCTTACATCTTCGCTGGAGAGTCCAATCCACAGTGGGTAATTATAACGGGCAGCCTGCATAGCAAGAAAAGCCTGATGGTATTGTCCTGTGATGCTAACCAGCTGCATATTATTCTGCAGGCACTCCTGTTGTGCATCATGCCATGTCAAGTTCTTCAGAATTATGGTGTATGTGACATTTAGATAGTTCACGGTGACATTAAGCACTTGCTGTGTCTGGTTTTCTGCCTCATCTAATGAAAGAACAAAATAGTTGAGCAAGAGAAGTGGTATCATTCGTCTAACAGTCTGATTTTTAGAAGAAGAAGAAACACATCACCTAGGTCTTGGGCAGATTTTGTTTTAAACTGTTAAAAGGTATTATACCCATGGTCTAAACCACTGAGCCTTGGGCTTGCCCATCAAAAGATCGGCAGTTTGAATCCCCGCATGGGGTGAACTCCCGTTGCTCAGTCCCAGCTCCTGCCAACCTCGCAGTTCAAAAGCACGCCAAAAAGTGCAAGTAGATAAATAGGTACCGCTCCGGCGAGAAGGTAAATGGTGTTTCTGTGCGCTACTCTGGTTTCACCAGAAGTGGCTTAGTCATGCTGGCCCCATGACCCAGAAAAATTGTCTGCGGACAAACGCTGGCTCCCTCGGCCTGTAAAGCGAGATGAGTGCTGCAACCCCAGAGTCGTCTGCGACTGGACTTAACTGTCAGGGGTACTTTACCTTTTTTTTAAACCCATGTTGTTCATAATATTTTCAGTGAGGTGGTAAGATTAGAACTGCAACAATTAGTTGAGCAATCACTTAGAGGTCAAACAATCAAAAAACACATTGATCAACTAAAAGATTGCCCTTGATTGATCAATATTTTGTTTTATTTAAAAAAGCGAATGTTATAAAAACTGCAGCTGACACAGGCACCATTTTAAGTAGTATTCCTTACTGTGTGTGAGAGAAAGTAAAACAACCTCTCCTAAAATGAAACCTCCTGTGACACATTCCATGCATCATTTAATAATGAAACTACTGTGCATTAAGTTTTAATAATATTTTGTCTCATATGCAAATTTACTATTCTCAGACTTACCTGACTTCATCTGACATATGGCCAGAGTTTGAATACTGGCACAGGAAGTGAAATTCCAAGTTCCAGCATATGGTGATTTGGATTGTTGAGCAAAACACCACACTGGTTATTCACCTCATCATCAAAAAACTGAAAAGCAAACAAACCAAGAAGGCCGAGTAATAGTAGATTAGCATACAGTGGTACCTCGGGTTACAGACACTTCAGGTTACAGATTCCGCTAACCCGGAAGTAGTACCTTGGATTGAGAACTTTACGTCAGGATGAGAACGGAAATCGCGGGGCGGCGGCAGCAGCAGGAGGCCCCATTAGCTCAAGTGGTACCTCAGGTTAAGAACGGATCTCCGGAACGGATTAAGTTCTTAACCCGAGGTACCACTGTATTTCATTAATCAGGGGCGGGGAACCTCTGATCCATGGGCCAAACTTGGCCCAACAGGGTCCCAAGTTGACCCGCCTGGGTCAGGTGTGGGGAAGGAAACAACATGGTTACAAAGGAACAACTGGGAGCTTACCAGAGTGGTGCATGCTCTAGTTATCTCCCGCTTGGACTACTGCAATGCGCTCTACGTGGGGCTACCTTTGAAGGTGACCCGGAAACTGCAATTAATCCAGAATGCGGCCGCTAGACTGGTGACTGGGAGTGGCCGCCGGGACCACATAACACCAGTTCTGAGAGATCTGCATTGGCTCCCAGTACGTTTCCAAGCACAATTCAAAGTGTTGGTGCTGACCTTTAAAGCCCTAAACGGCCTCGGTCCAGTATATCTGAAGGAGCGTCTCCACCCCCATCGTTCAGCCCGGACACTTCTGGCGGTTCCCTCATTGCGAGAAGTAAGGTTACAGGGAACCAGGCAGAGGGCCTTCTCGGTAGTGGCTCCTGCCCTGTGGAACGCCCTCCCAGCAGATGTCAAAGCAATAAACAACTATTTTACTTTTAAAAGTCATCTGAAGGCAGCCCTCTTTAGGGAAGTTTTTAATGTTTGATGCTGTACTGTTTTTAATATTCAGTTGGAAGCCGCCCAGAGTGGCTGGGGAAACCCAGCCAGATGGGCGGGGTATAAATAATAAATTATTATTATTATTATTATTATTATTATTACCATGAGATCCCGACTGTTCCTTTGCTAGAGCTGACTGACAGTGGCAGAGTGCCTACAGTAGCATGAAACAGTTTATATTGAAACTGCTGTTGAAAATGGGAGTATTCCCCATTTTAGCAGTGCTTAATTCACTTATAATGAAAAGCCTACAATAGAGAAAAAACCCTCCAATGACTCACATCATGCTCAATTTTCCTTAGTCTTCCATGCAGCAATGGATGGAAGTTGGAATATACCAACTCACTGCCATCTGTCCACCTGTTTTCACGTGTACGGATCTCAAAGTGCAAACCAATCCAAATATTTGGGGGCATACCAGGAAGCAAGGACGTTATAAAATCTGTTGGCAAAAAAATAAGTATTTGCACATTGGACTGGGTAGACAGGGTAAATATCCCAAACTTCACTGCATAAGGTAATGCAACTTATACTTCTGTTAAATTTACAGCATTTTGTGGGCTGTAAATAATCTTATTTAGACAATGTACCCCAAAGGCTAATATCGGCAATTTGGCAGCTATAAATGGAAGCAATCTTTAGTTTGCTTTGATGGCTTTCCTCCTCCACTTCCATCCCTTAAGATCATTTTGCGCAATACTTGATCTGCATTTATATGAGACTCAAGTTCCTTCTGAAGCTTAGAAGTTGCATCCAAAGAACATCTCCAACATTTTGGGGTCTGATTTAGCAAATTTGTTGTAATAGGTAAGAGCAAACTAGATCACTCTCAATTTCTTCTTCCTCGGATAACATTCACCTCTTCTCTTCGCCATGCTTCTAAGTAATGGAGAGCTGCCGTATCATGCCACTGATACATAATTCCCAAGGGTGGTGGTCTTCCTTTGCCAATTTTATGAAAAATGGATGCTGAGTGAACGTGATTGGCTCAAGAACATACAGTGAGTAACATAGCTGAGTAGATACACAGCTAAATCCACACTGTCCAGAATTCCCCCCCCCCTCACACACACAAAGGACGGACAAATCTGTCAATTTTAACTTCCCTCAGTTTTTCATTTTCTAGTATTCTGTTCAACTTGCCACATTTCTGCATTAGCTAGTTTGCTTTAAAAAATAAAATTAAAAAAATGCATTCACACACAACCCCCCCCCCAGCATTTTAATGTGCACTTCTCGCAATATACAGATTTTTACAAGCAGTTCTCCCTATCGCAACCTATTTTTGCATGTTACACAGAAGTTGTGTGTAATTTCCCCTAGTATATGCATTTAGTTTAGTTTGAGAAATAAATTGTAACATTCAGCTAAGTGCTAAGCATATCTGCGTTTTGGTTTTAATTAGTGTGAATTAGGCACGATCACATTAAAATGCGAGCTGAATGGATTCCTGCCCACCTCCCTAATATACCATGCAGAAAGGTGGCAGATTCAAGGAGTGGGAAGTATTCACTTGCATTTCCACAACAGTTTTTAGCAAATCTGTAAGAAAACTGGTACCTACCATATCCCCAGAAACAAAAACATTATCAATGCACAGTGTTTTATAGAAGAGAACTACACTTTATAAGAAGTATCAAATGTTATCACTTTACCTTGTTCAGTTTGGCTTGTGATTGATGGAAGAGAACCTCCCAAACTGTGACAATGTTCGTCTGCCTCCTGAAACTTAAAATCCTTAGGGGGTACCATGCGGTAACACTGTAAGAAGATTTTATTATAAACACTCTGTCTAAAGTACCTGGATTTCACATTAGCTTTTATGATTAAGGGGAAATTTACAGAGCAGAACAAAATCAAAGGGGGAAAACACCTTACAAAAATATTTTAATTGCAGGTGATTATTTATTTATTTACTTTTTATTTATTAGATTTCTATACCACCCTTCATCAAAAGATCTCCGGGTGGTTCACAAGAAAACTACCGTTTCGCAAATACTCATCAAGTTTTGGAGATTCTTACAAGACACTTTCTAATAAATATTACCTTATCCATAAAAACAAGCCAATTTTCGCGACACTTCCTGCGAGTTGGTTTATAACCAGAGTCGTGCTTCTCCAATAGCGATGCATTGTATTTCTCACAGATGAAGGGGAGTTTTGTACTGCAGCTTATCGTGCTGTCTGCAGGAATCACAGACACATACATGTATGTATTAATATTTATCTATGCTTATATTCATACTGCATTTACTGTGTATTATTTGCACAAATTCTGAAAGGCAAAGAACTGGACATCAAAGTAGGGTCCGGATACAACTATAAACTCTGAACGCCATACTGTAGGGTGGTCATCAAGAGGAAAGGATTTCTTCAATTTTAATTGCTGTGCAGATGGGAGACTGTCGTGCAAGCTGAACTGCTGAAATTCCCTCTTCTACACAGCTATTAGGAGCCCTGCCCTCTTTTGCAGTTGGCCACCCCCAAGACATCCACAAACAGGCACCGCCAGCTGAATATTTTGTTGCCTTTAACATCCAGAACAGCTCTCCAACTCCATAAAACTACTTTATTAGAAGTAGTGCAGCTTCTAATAGAAAGTCTAAAGGAGAACTTTTTCTCTTAGACTGAAAGTATGGGGGGAGAAGAGTATCTTAGCATTGTTTAAATTAAAAAATTAAGCAGCTTACCTCTGTACCAACTTTGATAAGAAATATGCCAACAATTCCTGTAGTATCGTTCATGATAGTGTGAAAATACTGAAAACCTAGGCACAATGAAGAACTGAATTATTTTAGATTTGCCCTCTTGGTGCATGTAAATATTTATCATCATTGATTAGCTTGTTCGTTTCTTTTTCATGTGTCCTACTGCACAAGAGATTTATTGACTCACTGGAGAAAGGACCAAAATGGAGCGGGCATCTTCATTTTTGCAGCTACAGAGTACAGCTGCCAAATTCTGAGGTTTCTTACGTGTTTATTATATGTAAGAAATCCTGAGCCTCAAAAGCTCAAGTATCTTGACCTATGACCACAATACGTTCATCATTACTAGATCATATTCATTAAGTGAATGGCAAAAGTATTTCAGACATATATAGACTCTGATAGTTCTACGTACAGTGAATGGTAGCGACTTGCAGGAGCTGTGTATTTCAGCCACCAACTTTGTCTTTCGTCCGATAACTGCAAAAACAAAAAGGAGATGCATTAGCATCAAATGCCATGTTACATCTCAACCTAAGTATCAGAAAAGTGTAGAATCTGGCATAAATTCTATATAAAGTCTATATACCCTAAAGACACTAAAAAGTGTTACCATGCAAACTAATGGCAGATAATTTTTAAGCCTTCTCTCTCAGGTATTCAGTAGATCCTAGTTTTTAATAAAACAGTCCCAAGAGCATTTCCAATGCCACAGTAATAAAAGCAAGTGTGAGACTTACAGGCAGGTTTCTTGGTGCAGTTTTTTTTTAATAGAGCTTTCTCCTGCATTTCAGAAACTAATGTTTTCAAGTCAAGCTCTGTTTTGCCTGCAGTATGGGGAGAAGGATTGCTCCCACTTTTTACTCTGAAATTTCATATCATCAATGAGAATTAGGCATGCTCTGGATTACCCTTTACTCTGTACCCTCCCTAGTACTAGAGGAAAAGCTGGGGAAGAAGGATAAGAGAAGAACATGTTTTCATTGGATGCAGGAAAAACACTTTTGCTTTATATGCTGTCAGACAAAGGTATCCTACTTCTCACAGACTTTTCCTGAACAGCTTATAGCAACAAGAGAAGGTGGTTTTGTTTTTTTAAAAAACCCTATTTTGGCACGGACATTTTCACAACAAAATATATCCAAGAGACAAAGAAATAAATTACATTTGCAATCCTGTTTAGAATTCCCGTTAGTGCAGTGAAAGAGGCCACAGACGCTAAATCACTTCCATTATTAGAACAGTACAGAGCAGCTTCTTGAAAGCTCAAGTGCTTATTTGGCACAAACCAAAATTCAGACCCATCAATATTCAGTACTGGTCCCTGAAGTCCATCTCCATCTACAAAAGAAAGAAAGAAAAAGAATGCCATACACCTAAGTTTAAACTAAATGAAACATTGCATGCACACACAACCCCACCTCCAATTTCACCATGTTATCTAGTAGTGGTAGATGAACTATTGTAACAATGAAGTGAATTAACAGTTATCTAAAAAATACTGTGCATTAATGCAGGAAACTCTGCAACATTATTATTATTATATTTCTAGATCACCCTTCATCTGGCAATTGTAGGGCAGCAACAACCATAGATAAAAGCCAACATAAAACTCCCCAACCCATAAGAAATATGAGCATATGCTTCCCCATGGGCAATGCTCCAAGACATTCACTGCAGCAAAGCTGAGTCATTGCTGACCCAACACAAAACTAAGCAAAGTAACAAATGAGTCCCTCTAAAAGTTTCTCCAGTTTCTGATGTTGTGCTATGAGACACATTGTCCCCAAAAGTAAGTATGATATGAGGACAGCATTGTCTGTGGAGGCCTCAATAGCTGCAAGGCAAACAGAAGGAGCACATTCATCTTGTGGGGAGGAATAGACCAAAGGAGTATGTATGATCTCCACGAAAGTCAATTGAAGATACCTTTAAATGAGGGATGGGGAACCTTTCAAGATGATGTTGGGAGTCACAATTCCCTTCTTTCCTGACCATGCTGATGGAAGCAGGAATCCTGTAACACGTGGAAGGCTGTAGGTTCCCTATCCCTGCCTTAAGTTGATGAGCAAATGATCAAGGACAGCAATTTTATGAGCGATACATTTTGGAGATTGTATGTCAATGGCTAATAAGATAGTTGTGGCCTACAGAACAGCCTCAGTTCAACGTATATGAGACAGCACTATGCTTTTATGTTCCATTATGGCGTTTAAGTGCTGTCTTAAATTAACCATCCATGGATTAATGAAGACAGAGAGACACCCTCTCACTGATTTTTCTTCAACGCCACTTGCTATTTTCCCTGAAGATTTGCCAAATTTAAGTTTCTATATAAAGTACTGTAAGATTATTTCAGGTTTCAGTCGGCTTTTGGATTCAACAGGGAACAAGTAAGGTATCAGTCTAAGAGCTGCTCTGCTTGTGTTTGAGTAAGTTGTTCAGAGTGCGAAGCCAAGCCAGAGTCAGCAGTTATGTAAGATGAGATGAAATTCATTGGATTCTTTCCGTCATCTGACCACTGCTGGGCTGGTGGCCACAGTACACCCTCAGGCCAACTGAAGCAGTGGTACTGCAGAATAGCAGAGAGCAGGCTAACAACACCCTCTGCTTGCAGGCTGCATTAAAGGTAATGAAAATAAGATAGCTGGGGGTCCAAGCTGCTAGAGGCTGTGTTCGAGATCACTGGCACTTTGGGAGACCTATATGTGGCTAGCACCTTTATCAATGATGTGTAGGAAGCCTAAGTTGTTCGCTTACCTGGTTTGTACCACTCTGGTGTCTTTGGAGTACGACCTGTTGATGAGATTAAGGAAAATTAGGGCATGCCAATTTCCCTTTTATCAGAAGAAAAGGAGAGCTGGAATCTTCAGGAGAACCATTAAACAAAGAGTGAAATTGTGTTGTTTTTTCTTTCTACCCGAAAGGTGCAAGCAGTAAAGTTTTATTACAGCTTACAAACTTGAACACAACTGCAATTTGGAAAAACCAACCAACCAACCAACCAACCAACCAACCAACCATGTAGCTTGCTTATTATGTTTGTTTGGGAGGGGCTCAGGTGAGTTGTGAGGGAAGGGGAGGTTTGGAAAAGCTGTGGGGCGGGGCAGGTAAAGGTGGGTGAAGTGTAGAAGGTGGGGCAGGGCAGGATGGGGGGGATGAGGGTTTGTGGTGAGGCAAGCAGAATGAGCAGGGGAAGTAGTCCTTTGTATATAATGCATACTGATTTTATTTTTGAGTAAAGATGCATTGTTCTCTAAAGTACGAATGGAAGAGGCATGGGGATTTTTGTGCGGCAGCAGTGGGAGACCCCATTAGCTAAAGTGGTGTCTCAGGTTAAGAACGGTTTCAGGTTAAGAACGAACCCTTGGAATGAATTAAGTACGTAACCAGAGGTACCACTGTAACAAGAACCTGTGAAAGACAGGCATTCCTTCTATACTTGGGCATCATCAGAAAATTTTAAAATGGCATTCAATTATTGGAAGCAGAACAAGTCATGCCCAATAATTGTGGAGTGCAAGGCCTGCTTGATTATGTGGAATAAAAACATGAGAGTAATTTTAAATGTAGATTCTTTATAGTCAATGTAAACTAGACACAGAAAATCAAATGTTGATTCAAGGATCACCTTTCTTTTTTTAAAGCCTCACATCCAGCTTGAGGGTTCCCAAGGACATATTGATGACCACTGAGAACAGGATGCTTAATTTGTTAGGCCTGTGGCCTAATCCAACAAGCTCTTATTGTTCTTCTAAAAAACACACACCATGTGAAATAAAACTTTTTTCAGTGCTCTTTGCCTCAAATTCACAGGAATTTGGGCAAACATGCTGACAAATGTGAATAAAATGAAAGTAAAGACATTTCTAAGCCTAATGCTGCCTTCCTATGCACACTGACCTGGGAGGCAGCCATATTGAATATGGTGGCACTCACTTCTAAGTAAACATGCATACGGCTGAGCTGTGAATGAAGTTTACCTTTAGCGATCTGGCACACCCATTCAAGTTGTGAACCACAGTAGAAAGGCTTTAAGTAGAAATCTTCTTGTCTGTCTTCAGAATAGTAAAGAGTCCACATTGTTCGCCGTGTTAGTCTTAGAAACTGCACACATTATTAAGATAAAAAAAACCAATGAAACTGATTCCTGCATGTGCAGTGTAATATTTACATGCAACTAAGTTCCACTGTTTTAGGTGGGACTTACTATCAGGTAAGTGTAATGCAGCCTGTTAATAAACAGAAATTATATTTCATTCTTTTTTTAAAAAATCAGGCTTTTTTATGGATAAAAAAGCACAGATACTTGCTTTTGTGCAGCCAGATCTAAGGCAATCTCACACAGAAGTATGTCTGTCTAATCAAATTTCCTTCCAAGTATGCTTACAGAGGATTGTAGCTCAAAAACTAAACCACAAGGACGCATGCACTTAAGCCAAGGTTGGCCAAGTGAAATAGTTATGGATCCTACTGCACTTGTAATTATTGCATAGATTTGAAAGCCTGCTCAGGGTTAACTCTGTTACAGTGCAAGCCTAAGCATGTCGACTCCACTGTATTCAGTGTTATCTACTCCTAGGAAAAAGGTGAATGCAGCCTTATTTAATTTGCTGTAACAGATACACACACACACACACACACACACACACACACACACAGTTTATCACCAGTACTGGTTATCAAAAAGTGCATTATTTTATTATATATATTTGAAACTAATTAAAGAGGAACTGTTTTTCAACTACAAAAAGAAGAATTTAGACAACATTTGTTACCACATTTCTCAGAGAAGACAGCAAGGGACACAAAATTATAGACTAATTTTTGTTATCGGTCCAATGCAATATTTCTATTTCATTCTTAAGTTATGTCACAGTAAGCGTGCTGTAGCATTTTCGTTGTATTAACTCCATGACAACTTCACATTGGCAAAGTTGCAGCAATTCATTCTAAATTTAATCTATCAATTGAACTAATTTATAAAAAAACCCCAAAGTATTCCCACTTAGTTATCAAGCGTGTTACACCGCACCTTCACAGCTGCGCAGTCTCTAGTATCGTATTCATCTTTAAACTCAGGGTGCATAACAACAGTAGATACCTACAGAAAGAGAAGATACAGAATTGAATTGAATTGGCAATGACCACATTGTAGTTTTTCACCACAGGCACTCCTCCATTTGTGTCATTGGAGGAAACAGGGCTACACACACATTCCGTTCTGCTGAGTGAAGTAAACAGAGAGCCCAGACTTAGGGCTCATGGTTGGTGAATGTATGTAAGAATGTGGTCTTCTGCACAGAATTTCAGCTGTATTGCAGCATTCATTTCCCTCATGTGCGAAATTAGCGTTCCAAAATCCTAGAGAGAGTCTCCACAAGCAGAGGTGGCTCCCTGCTTAAGAAGAATGCCTTTCAACCCGTGCAGGGCTGTAAATAAACAGATGGGACTCTGATGCACTGGAAGAAGCAGAGCACTCCCTCATGCGAAGGCTTTAATCACGTAAGATAAAGGAATGCCTGAATAGGGGCTGAAGTGCAAGATCACAATCCGATGCATAGTTCAAAAACGTCACCAAACATGACTCAGAGTTTCATGTGCGCTTCTATGATCACACAAGGCTCCTACATATGGGCTGTCAATTTATTTCAGTGAGCCCAAAAGAATCTGCATGAAAACCTGATTCTTCCAATGAAATGGATGGAACACAGTGCCTGTGATGGGAAACATCCCTATGCTTCTCAGAGCCCCTGCACATGTTAAGAAATAGCTAGTTCTTTTTTGTTGTATAAGCGCATACTTCTAATACAAAGCAACAGTAAAAATGGCTAGAACTTTAAAAAATTCTTAAAAAGTCTTCCACTGACAAAATATGTCTGAAATAGTTGGGTTTTTTTTTTTAAAGATGCCTAATTTCTTTCAGACCCACCTACATTCTCCCAACTAAGGTACAATGATATGCTATTGCCATCAGTTTAACTTACAGGCTTATTGTCACTCCACTGCCAGGATCCTAGAGAGTCAGGATTCCTCTTATTTAGCCCAATCCAGACCCAACGGCTATCGCTGTAAATGAAATACCATTTCAGTCCAAGTGCAGCTTTAAGCACAAATTATTCATCACTATAATCACGCAAAACAAGAGCCCTGTACAGACTTCCAAACTGAAAGCACAGTGTGTGTGTGTGTGTGTGTGTGAGTGAGAGAGAGAGAGAGAGAGAGAATCATTTTACCAGTTTGCCAAAATTCCGATTATGCTTGCCATTTGTACATTCCGATTTACATGTAGATTTCACAATGCATGTATGTTAATTAAGAAATACTTAGCTACAGTGGTACCTTGGAAGTCGAACAGAATCCGTTCCGAAAGTCCATTCGACTTCCAAAACGTTTGAAAACCAAGGCACGGCTTCCGATTGGCTGCAGGAAGCCTTCCTGCAGAATCCTAAAAACACACACCACAATCTGTACTAGAGATCTTGAAATGTATGTATGTATGTATGTATGTATGTATGCATGCATGCAACAGTATGCTGCTTAATCATTTAACTAATGTGTTCATTAGGGAACAATACTCAAAGCAAGGAGGAAGAGGAGGAAACAGACTTGTCACCACATGCTACTGAAGATAATGTTTAAAACAAAATAATTGAAAGAACAAATTTGCCGATTGTTCTTTGCATGTCAACAATAGCGGTTTCAGTTCATGTTCCAGAAGAGCTTCTTTTTAAAGGACATGACTATCAAATGCCACATTACCAACTGAGTTTGACCAGAAAACTAGCTTTCCAAGAACGTTACCTTATGGTCTCTCTCAGAATGTCATGGAGCTCCTTGATTTCTGTTAAGTGGCTGAAACTAGGGAGGTGTCCTCCAAGAGCCTCACAGAATCTCTCCGCTTCTTCCCAGGTCCTGGTTCTCAGCACTCTTTCCTTATGAAATAACTTTGCAAAGAAAAAAAGAAAATCCGATTCAACCCTTTATCAATAAAAAGAAAGGGGCCAAAGATATAGCTAATACTTCAAAGCTACCTGGCTGCCGTATAAACCTACCCAATCTGGTTTCATACACACACACTGCATTCTATTCTCCCTGTCTTGTTAACAAAAACTGCCCTAAGAAAGCATCACAAATTTATCTTTTTTGTCCTGTACACCCCCCCCCCATATATAGCTTCCTTCAAGGGATTCTGGAAATTGTGGTTTTACCCCCCCAGCACAAAGCTACAACTCCCAGCACCTTTAAAGGGCAACTCAGGATCCAAGTGGTGCTCTTGTTCTGATGCATAGAGGCTGATCAGCCAGGGAAACAAAACCAAAAGAAGATAATCTAATCAGCTAATACAAAGAAATGTAATGCAAAGAAATAGTTGACCGTGGGAAAGGAAGAATTATGCAAGGGTGTTCTGTGAGTTTTAGATACAAGTCCAAAGTAATTCAAGAATATGAATTGTGTGTGTGTGCGTGTGTGTGTGTGTGTGTGTGTGTGTGTCTATGTGTGCACACTCAAGTCACTGAACTAGATTAGCCTTAGCCAACCTGCTACCCTCAAGATGCTTTGGACTACAATTCCCATCAGTTCCAGCTGGTTGGAGATGATGGGAGCTGTAGTCGACTATTCAATTATTTCATTTCTATACCACTTAGTATATTAAATATCATTTAACATATTACAGATATCTTAAGCAGTGTACAAAAAACTGAATAAACAACAGACACTTAAAATATTACAAAGATAGTGTTACATATAAAATGTTACATTAATACAAAGTTACACACACACACACACACACACAAGAGAGAGAGAGAGAGAGAGAGAGAGAGAGAGAGAGAGAATCTTCCTTCTGACACATCCTCCCTCTCAGCTTCTGGGTTCTCATCCCGTGTCCAAACAAAATTTCACAGGCTATAAACTAGATTAAAATCAACAACGCGCTAAAAACTAGATTAAAACGTATGGCAACATTCTACGTATCTGGCTAGGCTTTCTGAAACAAGCACGCCTACAATGGCATTTGTGCACCTGTTTTTGTAAGGTGTGTTCGGAATGAAAATCAGAAAAGATCTCTTTCCATATGGTGGAAATATCTAGTTCAACATTTTGTAGTGCTTTTGTTTTTTCTTCATTAAGATAATATACATGTTGTTTTTTTAAGTGTTAGCTCGGTTTCTTTCAAGTTCGTAATATCTAGAGGGCATCAGGATAGTGAAGGCTGAACTAGATCCTTTAGTTGATTTAATTGGAAGGATATATGCTACCTTATAACAAGCAAGACCTGATCCGCTGTGCCAGCCTGGAGGGCAAGGGTCAGTAACTTTAGGAACTACTTCCGGTTCTACTTTTGGTCCAATGTACTTCTTGCAAATAGAGTAAGCTTTCGTTGTTTTGCAATTCTTGACCTCCCACTTTCCAAGGTATTTTCCTGCTGACATAGCCACGCATCCTCCACGCAATGCTAGAATGTAGATTAAAATCAAATCAAAATTGTAACCAAGAAATTTAGTATTGTTCAAGATTTAACAGAGAACAAATAGCAGCACTTCACTGATCTCGAGAAGGTACTGTACCTGGTTGGAAATGACCCCAGTTGGTGTACGTGAGCATTTCATTCTTCCCATCTACGGTTCCCCAGCTATACTCTCCTGAAGAGCTGATATCGTGCAAGCCAGTCCAGAAGTACTTTTCTTCAACTCTGCTATGCTTTCTAATCAAATTGTTTATGAATTCTTGTTCGAATCTGTAAGAGTCAAGTTTCAAAAACTAAGGATGCAACTATCATGATCAAATACATGAATAAATCTACTAATCATAAATGTAAACACTTCACTAGCATATTGCAGAGTTCATTCTACATTCATGTTTCAACAGTACTGCATACTCATCTCTTGTTGCACAACACACATTTGTTTTATCTAGACAAAGACAAACACTAAAGAATACCTGTTTGTTATAGTGAGGTTGCACAGTTTCCCAAACAATTCTTCACTTTTCTGAACCTTGTAACAGAAGTCTCCATGCCTCCATTCCTATTTTAGAGAATAATACTCTTTTACTCAAAAGTATGCATTAATTATGTTCCACGTTACATTTTTGCAAAGGCAGAATGGTGAAACTTAAGAATTGCTACTACTTTGAAATTGGGGATACACTAGAACACTAGATAAATGACAGATGCTTAATATTTATTTAATATGTAAGAATTCTAAATATTCCACTCCATTCTATTATTAATAATGGATCTGAAATTCAAAATGTCAGGCAAACAGTAAGCAAAATACTTTTAATACAGCCTCCAAGATTGGTTTAAAATGTAATTACTGATATAGCCTTACCTCACCAGTACAATTTTTATCAGCTTTTGAGTCATTCAAAATCTTTCCATTTTTCATGCAGACGTATTTAAGTTTATTGTCACAAGGCAGGACATTCCATCGACCCAGCTATCAGCAAGAGGAGGGGGGAGATTTTTTTAGAACATTCCCAATATTATTCTCTCCATTGTTTATTGATTTTCAATGAAAGCAAACAGCCAGAGTAAACATACAAGTGAAAAAACGGGGAGGCACAAGCAAAGCAAAATGTCCACTGCATAAACTCCTAAGAAAGTAGTTGGATAAATATAATAACAAATGCATGAGTGCTAATTAGTCTTTCCAAAAGGGTCCCTAATAACATTTTTTTAAAGTACAGTGGTACCTCTAGTTATGAACATAATTTGTTCCGGAGTTCTGTTCTTAACCTGAAACTGTTCTTAACTAGAGGCGTGCTTTCGCTAATGGGGCCTCTTGCTGCTGCTGTGCCGCTGGCACACGATTTCCGTTCTCATCCTGGTACAAAGTTCTCAAATCAAGGTAACTACTTAGCGGAGTTTGTAACTACTTAGCGGAGCTTAGCGGAGTTTGTAACCTGAAGTGTTTGTAACTCGAGGTACCACTGTCATTGAAGTCTCATTTAAAACCACGTTGTCTATATTACAATGCAGACAGGAACAGATTTCGAGAGTGCTTAGCTTCCCTGCTACTCTCTCCCCCTATTTTTTCCTGGATGGGAGTCCAAAAATGTAACAAGCCTGCCCTGTATCCCAACCTGAATGAGGATTTTAAGAACATAAAAAGCACCCTGCTAAATCATTCCAACATTCTGTTCTCACGGTGGCCAACTCTTGTGAGTCGCGCGATTGGGAAACAGAAGAGAACACAGGCAGCAGCAAAAGAGAGACTGGAGGAGCAGAGGAGCCCGATTCTTTGCTCTGGCGCATTCACATAGTGCTACACTATTGCTTAAGAGTCACTGGCGGAGGAAGAGGAGTGCGGGGAGAGCGCCCTGCCTCCAGCCGCGTGCCATCGCGGCTGCCCCCCCCGCCCATGCTGGGCTGCCCATGCCCCCGCAGACGGCACGTTCTGCCCCCAGGACGCGTGCCAGACCCGCCCTCACCTGCTCTCTGCCACCGTTAAGAGTTATGTGTTAACGGGGCAATGGTTGCTCATGCACCTCTGCTGTATATCATAGGCTACGAATATCATATACAGAAAAACTATTAACCCACCAACACTGACAAGTAGTTGCTTTGAGATTTTTCTCATAGAAAGAAACAGGGAGAGCTCACAATAGGACCTGTGTTCCTGTTCTAAGGCTTAAGGTTTTCTCTGTTAGCACAGTGAATTGCCTTCTATTCCTCTGTTGTGACTGGACCCAGGAATAGAGAGGAGAGACACAAGTGATGGGTTGAACTAGGGCCACATTTTATTATCAACAACTGCAAGGGGAAATGAGAATTGCAGCAAGCTAATGTTCACTTCAACTCTGCATGAACCAAACCCTACCCTTTCCAAAGGGCATGACAAAGCACAGTCCCAAGGTTGGGGCCCCACATTATGATGAGTAGGGCAGCCTTCTTGCCTCCATTCCCTCCCAGGGCCCCACAGGTGTGGCAGGTGAGCCTCAAGAACATTCCCCATCCAGGCTAAGAGCCCCATAGCCTGAAGAAGCTGGCATCCAGAAATGCCCTTCGCCTTCAAAGGTACATAAGGGTGCTCAACAGAGCAGGTAGAAAAAACCCTGCCTAGCTTGGCCAGTTTGCAGGCAGACAAAATATTCCGACTGTGCCCCAAAACGACTGGAAATCCCATTCTGGAACTGAGTGTGGGCTTGGTGGGTATGGGGGGAAATGACCAGAGGCCACATAGAGGCACAGCCAAGGACCATATAGTCTATAGATACATCACCAGACACAGACTCTTCCAAGGCAAATCTAAACATCGACAACTGGGAAACACTGGCCTGCGAGTGCTCCAATTGCAGAAAAGCCTTTACCAAAGGTGTCGTGGGTTTCGAATACGCTCGAACTCAGGACGAAAGGGAGAAATGTGCTAAGAGGAAGGCACGCTTGGCAAACCTTCACCATGATCAACTCCTGCCCAGAAACCTATGTCTCCACTGTGGAAGGATGTGTGGACCCAAACTTGGCCTCCACAGTCACTTGTGGACTTTTAAAACTGTGTTTAGGGAAGACAATCTTACTTGACTACGAGTGATCGCTAAAGAAGAAGAAGAAGAGTCTATAGATACATCGCCAGACACATGTGCTGGTGTCTGTATGCACACAAAGCAGCCTTGCCTCACCTGCCTCCCTAGCCAGCTGCAACAATGCTCCCAGATGCAGATGGCAGGAGTGGACTTCTGGGCTGGAAGTTTGCTAGAATTCAAGGGTATACTCCTAAGCATGTGAGTTCCACTGAAATACCAGGACATTAATTCTGTGGAAGTCTGTTAAAGGTTGCACTGCTAAGGTATCATCTTTTCCACTCCCATAGGAGGGAACAGGCTATGTACATAAATCCACATGCTTTTTTCCTTTATTTCCCAGAAACTTAAGAGGCACTTGGATCAGAGTAACACATAAGCGACTTACCTTTCCTGAGTAAGCTACACAGTTGGGAGTGTTGTTGGAGAGAAGTTTCGGCTCATCCTGATCCCAGTAAGTAAACACTACTTTGGAACCGTCAGACCATTTAAACAAGGCTGGAACATCCTTGTTTATCAAGCCAATCCACACTCTGTCTGCGGTGTCTATATTTAATAGCAAAAAATAAGCAATTCAAAAAGCAATATAGCTAATCAAACAAGACACCAGGAGAACAGCCATATAACTCAAACAAGCTCACTTTTTTCAGAATGCACGGAATTATACAACAGATGCCCTATGACTAAGGCAAGACATATAGAGATAGGGCCAGCAAAGTGCATTTTATCCAAGTTGAAAAAAATATATATTTATTTTTATTGAGTCTGTGATCTAGAATGACAAAAATTCTGGCCACAGATGAAGCAGTACCAGTACCAGTAGTAGTAGTAGTAGCAGTAGCAGCAGCTGTTGTTGTTGTTGTTGATTAAATTTCTATACCATCCTTCATTTGAAGATCACAGGGAGGTTTACAACATAAGAACCCATATAAGACCATAAGAACAAACACACCCACACTCACATAGTTTAAAAGGTCATAGATTGTTTAAATAGTCAAAGGCCTGGGAGAAGAGGAATGTTTTTGCCTGGCACCTAAAGATATATAAGGCTGATGCCAGGCAAGCAACCTTCTAAACCAAATTTCTAGTCATTTCAGCCTTAAGTTGAGATGGGGTGATTAGCATGAAAAAGGCAGAAAAAAATCATGCCTATGCTTAGCCAAACTTACCATTATGAAGTTCTGTAACCACTATCTCAACATCTGCTATGGAGTGTATGCTGATAAGGTTGCTATTGCTTGCATTGCAAAGTTGATGTGCGTCATCCCAGGAAGCAGCGCCGCTCATTAGCATATAGCAAAATCCATTGTGGGAATGCCAATTAGGTTCACACTGGGTCTCCACATACTGCTCAACTGCTGAGAATAAATAAAACATGTGAACCATTCAGCAGGAAATATACACCGGGTGATGCGCAGAAAAAAACACACAACTAACTTTTTTTAAAAAAAGGAAAGGCAACTATAGCATGACACTACAGTGGTGCCCCGCAAGACGAATGCCTCGCAAGACGAAAAACCTGCTAGACGAAAGGGTTTTCCGTTTTTGAGTTGCTTCGCAAGACAAATTTCCCTATGAGTCTTGCGATTTTTTTCGCTCCCCCCCTTTTTCTAAGCCGCTAAACCGCTAATAGCCTTTTAGCCGCTAAGCCGCTAATAGCACTAATACGCTAAGCCGCTAATAGGGTTGCTTCGCAAGACGAAAAAACCGCTAGACAAAGAGACTCACGGAACGGATTATTTTCGTCTTGCGAGGCACCACTGTATAGCATTTTTACAATTGTAAAAACTCCCAAACGTTTCCCCTGATTTTGTAACTATTAACTATTTCTGAAAAACAAAACAGCCACACTTGGCTGAAACTCTCCTCTTACCCTTTGCACCTCTTTATTGTCTACTCTGAAGGTTTGAGACCAATATGCATTGCAACGAATATACTTTTTGGTATGCTGCTTTTCGTGCAAGCAGGCTTCCATAACTAAGTTGTTCTTGAAGAAAAAAGTAGTTACGAAGCAGTGTGCGACAGATGCTGCAGCAGCTGTAAATATGAGTCAATTTAACTACGTAACTGCCTAACAAAAACCGAATCTACAATTTAATTCAAATTTACCTGCAAACTCTGACTGGGTATTGTTGAATGGCTTCTTGCAAACATAAGGAAGTTTATTCTCACAAGGATAACTCATCCAGGTACCTTCGTTGGCTTCCATAGCTACACAGCCAGATCCATCTAGTGGAGATGAATTCTGAATCTCTACAGGAAAAACAACAAGTATTTAGAAATTTAAAGTTATAGTATCACATAATTATAGGGCTGGAAAGGAAGAGTTCCAAACATTTAGCACCAGAAATCATTTTTTAAAAAATAAGGCTGCAATCCTGTTCACATCTTCCTGAGAGTAATCCACATAACACCGTGAGACTTTTTCTGAGTAGATATGCACAGAATTTGATTGGGCAACTGATCAGTGAAATGTGCTCACCTTGACTCCAGCTGACGAAATTCAACGGTGTATGATCCGACCACTGCCAGCCTCCAGAAATATCCAGCTGGTTTAATCCAATCCAGAATCTCTCTGCAATGCCTTCTTTTGCTAAAGAGTTAAAAATATTATGAGAGGAATAATACTGATTGGTTTCCATGCTGTAAATTCATAGTTACCATTTAGCTGTACTGAACCTAAGTATCGTCTTTCCAGGTAGCTTTCGGTTGCTAAAATAATATACATATTTAAGGTCAAACAGAAATATTTGGGCACCAGCTTATGGAGCACAGTATGTGATGTGGTTGCACAAGCATTATATGAATTTATTAGACAGTGGCTTAGTTTGTACATCATGCTCAGCAAATCCATGGCTTAAGAAGGAGCCCAAGTATCAGAGGGAGTGGAAGGAAGATGAAAAAGGAGGAGAAAGCAAAAGGAAGGGGGAGAAAAAACCAAGGGCACATTTTGGGTCCAAAATTTCTTGTGGGCATTTTAGTTATTGGTAGTAGGAAGTAAGTTTGTGCAGAATGGAATTTTGATAATTCTAGAGAATTGTGCAGAGGCAACTCCTTCAAGAGACAGGAGGTGGTAGCTAAGAATCTACCTTGACACTAATCCTCTTGCTAAGGTTCCATCCCCACTCCTCAATTTGGTAGTGCCAGGTTTCCCCAGAAATTCACCATATACAGTTGTTCGTACCTTGAATACGGCTTAACTCGGATGCACTGGCGATGCTCAGCAGATCTCCACCTTGACTCTGGCATGAGACATATGCTTCTTTCCAAGTAAGGGCAGCCTGTGTGTTTAACTGGTAGCAATTTCCAGAATCTGCATCATGTTCCCATGCATTCTGACAACCATCCTCTGATGTAAGAGAAATAAATAATTAAAAAGCAACCACCTGGGTCCCACACAGGCACAGTAACCATGTGCTGAGAATTCCAGAAGGGGGCAATATAGATGTTTCCCCCACCCTTCACACAAAGAGCATGGTCACGCATAGTTAGAATGAGGCATTGCGATGAACACGAAGTCCGCCTGCAGCTCCCATATCTATGTGAAAAACGTCATTATACATTTCAGTCCGGTGGTTCTCAAAGGGTGTGCTGCACTACATTGGTGTTGCAGGAGGGGATAGCAACTGCAGCAGAAAGATTCAAGGACAATCAAAGAAACATTTAAACATTTCAGTGTAGTATAGTATATGGCATTTTAGCAATGTTACTTGCCTGGCTTTAAGCAGACACCCCATTCTTTATCTTGATCAAAACTGGAGGTTGTAGAACACCATTCACCATCTGTAAACATTTCATTGTGGGTACAATCATGATGCCATGTTCCATTAAATAGGAAAGGGAATTCACAAGGCTTTCCATAGGAATTTCCGTCCTTCGTATAAACCTCTGTAGGGGGAAAATGGTTTTGACATTTGAGGGCGGGGGAATGGATATGAACGCATAGTAAGGTAAAGGTAAAGGGACCCCTGACCATTAGGTCCAGTCATGGCCGACTCTGGGGTTGCGGTGCTCATCTCGCTTTATTGGCCAAGGGAGCCGGCGTACAGCTTCCGGGTCATGTGGCCAGCATGACGAAGCCGCTTCTGGCGAACCAGAGCAGCGCACGGAAACACTGTTTACCTTCCCACCGGAGTGGTACCTATTTATCTACTTGCACCTTGACATGCTTTCAAACTGCTAGGTTGGCAGGAGCAGGGACAGAGCAATGGGAGCTCACCCCGTCGCGGGGATTCGAACCACCGACCTTCTGATCGGCAAGTCCTAGGCTCTGTGGTTTAACCCACAGTGCCACCTGCGTCCCTTGAACGCATGGTAAACTGAACCAATATTAAGACACTGTTGGAGTCATTCAGAAGTAAAGATTATTGGCACATGCAAGCTATTATTTACAGGTATATATGTGACACAGTTGCAGTATATCTTAATATAATGCTGTAGGAAAATGCTTAACATTTCAGCCATATGCACTTCATGCAATAATAATTCATTATTATTATTATTATTATTTTCTCAATTAAACAAAATGGTTTTTTGTGTTGTTTTCACCGTACTTTATGTGAGGGCATAAATATGTATATATAAAACAAATTAATATGATAAGATCCGTAGAAGCCAAAAATCACTCAACAGTGAACTCTTGAAATTAAAAATGTCTCATGGCCCAAACCTATGGTCCCATACTGAGCAGCTTTCGGGGCATGGGTATAGTCCAGGAGGTGGTGGTGGGGGCAATTGCCCCCTCTAAATCAAGTAAATAAAAATACTTAACTAACTGACCAATTGCACTGGAGATAACTCGGTTCTCCCACACCTCAACATAAAGCCTGCCTCCTGTAAAATAAATGCTGGGTGCGCCCATGTTTTGGGTTCAATGCTTTGGGAAAGGCATAACTAGTGCATCTCAAACAGCAAAGCTATTTCTGGGATATGTCAGTTCAGCACCAGCTACACTGATACTCCTGATGGTGTGCTGCACTATGCAGCCTCCCAACCAACATTTGGGGTTGCTAGCATTAATGGAATGTTGCCACAATCCCACAGAAGACACTTATAACAGCAAATACTCATGAGCGCCTCCTTAGTCTGCCCTGCTTCCTGGGAAAAAGGAGTAGATTTAACTGTGTTAGTAGTGCAAGTCACTCTCAAAACACTTTTTAAAAAAAGTGAGAATAAGCCTCAAGGCAGAGACCAATACTGTTTCTAGGGCTTCACAATTCACACGATCTTCTTCCCTGTAGCAGTTTCATCTACTTATTGACATATCAAGCTTTCAGCCTCATCAAGGTAATAACTAATGCATTCTTTCGCAACTACTGGAAATTCTGAGAGATGGCTGGCAACAGAGCTGCAGTTCTTGCATGCCATTCATGCATGTCTCAATTTTTAAAAAATTGCCTTAGGGCAGAACAATCCTGTCCCTGCCCAGGGAGTCATTAAAGAACTATTGCATCTCTGCCAGCTTCTGCAGATCAGGGAAGAAGGAGGAGGCGCTGTTAGGAGTTATTTTGTGCTCCCCTCACCACTGTACCAGAGTCCAGGCCCCTCTCTGGGAGCTGGCCTGACATAGGATTCAATGGATCCTGTAGCCCCTGCCCCCAAATGGTCCATTTTCATGCCTCCGCTGGCTACCACCTGCTCAGGTGAGGGCTGGGCCTACATCACAGCAAAACCCTCAACAGCAGGACTCCAAACCACTGGCAGAAAGGGGTTCCTCCTCTATCCTAACCCACCTATTGAGCTATCAATATTGAGGAGGATAGGGAAGGATTTCAATCTTAGTTTCTTCTCAGGTTTTTTTTTTGTAAAATACTCACTGCAATATTGGTGGTAGGAAGCATACAAACAAACAAACAAACAAACAAACAAACAAACAAACAATGTATGAATTTGAAAAGTGAAACAGAAAATATGTCTTGCCAGGAGTAGGAAAGTAATAACTGAAAAAGCATGGACACCTGCAGGAATTCCCCCCACCCTAGATTCTGGCAAAGTATACATACAAAATACATAAACATAAATCTAAAGACAGAAAACAAGCATTTTGTATTCAGGAGAAAGACATTTTCTTGACTTTTGAACTGCTTTGCTGCTCTGGAAGGGAGCAACTGAAATAGTCTTTAGCTTTGTTGTGACCCAAGAGGGAGGGAGTATGTACATGTTTGACTGAAAACCCAAACCAGTCAATGACAAAATAATCAGATGAGTAAGAGGTGCTAGTAACTTCTCAGGTTTGTTTGAGGATTACAGTGGTGCCTCGCAAGACGAAATTAATTCGTTCCGCAAGTCTCTTCGTCTTGCGAGTTTTTCGTCTTGCGATGCACGGTTTCCCATAGGAATGCATTGAAAATCAATTAATGCGTTCCTATGGAAACCGACTTCAGACCAGGTCCGGGGACAGTCTGTCCCCCGACCTCTTCTGAAGGCTGGGGGGGGGGAGGACAAGGGCTTTCCTTCCCACCCCCAGCATTTTAAAAAACCCCGGGACAGCGGAGGACTTCTCCGCTGTCCGGGGCGATCTTACAATGCTGGCGGGCGGCATTTTAAAATCGCCCCGGGACAGCGGAGGACTTCTCCGCTGTCCGGGGCGATTTAAAAGCCCCTGGGAAGGCAGGCAGGGGAGACAAAGACTTTTGCCCCCCGCCAGCCTTCAGAAGAGGTCCAGGACCTCTTCTGAAGGCGGGCGGGGGGCGAAAGTCTTTGCTCCCCGCCGCCTGCCTTCAAAAGCCGTCCGGGACAGCGGAGAAACGCGCTGCGTTTCTCCGCTCTCCCGGGAAGGCAGGCAGGGGGGAACAAAGACTTTTGCCCCCCGCCGGCCTTCAGAAGGTGTTCCCGCCCCGCCGCCCGGCTTCGGAGGAGCCTTCCAAAGCCGGGCGGCGGCGGGAGGTGTTCCCGCCCCGCCGCCAGGCTTCGGAGGAGGTCCGAGGACAGTGGGGAAGACGCGCTGCGCTTCCCCGCTGTCCCGGAGATTTCCCTATGGGCTGTCGTCTTGCGAAGCAAGCCCATAGGGAAATTCGTTTTGCGAAGCGCCTCCAAAACGGAAAACCCTTTCGTCTAGCGGGTTTTCCGTCTTGCGAGGCGTTCGTCTTGCGGGGCACCACTGTATTATTTTTTGAAATGTGTACAGGGGGCTGTGGAGTTGACCACAGCAGTGGCACGTAGGAATGTATGGGTGATTAACTTTTCCTTCAAGTTGCTTTTTGCAGCAAAATCCACCAGTCTCTAGGGTCCTTTTTTCTCCCATGGGTGAGAAAAAAAATAATACAGTGGTACCTCAGGTTACATACGCTTCAGGTTACAGACTCCACTAACCCAGAAATATTACCTCGGGTTAAGAACTTTGCTTCAGGATGAGAACAGAAATCGTGCTCCGGCTGTGCAGTGACAGCAGGAGGCCCCATTAGTTAAAGTGGTACTTCAGGTTAAGAACAGCTTCAGGTTAAGAACAGGCCTCCGGAACGAATTAAGTACTTAACCCGAGGTACCACTGTAATCACACCCTCTCCTCATAATGGCTGCTTGTATGGACTTCACAGTCCCAGTTTCCCTTTCAAAAAACCAACACCTCAGGAGACTTGACTGCAGGGTTGTTGCCTCCCTATCCCAGTCAGAAACACTTCTGGGATACTTTATGGGTCTGTCATAAATTCTTTCAACAGGTCAACACTCTCTCGGCAAAATAGCCCCACACCCTGAAATCTGGATACAGTAACGATGGGGCTTTATCTGCGCTTGCATCATGGAGCAACTTTTAAATGTTTACAAACCGGGTGTGCGTACGTCACATTTTTCAATAGTAAAGTAAGACCTGAACTATCGACTCTTGCCTTTACTGCTACCTGTTGTGTTTTGATAGGCACACTACTGCCTAACCAGGGCCTAAGCACTAAACTCCTGGATTTCTGAACTGTTTTCCGTGGGCAGCAACCTCAACTCGACCAGGAGAACTAAAAACTAGCTTAAAAAATGAAACTGAAAACTCTGTCTCCAAGCAGTGACCGTGTCACTCTATATGGCTAGCTCTGCTTTCCTAAATGTCAACTGCACCTATGACTTCATTTATTGGCTAAAGACCCTGAAAGGCAGTATAAGGGTCATTTCTCACAAAACCAGCAGGCAGAATAATGCCTGCACATTTTGCCTCATATCTTGAGATCTACAAGACCTAGAGACTTGCTTTTTTTTTTATTAATGACCATAGGGGTTCTACAGCTCAAATAGGTGACTTTGCCCCCACTTCAGAAACCAATGCCTCAAAGTCAGCGGAGCCGATAAGGAAAAACAGTCAAGTGGACTGGAAGTGATAGGCAACTTAGAAGGAGTGCAAAACTAGCCAGCCTACCTATGTTACCTGCTTCAACTGGCAAAGCTGGTCTTGACTGCTTTGTAGAAAAAAAAGGCTACTATTGTACGGCAACTATGCATTTCTACTCCGGTTTAACCTAACAAATTTGCAGATTCTTACTCACTGCAATCAAAGTGGATCTTTAAGGTCTGCCTGAAATTGTCACCTGTTTCGCTGCAATTAGTGTGGCTCAAACTATGGTAGATGCAAACACCCCAAAATTGTCTGGTGGCTGCAGCCTCTGCCAACTCTATAGATGTGGTAGCCCTTTCAAACTCAGTAGGAATTATTATATACAGTAATATATAAAGCACCTATGGTTTTTTTCTATGCACTGTACTGAGGGATTGAACACCACAGTATGCACTGATGGCCTTATAAGCTATTTGACAAAACCAAAAATGAAAAAAGAATGGGAAGGGAAGGGGGAAGGGGAGGGGGAGGGGAGGGAGAGGGAGGAGAAAGCAGATCCAAGCATTAATGCTTCATAGTTACATAAACACAGAAAGAAAATCATGCCTAGAAATTGCAGTGCGGCACACTGTAAAGCACATTTGAAGCAGATTTCACATTCCCACCACCCCTCAAAGTATTCTGGGCACTGTCGTTTACCCCTCACAACATTATAATTCCCAACACCTTTAATAAACTACAGTACCCAGAAATCTTTGAGTGGGAAAATGTGTTTTGAATGTGCTTTAAAGGTATAGTGCAGGGGTCTGCAACCCGCGGCTCCGGAACCGCATGTGGCTCTTTTACACCTTTGCCGGGGTGGATACTAGCGAGGGGAGGAGGCGCATTGTGTGCCCCGACACTCCCCACTGTGGCGGGCGCTGTACTGGCTGTGACGTTGCATGGGGGCGGTGCGTGCGTTAGTCACGCACCGTCCCGACGTCACCTTCCCGCCCGCTGTCAGATCGCGGCTCCGGAGATATATTTGTTTTAAATGTCGCAATGGTTTTGCGGCTCCCAGTTGTTGTTTTTTCTTCGGAAACTGGTCCAAGTGGCTCTTTTTGTCTTAAAGGTTGCAGACCCCTGGTATAGTGTGTATCCAAACCAAGTTTCTCCCCAGCAACAGGGAAAGACAAAATTACCTGCCTTGAGGTAAATTTTCACTTGCTTGGGCACGTCAGAACATTTTCCTCAGCGAGAACCACAAATTCACAAAGAGTTTGGGTTTGTAAACTAGGGGTGCTTACTATGCAGCCAATTAGAAAACAGAGGTTGAAATACACTGACAATCCTCACAACACACACACACACACACACACAGACACACACACAGTTTCCTGGGCACTTAAGTGGGGGTTGAGGCAGCAACCGTGTGTCCAGGGCATAAAGCCTAATCATTATGGCACCATTTGCAAGTTCTCCCACTTCTCACTGTTACACTTTATACAGCATACATTGTTCATGTTTCTCTAGTGTTTGAGCTGTATTCAGCACACACTGGTCTTCTCATCATGTTAGTGTGTGACCGCCCCTGCTTAAATTCTCTTCATAATAATAATGTTACTGTTAGCGGTAAATCCAGCCATGGACTTATGTCACCCAGAGTCTTGAGGGCCAAACTGCTCAGCGCAGCACTTAAATTTCATTTAAATCATGCATATTGTTATGATTTTAAACTGTAGGCCATATTGAGGATTTTTATAGTGGAAACACGTAGGAATTTGTTTTAAAACAAACAGAATAAAATTAAATATGGGATATCTTTATAGCTTACAACTTGAAAATATGTTTTTTATTCCTTATGAGTAAAACTTGATATATTTTTTAAACAACAACTCGATTAAACTTGGGAGGACTACAAGGGTCTAGGTAAAATGGTCCTGGGAGCCAGATCGGGCCTACTGGCAAAGCAGCTGGCTGCAAAACGAGATGATTCACATTATTATTTGTAGATCATCTTCATAAACTAGGCTAAACCACATGTGTTCTCACTACTCGTCATTCTAGTTTTACAGCATAGCGTTTCACATTTTGTTTGAACTAAACATGGTCCATAATAATAATAATAAACAACAGCTAGTAGTTGAAAAATGAAGGTATGCCTGTTGTTTTAGTTTTCTTTCTCCCATGCCATTTCTGGCATGCTTGAGGATCTGTTAGCTGTGGGCAGGATTTACCTAACCACCCCTGTCTGCACAAACCTTGCACAAGGACTTCTGCTTGCTCAACAGGACTCTTCACTCACACCCCCCCACTCCTAGAAATTGGCCTTGGGGGTGCAGGAACCATCAGAAAAGCACGAGGGGGGAGGAAAGGAGGTATAGCTGGCAAGCTGCAATGCTTGCACATAAGAATAGATGGTAATAGCATGATTAAATATTTTCAGCATCTGTATGTGTCTACACAGAAGTAAAGCCTGCCGAGTTCAGTGAGACTTTCTCCCAGGTAAAGGAATATATGGTTACAGCCTTCATTAGATTCTTATTTAAAAGGGCTGTTATCCCTGGGACCTTCTACCAAAAGCAAGTCCCATAATAGTGGTGCAGAGCAGTGTGTTACATTTAGACCTGGGAAACTTGAGTTGAAAACCCAGCTCAGCCATGCACAATGTTGTGTAAGTCATCATTACTAAATCTGCTATTTCCTAATCTGTAAAACTGATACGACCTACGATTAGGGTTCAGAGTTTGATAGATACAAAAAGATTTGGCCAATTGGTTAAATAATCTATTATTTTTAAAGCATTCATGTTCTGATATCATAATAACTATAATCATCCACAAATACAACACTCAGGCCAGCTTTTTTTTTATAAAAAAAATTTAGATAACCCTTACTGTAAAACAAAGGGACGCGGGTGGCGCTGTGGGTTAAACCACAGAGCCTAGGACTTGCCGATCAGAAGGTTGGCAGTTTGAATCCCCGTGACGGGGTGAGCTCCCGTTGCTCGGTCCCTGCTCCTGCCAACCTAGCAGTTCGACAGCACGTCAAAGTGCAAGTAGATAAACGGCGTTTCCGTGCGCTGCTCTGGTTTGCCAGAAGCAGCTTAGTCATGCTGGCCACATGACCCAGAAGCTGTACGCCGGCTCCCTCGGCCAATAAAGCGAGATACCGTATTTTTCGCCCTATAGGACGCACCGTCCCATAAGGCGCACCTAGTTTTTTGGGGGGGAAATAAAGGGGGAAAATTATTTTTCCCCCCAGGCGCGGGGCTGGGGCGTGGGAAGCCCGAGCTTCCCCCGACCCCAGCCCCAAAACAGGCAGCTCTCTGCAAGCCGTGGGAGCCCAGCGCTGGCTCCCGCTGCTTGCTGAGAGGTCCGCGAAGCCTGGATGCGCTGAGCTCAGCGCGGGGAAGCTTCAGCATGCAGGCAACTCTCCGCAAGCAGCGGGAGCCCAGCGCCGGGCTCCCGCTGCTTGCGGAGAGGTGCGCGAAGCCTGGAGAGCGAGAGGGGTCGTGCGCACCGACCCCTCTTGCTCTCCAGGCTTCAGCAAAAGCCTGCATTCGCCCCATAGGACGCACACACATTTCCCCTTCATTTTTGGAGGGGAAAAAGTGCGTCCTATACGGCGAAAAATACGGTAAGCGCCGCAACCCCAGAGTCGGCCACGACTGGACCTAATGGTCAGGGCTCCCTTTACCTTTACTGTAAAACAATACTGAGTTTGAGCCAGATTAAGTTTTCTTTAATCTCATTAAAATCAATGAAATTTACATTAGTCATGCCTATCCTAAACTCACTTAACGGGGAGTAAGTCCCAACTGAACTCAAAGGGGCTTACTTCTCAATATACAAGTACAAGATTGCACTGCCAGTCAGAACTTAAACTGGACCTGATCCATTAACTTTAGAAAAGACTGCAATTAATCACTTTATCACACTTTTATTCTGCCATTCCAAGGAGCTCAGGGAGGTGTACTAGTCATTAGTACCTAATGAGCTTCCATGGCTTTGTGAAGATTTGGATCCGAGATTTCCTAAGTCTGTAAACATTAGACAGAACCACTGTTGACTGTCTACTCTTTAACTCTTTTCAAAACCAGCATTTACCTACGTATTTACTTAACTGAAACTCATGTGCAAACCTCTCCTTTCTCCAGATAACAACAAATGAGAAGGAAAATACATACTGCGATAAGGGAGTTTGCAAATAGTATCACTGGAATTGCTTCTTCTCCAGGTATCAGAAGAGTTTATGCTTGCTGTCACAATTCCATTCTGTAAAGTCAGCTTGTTCTCAGATGCAGATGATATTGAGGCATCGTCACAGCGCCACCACAGTGAAAGATCTGAGTCACAATCCACCACTTTCAAGGGATTCTGGGATTTGGCAGTTTCTAGTCCAAGGCACTTTTGGGACCCCAAGTTAAAAAGGCGATGCTGGGAGACCCATGTCCATAAGGTCTCTTCTGCTCCTTGGCAGTCTCCTGTTGTTATCTGCTGGTTTTTAACTTGGATGCACTTGTTGGTTTTTTCATGGCGGATGGTGAAGACATTGTTATCTGCGTTAGAAAAGAGGCATATGCTTTGGTGAGTTTTTCCCCTGTGATTTGCAGTGGGGAAACAATACTATACTGGAGGTACATTAAGAAAATGCTTCCTGGAAAGTACTACCACCAACTAAATGTGTGATTCTAAACATGTACGGTAATTCCCAATACAGAAAGTTGCTGCTCTGTAAATTTACTGCTATGTAAAATGTACTCCAACTATAAATTTGTTAAGCCTGATCAAGGCTGAACTGATCAGGGTAACTCATCAAATAAATGGGCAAAGGGAATTGATAAGGTTTGTTTGTTGGTTGGTTTGGTGTGCGTGTAATTCTAGGTTTATTAGAATCAAATGTATTGTTTAGAAACAATAGGAATGTGTTCATTAGAACTTTTATTTTATTTTTTTAAAAAGTCTTATCTATAACTTATAAAAGTGGAAAACTTTTTAATTTAGCATGAAGTGGTAAGTTACCCAAGTTCTGTAAACCAGGGGTCCTAGAGCTTAAATCATTTATCACACCTTAGGGACAATAGAACACAGCTCACTTTTACCTGGAACAAGGAACCCGTGGCATCCAGATATTGCTGGAATACAGCTCCCATTAGGCCCAAGCGGCATAAGCAATGGACTAGGATGGTGGAAGTTGGAGTCCAATATCATCTTGATGGCCACAGGTTCCTCTTTTCTGACCCTGACTTTTATTAGTCTCTAGATACGTTTCCCAAACCTGGGTCTCCAGCTGTTTTTGGACTACAATTCCCATTATCCCTGACCACTGGCCCTGCTAGCTAGGGATGATGGGAAACCCTGCTTTAACTTTTTTGAAGTCCAAAGTAGTTGCAACTCATCGTGAAATTTATCCCAGATAGCCCTAGGCACCTTGACTGAAATGGAAGTAAATTCTGTGATGAGCAAATCTTATATAAAAGCACAAGCTAAATTGTGTGGTTTTTGTCTAATTTACACTGGAGCAAACAATCCCAGGGGACAGCCATGTATGGAGATGGTTAAACCTCCTTTGTCCTGTAGGAAAATGTGTGTTTGTTACATCCTGTATGTGTGTGTGTGTATATTAAATTACTGGTACTTTTTTTTTAAAAAAAAAAGATCATAGTGTCGAAGTAATAATTGCTCTGTTAAATAAAGCTATGGAAAATAGCAAGTTAACTGGGACATAAAATATTTATTCAGAATTCATTAGCCTGAATGCTGGAATTTTATATACAAAAGCTTCTAGCTAGAGAGAAGTATGTTTGTGCACTCACAGCCCACTCAGGGCCTATTCCTTTGAGTCATGCCTCCAGCAATTTGCTGGAAGAAAACAATTGTGCTGTGTTTTATGCCTTCAGCTGAAATGCGCTGTGCAAGTTCTATTTCATTTCTAAAATGTCACCCAGTGCTGGAGCAGGCTGCTGAATACTCAATAAAATAAACAAACAATACCCCACCCAACCCCTCATGGATAATTCTGTGGAAAGGCTGGGGGCAGCATAAGAACAGTCAGTATTCAATCTCTTAACTTGGCATTAAGACATGGGCACAGGAATAATAGATCGGCCTGGTGTTCAGTCTTATTGGGAGTGCAATATTCTCTTTATTTGATTTGATTTATAGTTTGCAGCCTTTGGAGTGTGTGTGTGTTCTGTAGTTAGACAATATAACAAGAAAGTCTTAGTACTGTAGTTCCTAATTTGCAACTGATTATGGCATTGATTTTTAATAAACTTTCCATAACTTTTGTTTTTTAAACAGCCAGAAATTAACTAAAACCTTATCGCTGACATGGTGTATAGTATAATAGCTTGCTTCATTAAATAAAGGGGTAGGCAGATTTAAGAGCTGCCATCTTATGGCTGGCAACACATTCTAAAATGTCACTTATGAAAAACAAAAGAATAGCACCAGAAGATATATTTTATGTAGTACACTATTTCCTCTGGCACACAATAATCTCTTTACTCTTCATGTTTCCTGAAACTGCTGAGACTCAAGCTTACTTGATCATCAGAAATCTGACCCATGTGATTTGAATCTCAAGAGGAATCCACTCCTAGCTATAATCACCCCTCATCCAGCATTAGAAGTGAGCACATCAATCCCATGAGGTTCAATTATGTCACATAAGTATTTATTGTTTATCATCTCCGCAGGCTCAGCAAGCTAATCCACACCTCAACACCATTTTAAACCACACACCACTCACAAAATGTAAATGCTAAACAACCAAGTTTCTAAATAGATAAAGAAGAGGATCAAGAAAGGCTGAGTTCACCATCTTTTACATAAGCAGTATTTCTCCTGCAGCTGAAGAAAACCCAGTAACCAGAGAGGAACTAATTCAGAGTGTGATTCTGATGATGCCAAGGTTGCAGGTTCAATTCCTGTGTATTTTCCGGCATTGCAGTGGGTTGGACTGGATCAGGCTTCCTCAAACTTGGCCCTCCAGATGTTTTGAGACTACAATTCCCATCATCCCTGACCACTGCTCCTGCTATCTAGGGATCATCGGGCACTCTACAATTCTATGATTCTCCTACATGTCCAACCACAAGGGGTTTCCTATGATTAACAATGTCAGCTAAGGTAGCTGGAAAGTGCCTCCATCTTAAAATGTTTTGAAGTTCTCAAGATTTTCTGCAGACAGATATAGAACAGCCTGAGTTGTTTATGTGACAGCAGTTAAAACTAACCCCACTTAACAGAGTTGCAAGGAAAATGTTAAGACACACAAAGGATTTTTTTAAAGAGTAAACTACATATGGAAGCAAACATCACATCTTGGAATATAAATGATGGAGCATTATGAGAGTCCTTCCAATGGTGCAAGCAATGATAAGAAAATAATTATTGTAAAAGGTAATGAGAATTGTAGGCATGGGATACTGAATCGGACCATTGGTCCATTGAGCTCTGTACTCTCTGCACTGACTGGCAGTGGATCTCCAGTGTTTCAGACAAGGGGGCATTACCATTGCTACCTGGAGATGCAGACTGATGCATTTAACTAAGCTAAAGCAAATGTTACAGATACAATGCCTAAATTCACAGAAAAGTTAAACCCAGAAAGGCAACAAGTCATTTGGAAATGGGACTGCAACACCTTGAGAGGCAGAAGCAGAATAAACTATTCAACATAAGATAAATTATTATGCATGTATAATTTGTACAAGTTGATGTATAAACATGGACTCCTCTTTTGTGTGCAGAATTTATGTTACCTTGGAAAAGCTAGTGAACACACAAGCACAAGGACAGCAACAGCAGTTAAGTCATGCCAACAAAGAATAAACTGCCTATAATCAGAGACAGCATGTTTCTGATCACTGGCTGTGCGGAGAAAACATCATGGGGTGTCTCTTTCTGTCACGTCCCACTTGCAAGCTTTTCTGGTTACTGAAGAACTGTGAGGTTTCAGCCTGAAGTCCCCACTTAAATCTCAGCCACGAACATTAGGTTATGTCATCCTCACTCAGCCTTCTGCAATATGGAAATAATAGAAGACGGGTCTATTCTACAGGGCTGTTGCAGCTGTGCTAATGAATCAGAGGAGATGCTATGTAATTCTAATGTATCAGCATCACCTGGCTGGCCACTGAGTAGAACTCTGGGGTGCTGCAAATGCTATATACAGTGGTACCTTTGGTTACAGACGCTTCAGGTTACAAATGCTTCAGGTTACAGACTCCGCTAACCCAGAAATAGTACCTCGGGTTAAGAACTTTGCCTCAGGATGAGAACAAATTGTGTGGTGCCTGTGCACCAGCAGCGGGAGGCCCCCATTAGCTAAAGTGGTACCTTACGTTAAGAACAGTTTCAGGTTAAGAACGGACCTCCAGAACGAATTAAGTTCTTAACCCTGAGGTACCACTGTATATGCGCCAGTCTCTCACACTTGTTTCCCTCCTTTTCAAGGTCAGAGAAGAGTCTCACCCACAGTTGCCCAGCACTGTGCTGTGCAATGCACCTGGTTGCTATAGCAGCCTTGTTGCCAGTCTTGAGCCAGGAGAGTCACCTGAGAACTGTATTTCCAGCAGCAGTGGGACCGGTCGGCGCTCTGACAGCACCATCAGCACAGGATAGATGAGAACGAGAGCAAAGCAAGCATGTTATTATCCACACACCCACCCTGCCCTGCATCTACACCTGAGTGCCACTTCCCTTAATTCCATGGGGAAATGCCTGTCATAGATACAGGTTCTTCAAACATGAGAATTGTAAGATATGTATCTTAAGATGGGCAAACTCCTCTGCAAAAGCGGAAATCAGCTCCAGCAATCACAAATATTGTCTATAGGCAATATTTATTTAGTTATAACTTAGAGCCTTACGTTCCTAAGACCTAAGTATACAGAGACATCACATCACCTCTTTGTAGTGCAATAGCTGTCAACATTGCAGCTTTACTCCCTTTGTTCTCTTCTTTCTCTTACCACTCTTCCTTTACTACTAGTTCCTTTACTTCCTTCCTGTTCTATCAGACAAAACCAGTAACTTTTGTCTAGAAGAAAAAACAGCCAAAAGTCTTGTCATATCAGGATGCAAGCTAAAAGGTATGCCTGCCACCTGTAAACATCTGAAGATTAGAATTATAGAAAGGAAGCACACTGAAAAAAACTGAGGCAGTAAGTTCTTATTTACCCAGAGCGGTCACTGAAAAACAGCCTCAACAAGTATTTCTCACCCCTTAAGCGGTGAGGTGCCTGAAAATTGCTAAAGATCCCCAGACCTCAATGTGTTGGAACCTATGGTAAATTGAAGAAACAATCCCTGCTTTTATGCTATATTAAGGACTCTCGCATTGTAGCGTGAGCCAATTTAATGACTAGCTTGGCAAGTTTCTCCAAGTACTTTTGTACTTTACTTTTGCAGGCTTTTATTTAGTTATTTCATTAATTAGGGAAATGTATATTATTCCCTTTTCACAGTGTGGTCTCAAGTTGGGTTCTAACCATCATGCCTTGAATTATTTGCAAGTATTCCATTAAAAACATAAGTTTGACTGAAAGCTTTTGAGTGTATTTGAATACAGTGGTACCCCGCAAGACGAACGCCTCGCAAGACGGAAAACCCGCTAGACGAAAGGGCCTCTTCTGAAGGCTGGCGGGGGGGCAAAAGTCTTTGTCCCCCCTGCCTGCCTTCCCAGGGGCTTTTAAATCGCCCCGGACAGCGGAGAAGTCCTCCGCTGTCCCGGGGCGATTTTTAAAATGCCGCCCGCCAGCATTTTAAGATCGCCCCGGACAGCGGAGAAGCCCTCCGCTGTCCCGGGGTTTTTTAAAATGCTGGGGGTGGGAAGAAAAGCCCTTGTCCCCCCCCCCTTCAGAAGAGGTCGGGGGACAGACTGTCCCCGGACCTGGTCTGAAGTCGGTTTCCCTAGGAACGCATTAATTGATTTTCAATGCATTCCTATGGGAAACCGTGCATCGCAAGACGAAAAACTCGCAAGAAGAAAAAACTTGCGGAACGAATTAATTTCGTCTTGCGAGGCACCACTGTATAACATTCAAACGCCATTAAGGCTGCAATCCTATACACACCGACCAGGAAGTCAATGGGGCTTACTTCTGAGTAGACATGCATAGGATTGCACTATAAGGAAGCTTTCCGTCTTCTTCAAACATTTACTTTAGCCATTGGAAGAAAAACTGGTATGTTTATACCGTATTGGCCTGAATACAAGCCTCACTTTCCCCCCAAATTCCAACTGTGAAAAGTGCGGCTTATATTCATGACCTTACAGGAGTAAACAGCGTCTGCCCTATGCGTAGTCCCATCATCTCCTTCAAGGCTGGGAAGGAAGAGAACGTGGAAGGGGGAAACCACTGGCAACGCAGCGCAGCTTCCCCCCCCCCCATGCAGCCAGAAGCAGTGAGGAAGGGAGCAGCTTATATTCGGGTATTTTTTCTTTTTTTTTCTTTCCCCCCTCCAATTTTAAAGGTGCGGCTTACATTTGAGTACAGCTTATATTTGGGCCAATATGGTACATCAAGTAAAATTAACATGACATACAACAACTACCACTGCATAACAGGTAAAGATTAAACAGGTGCAGGTGTTTTGCACCATGGAAATGCAGTGAAATGAAAAATTGTGCCCGCTAAACTTTTGCAAACTTCTTTTAAAGCAGACATTGCCAGAGGTGGAGGAAGTGCCTCATCTCCCTTAGGAGAATTTGCTCTGTTGCCTGGAGGGGAAAGAAACAATCAACCTTCCTCCTGACTGTAGTCACCGAGCTCCTCAAGGTAGTTCCAACCGGTTTGTGGAATTCCCCTTCACCCACCCACGAACTGTCCTTTCTTTACTGTGAACTGGGTGGCAATTGGAGTCAGGCCAACCTTTGAGCCCCTGAGTCATGCTGCGGAAGGATTCTATTACAGAGGCTCCCCGGAGCATATAAACAACTCCTGGAGAAAGAGCAAAAAGGGTGTGTGGGAAAGCCGTTGAAAAACGGAGGTGAAAAATGCACTTGGCAATCGGGACAACAGAAGAGGAAAAACGAAAGTCTTTCTTGCCCCGCCCACTCCAGCTTGCAGGATTAAAGCACCTTCTACCGCAGTAGCTGCTAGAGGAAATCGCCTCCACCCTATTGGCGGAAAGTAGGGCTCGAACTCCTACTGGCTCGGATCTCGAGAAGCTACGCTTCTTAGTTGACAGGATAAAGGTGCTCTGCAAACGCGCTCGCGTTTTATATCCGCACTTCCCGGGGTTCCAGGCCGGAGCCCTTGGACGAAATGTGCAGGTTGCCCAGCTAAAAATAAAACTCGGATTTCTGTCTAGTCACGGTTCCTTTCAAACGTAGCTCTTTCTGTCCAACGCAGGAGAAAAGTCGACATCCGTCCTACGCATCTGGGAAGACAAATGTGCTTTCCCACCCCCCACCCCACTCCCACCCCCGGGTACTTCAGCAGGGGAAACCCACCCACCCACCACAGGGGAAAACCCCACTCGGGGCATTTCGGTTACTTCAAAAAATGCGGAACAAGCGAGGCACACTTTCAGTTTCGCAAGGCTTCGCTTCGGCGCTGCTGTCAGGGCTGACGTGCAGGGCCCCCGCTCCGCGCAAGGAGCGGAAGGGGGCGTCCCAATGCGGTGCAGAGCTGGCGCCCCCCCCATTTTGAAGTAACCGAAATAACACGCGCGCGCACATTAGCAGCTAAGGGGCCGCCCGCCCCCCTTTAGCAAAAAGCATCTGCTAAATCTATGGAATCTAACTGCGCCAAGGTGCGTCTCTTCCAAACAAAAAACAAAAAAACCCCACCCCTCTAAGAAACTTGCACCGCGCCACAAGGAGGGGCTTCTGCCCAACAACCCTCGAGAACTTTGCGCGGGGATTTTTATTTTTTCCCGCCTTGCGGGGTTGCGCCAACGTTGGCTGGCACTAGGTTCCTCGGTCCCCAGACCGGGCGTAAAAGTGCGCGGCCAAGTTACCCGCCAGGGTGCGGTTCTTTACCTGGGGAGCAGCGCGCGCCGCAGCACAGCAAGGTGGCGAGCAGCAGGGGCGGCAGCAACAGCTGCAGCCCAGCTTCCCGGCAGGTGGTCGGCAGGAAATGCCGGCGCGCCCCCCTCCTCATCCTCCCCGCAGCGGACGGCAAAGTTGCAGCGGCAAGTGCGGAGACGGGCGGGCGCGACCGCCGCTTTCCCAGAGAAATGCTGCCCCTCTTCTCCTCCTCCTCTGGGCGCTTCCCAGGCGCTCGGTCCCCGTCGCCGCCGCCGCAGCGCCAATGACAACGGAGCGCAACCTATTGGCGGACGTCCAGGCCAATCAGGGTTTTTTTTTCGCCTTGCCCTGGTGTTAAGGCGCAAGTTGTTGCCAGGAGAAGATAGGCCGAGCAGTGCGCGCCGATGGCGAGGAGTTGCTATATAAGCGCGTGTATCTCTCTCTCACACCCACGCCTTCGCCTTAAAGGGGCCTACGGCTGTAGATAAGGCGACGTCCCGCGACGAGAAGTTAAGATACCGAAAGCAAACAAGCTGCAACAGAAGAGTATTGCTCTGCAAGAGAGATGAACCCCAATACGTAGGAGTTTTAACGGTTTAGCAGCGAGGTAATAGGGCTGACAGAATATAGGTGCTGGGGTGCTTGAGGAAGGTGGTATATACTGTATATAAACAGTGCTTTTTTCTGGAGGGACGCAGGGGTATGCACCCTAAACATTTTGTGAATCTTTGTACTTTTGTCCATTTACTGTATTTATTTTCCCCGATTTCAACTATAAAATGGTGATTTTCTTGAGTCAAAATGAGAGTACCCCTAAACATTTTTTAAGAAAAAAAGCACCGTGTGTGTATTTGCAAGGTTGAGGCTCCTAGGCTATCCTCCCGCAGAGAGTTGCAGTAACAGACCTGTTTCTTTATCATGGCAGTCACGGTCCCATTTTAAATAGTTATAGGGAGGAGACCCCCCCCATCCCATTCCTTTATTCTGTAGGGTCACTTTTGTATTCTGGTTTAATGGCTCAATCCTAACTGTATAATCAGAGGTAAGTGCTACTGAATTCAGTGGGGCTTGCTTCCAAGGAAGTGGAACCTAACTAGGATAATTTCCAAAATTAATTACAGAATTGCAGCGTGCACAGTTCAAGCTTGCCACCCTTTCCCCTATTTCAAGGGCAAGTTCAGTATTCAGCAGATACTAAACTTAAAAATAGGGATGCGGGTGGCGCTGTGGGTTAAAGCCTCAGCGCCTAGGACTTGCCGATCGAAAGGTCAGCGGTTCAAATCCCCGCGGCGGGGTGTGCTCCCGTTGCTCGGTCCCAGCGCCTGCCAACCTAGCAGTTCGAAAGCACCTTCGGGTGCAAGTAGATAAATAGGGACCGCTTACCAGCGGGAAGGTAAACAGCGTTCCGTGTGCTGCGCTGGCTCGCCAGATGCAGCTTGTCACGCTGGCCACGTGACCCGGAAGTGTCTTCTGACAGCGCTGGCCCCCGGCCTCTTGAGTGAGATGGGCGCACAACCCCAGAGTCTGTCAAGACTGGCCCGTACGGGCAGGGGTACCTTTACCTTTTACCTTAAACTTAAAAACCTAATAGCAGGGAGGAAACCTAGTGCAGCTTTTGTCTAATTTTCAGGACAAGGTATGGGTTTCCTATGAAAGTACCATTACAGAGGGAGAATTCCTTCTTTGATTATTCCTCCACATCAGATTCTTCCCATGCATAGCCAGGTAGCATGGTCAAGAGTGAAGCATAAGGGTTGCCTCTTGTTGCTTGGATAGTCAGAAGCCACAGGCCACATGGGAGGAACCCAACCAATAGTTCATCCTCACATTTGTAACACACCTTCCGGAAACTGAAATTCCTCACACACCCTCAGTGGTAACGTCAAAGTGGGCTATTATGGCTGACCTACCAATAGCGGTGACAGCATTCTGGTCTTTTTACTGTTTTAATGACCCCTAGCATAGGGTTTGCCTTTTCCAGAGCTGCCACAAACTGACTCCACACTGGGTCAATATATTCAGTGAGCTATCCACTACAACCACAAAGTCTTGTTCCTGGTCAGTCACCACCAGTTTATATCCCATGAATCACTTTACACTTGCTTACACTGAGTTTCATTTGCCATTTTATGGCACATTTACCTGGGGGTACACCTCCTTGAGCACACCACTGTGGGACCTTCTGAGTAAACATGCATAGGATTGCATTAAAATAGTATGGCTGCAACTGATTAACTTGTTCGATCAAAGATTAACCTTTCGAGCAATTTATAAAGATGCTCCTGATTATTTAGGTAACTTGCATATGTGTGTGGGTGTGTACTTTTGGGGGGGAATAATATAAGTATATACTTAGATAAATGACAGGTGACATGTGTTATTTTGGGGGGAAAGACTCTTTTACAGAGAAGGGCTTTGCTCTTCCAAGATGTAGCACATTCATTAATCATCTAAAAACAAAAAAGTGCAATATTTTACATGTCCACTCAGAAGTAAGGCCATATAACATTTACCAGCTTAAAATACAGCTAGGCCATTCAATTTGGATCAAAGTTGGTTTTGGGGAAGTGCATTAAAACACAGTATTTCATAAGAAATTACAGGGTAGATACTGTCTATATATGGATTGTGGCTAATGCCATGTGTACAACTGCTACCCAAAACGGTGGTGGGAGTACACTGGATGTATAGTAAACAGGACTGTGTACGTAGCTGCTATGTGTACACACTACTGCTTCTCAAACTCATGGATGGAGCGCACTGGATGCAAAGCCAAAAAGGGTGTGTACAAAGCCTAAATCGCATTGAACAGTGGAGCTTACTCCCAGGTAAATGGACATTGTACTATGCAGTGGTACCTCGGGTTACATACGCTTCAGGTTACAGACTCCACTAACCCAGAAATATTACCTCGGGTTAAGAACTTTGCTTCAGGATGAGAACAGATATTGTGCAGCAGGAGGCCCCATTAGCTAAAGTGGTGCTTCAGGTTAAGAACAGACCTCCAGAACGAATTAAGTTCTTAACCTGAGGTACCACTGCATTGCCATTTTAAGTTTCTTTACCCACTTATCTGAGAGTAAACCTCATTGAACTCAGTGGGACTTCTGAATAGACATGTATATCATAGCACTTTAAAGCTATTGGTTTTTTCATGTTCATATTTGTATAGTACAGTGGTACTTCTGGATGCGAATGGGATCCATTCCGGAGCCCCGTTTGCATCCAGAAGCGAATGCAACCTGAATCTGCGGGTCATGATTCGCCGCTTCTTCGCATGACGTCATTTTGACTGTCTGTGCATGTGTGAGTGGCGAAACCTGGAAGTAACGCGCTCCGTTACTTCCGGGTTGCCACGGAGCGCAACTTGAAAATACTTATCCTGAAGCATATTTATCCCGAGGTATGACTGTATTAGTTGATTAATTTATTAAATGGATTGATTAATCATTTAATTGTTTTATCGATCAAACAATTAAATCAACAAAGATTTCTGTAACGGGTTGAAGCCCTAACTGTAAGCCATGCACCTTAAGAGGCAAATCTAAACGTGCCAGGACTTTAGAATATGTTGGGTAATAATATTTTGGATAAAATGTCCCTTTTATGTCTCATAATTAGGGGTTGATAGCGAGACAGAAAAGAAGAACCCAGTCATTATATCTTTGTATCTAATAGGGCAAACATTCTCCTCTGTGTGGAGCTCATAATAAGATAAAGCCCTGGAAACAGCTAGTTGCAGTGCTGTAAAATTGAATTAGGAGGGACTGTGGAGCAGAAGGCTTGTTTACAGCATGCAAGGGATAATATTAAATATCTCTGCGAGGAACTAGATGACCATTTCCTAGGAAAACAGAGCTGTAATGAACAACTATTGTTGAACAGCAGGGCAAACAATCAAACTGAATGTAATTAGCAACTCATATATGTGATATATAGAGCGATACGCAACATCATTCCAGCAGATGCAACAGGACTTTCTATTACTTACCTCCTGCAGCCCCCTAGAACTTTTCCTGTGGATTCTTGGAATATACAGTGGTGCCTCGCAAGACGAAAAGAATCCGTTCCGCGATTCTCTTCGTCTAGCGGTTTTTTTGTCTTGCGAAGCAACCCCATTAGCGGCTAAGCGGATTAGCGCTATTAGCGGTTTAGCGGCTATTAAAGGCTTAGCGGCTTAGCTGCTAAAAGGCTATTAGTGGCTTAGCGGCTTAGAAAAAGGGGGGGAGCGGGGGGGAAATGGCGAGACTCGCAAGACGTTTTCGTCTTGCGAAGCAAGCCCATAGGGAAATTCGTCTTGCGAAGCGCATTGCAAACGGAAAACCCTTTCGTCTAGCGGGTTTTCCGTCTTGCGGGGCACCACTGTACAGCTGACTGCAACATACTAGATCTTCTGGTTTGACTGTGGCTTCTTAAATACACTTTGGAGTAAAACGTACCATCCTAAACAGGTTCAATTTCCCTATATATACTATTGCAAAAGCCTGTCATTAGGGCTTAATTAGCAAATGTGGAAGTACTGGTGCTAAAGCTGGTCATTTTCTCTTAAACGGAAGCCCTGCTGCATAATCCAATATATGCAAAACCTGGTTGTGGTTACGCAGTGGGGGGACTGGGTCCCCTTTACATACTCAGGGTAACTCTTTTTGTTATTACTTTTCAAGCTCTTAAAGTTGATGCTTCGCACCGAAAATTAGGTTGCTTGGGTGAGGCCTGGCTCACATTAAGCCTTGTCTTTTACCTCTGTGTTCTGCTTGGCCTCATTTAACCTCAGTTCATCAGTGTCAACAGTATTATTAAAGCTCACTGTAGTATTGGTATGGTTTACAGTATGTCTCATCAAATCAAAGAAGGAAAGAGAACCATTTTTGTATTACTGAGATGACTTAGATGTAATTGCTCCAGTCCATCATCCCTAATTGCTGTTGTCAGACGCTACAGAGGAGCACAACAGGGGTAAGGAGGGAGAACTTATGCCTGAAAAAAGGAAAGGATGAAAAGGAGATGACATTCAAAATATCAAGCATGAGCTTGCAAGGAACTCAGGAATAAAGGAGACACTCTCTCTTTGGGAGTGATTGTGGGGAGTTTCTGCAACATTTTCCAGCAAGTCTTAACCTTACTAAGATATATACACACACAGAGGGAGACTTTTTTTCTTATGACATTCAGTTCAGTTTTATTTATTTGCGCTATTGGACGTGAGCAAAAATAAAATAAGATATGGAATTTAATCTAGCATCTACTAAATTCATAAAAACAAACTGGGCAAAATGCCATTATTCATTTTACAAGCAATCAACTCCTATTCGGATACTGTGCAAAAAATAAATTACATGATTTCCTATAGACCATTAAATTACAGAACACAAAAACCAATCTCAAATTTATTCATTTGCTTAAAACACTGTGTTTATTTAAATTACTGCTGCTATGTGGTTCGCATGAACAGATATCTCTCTTTTGCAGCTAATGACACAGTTGGTAGAAAATAAATAAATAAATAAGCAAATTCCAGTACTGTAATAATTTAATTTAAAATGCATTCTTGATTTTCCATGGAATTTTATTTTGATTTTTTATAAATAATAATAATATTTATTTATTTATTTATACCCCACCCATCTGACTGGGGTATAAAACCTACAGATAAGAAAAT